AGTAGTTGAATCTGCAGTTTCCAACATTATTTAGTAAATACTTGATCCCAAAAAATAAAACTAAGATATACAGAGCGGACAAGTGGATGTGTGTGGACCTTTATGAGTTGTGAAATTAATCCAAGCACCAGGTGAGGCTGCAAAACATCATAAAACCTCCCTGGTCAGAACGGTGCACATTCATCATAGCGATCAGAACTTTGCACATTCATCATAGCCATTACGCCAGTAAAAACATAAATACACTTATTGATGTGTGTTGAAATTTGTTCAAATGTACACTGAATACTAAGCAGACAAAACATACCCGTCCTTCGGCCAGGTCCTGTGTGCCAATATTAACAACAGAGCATCCAACAGCTTTAGCAGAGTTTAGACAAAGCGTGTGATTCTCATTTCTCTCCCACGGATTAAGTACCCTCTTCGTGTTGATCGCTCGTTCATCAATTGTCCCAGGAACTGCTACATTTATAAGCTTACTACGCCGGAAAGAAAGGGAGAGAAACACGTGAAAAGGCAGAAAATCAGGTGCATTCTGTGTCGAGATGGACTCTAAACATATGAAAATGCACCTTACCAAAGAAGTACACCATCTTTCACAAGTTCATACAATTCATTAGAATGAGGGTCAAGAGGAAGGAACTGCTTCAAAAAGGGGTCATCCTTAAGATATCTATTGATGTGCTGAACAAAAGAACCCTTCTCCGACTGATATATAGTGTGAAGAAGTGTCGTTGTACAAGCTTTAAGAAACGAGGATGAGTTCTTATGACCACCAGATTTCTCAGCTGCTTTACTTAGTAAGTTGAGATATATCTGCAAATAATTATCAATCCAAAAAAACACATTTTATATCATATTCATACTCAGTCCAAAACTCAATTCACCAATGAAACGTAGAAGCTCCACATACTTTGAGAAACTCCTCAAACCCCAGATCAGTGCTTGTATCAGAACCCAATTCCCCTAGCATCCCCTTGATTTCATCCTCCTTAAATGTTGCACTAAGTGCCTTGAGCTTTGCCAATAGAGGAGGGAGATCTTCAATAGTGATCTTTCCACTCTGATTCTTCATCGACACATACTACACCACAAATCAAACGAGTTTCATCCATTGCATACAAGACATGTATATATAAAGGACGAACAGTGAAAAAGAAGAAACCTTGGAATTGAGAGTCCGAAGTTCGACTTGAGTGAACTGGCTCTGTAGCCATGGATCCGAAAGGACAACACCCACGAACCCAGACATCTCTCTCACTGTTTTACCATTCACAAAGAAAGAAAGTTTCAATCTTTCCCCACAAAATCACGCCAAAACCCAGAATCTCCTACTCCTAAAACCCACGAATATAGAAAGCCTCCGTTCGATTCTCCCAGAAAAAGGATTCACTCTAAGCTCCAGGCATCGAAGCTCAGGTAATTTGACGATTTAAATCTGTGGCCGAGAAAAAAAGAAACAAAATATCACCGATTTGAAGATTTGTCCTTAATATAGCAAGAGATTGATTCATATCACAACAGGACAAAACTGAGGTAACCGACCAAATCAAGAAAGAAAAGAACAAATAGGATTCCATTACGCAAACTATTATCTCAAACACTAATCTCGAAACATCGAAGATAATTCCAATGTACAGAAAACCTGCAAGACTCTAACCTCGGGTGAAGGAAATTCGGCGTTGAAGACTACAACATGTGGAATTGACCAAGGCGGAAGAACTAAACCGCAATGTGCAAAGTCACGTGAATCAATCAAATACCAATGAGACGAAGAAGATGTCGCAGATAGAGAGAGAGAGAGAGAGAGAGATTGAGAGACGAATTATCTGCTTCGTGTGAGCAATTTAAGAAAGCCGTGTAGAGAGAAACGTAGAAGGAGGGAAACAAAAAAAAAAAAAGAGTAAATGTTTTCGTGCGGGAAAAAAAAAGGCTCACTGGCATTGAATGCTTGATTTTTTGATGGATCAAAGTCACGCGCGCGAGTATATTAAACTCGCTTTGCGATGGATACACGTGGAGGTACAGTGTGTCCACGTCGACAAAAGACGCTGACCCTCACGACGTAACGACTTGTCTACGTGTCACTTCTCTTGACATGTCATATTTTTAGCCGTATGCGTTTAATAACACTATATTGGATCATCTTCAATTAATCTCTGCACACATATTTTTAGCCGTATGAGTTTCCATATGCGTGAACCAGATTGTGACAAGATTTGCGGAACCTTAGAACTAAAAGGATGCATCTAAAGATAGAAAAGGAGGATGCATTTGTCTACCTAAGCAAAGACTGAGTTTGTGGGTTAAGAGGCATTGTTACGTTGCGTAGAGGGCTGTTTCGTTCCTTTTCCTTCGATTAGAAAAATATTAATGTAACTCATGATTCTTGAAACGAGTCTTTTGAGGGTCAACGTACGAAGTTGCTTGTGACCCAAAGAACCCGCAGTATTTGAACAGTAGAAAGAGTTGTAGTATAGTTTAAGTACTACCTAGTTATAGCATATGTGATATTAAAAAACTTTTGACAACAAGTATCTAAATATGTTGTTGATTTAAGCCAAAGAAAGAGTCTTTTTGAGCTCTGTATTGCTAGATGACACTTTGATCTAAAAAGCTTAGTTAGAGAGTTAGAGGGAACATTTTGCCTATGTGTTTTAGATCAAGGAAGATAGCGCAGTGTGGAGCCCTTGTTTTTTTTTTTTTTGATAAGATGTGGAGCCCTTGTTCACATTCCTTTTGTTTAAATCTTGAAGACCTTTCTCTGTTCTCAAGCTCTCATATCTGTGGTATCTTTCGGCCCATTGTCGAGAAAAAAAAAAAAAAAAAAAAAACTTTACAAAATATGGAAGAAGAAAATGTCAGTAACATGTTGCAAATCTCACTCTTTAATAACCTTTTTTTTTAATTTTGGGCAAACACTCACTCTTTAACTATAAGTGTAAAGTAGAAATATTTCCTTCACATGCACATGCCCAACTTCAAGTTGTGTATATGATGTTTCTTTAACTTTTTTAGTGGTTATTTCCCAACTTGTGTTTGTTTGGAAGCAATTTCTTTAAAATTATATTAATAACTGAATGTTTGTCGCTAAATGTTATAAAAAAAAGGTAGTCTAAATTATTAGATTAGTGTCGTTTGCTTGGTTGTAACTACATCTGTGGTATATTATATAATGTACATCTAGCTAACAGACACATGAGTCTCTCTATATAGGAGAGTCGAACCTTTACAATGAAAGAAACACATATCTACGTTCTTTTACATTTGACAAGATATAAATGAATCGGAGAATAATTATATTAATTAGTGTTAGAAGGCAACTACATAGTTTTATTTTCGTAATTTTATTCATGTAGTATGTTGAAAGAAATGGAACCTCGCTAATTGTTATGTGTTCCGGTATACTTGCTTATTTATTGTTTCATCGTTATCGTTAAAACAAAAACCTGTCTCCAAATCTTGTTTTTCTCTCCACAAAATACCAAAAATGTCGCTAATTTAAAGTTTAATCTTGTTTAAACCGATCATGTGTTTCGTAAGAGTCCGTGACAATATATATACATGTTTTGTAAGGTTTCAATCATTTTGGGTGGCAACAATTTTTAAATATCATAATCTTAATGGACAGCCAGGTATGTTGGTCGTCGAATCGATTGAACCATCCTAGAAGATTTGATAAATATATAACTCAGAAAATAGAATGCAATACAAAAATGAACCACCCTAAACGTATAATTTACAAGATTGAGAGGTCAATGATATAATTAGAGAGCCTAATTAAATAAGGGACAGGTATTGGAAATTGACCAAGTAAAAATACAATATTAAAAGTCAAATAAAACATATATTCTCGAACATCACATCAACATCCAGTGAGAAACTTTCCTTCTGAAATGTTTTTATTTGCAAAAAGGAAAGGTAAATTGTAGAAAGTGGTTTATGTATATTTTTGGGTGTTTACAGCAAACGACGGTCCCACGTATAAACGTGACTGGTTTGCGCGTTCTGGCTGATGTCATGAGTGACCACAAATAGATATTCGCCACGTGTACTTTTACAGATAAGTCATGACGGCCATGTTGTGGGACCCTCCGTAGCTGTTGATCGTTCATTCACCACTTTTTTTTCTGTTTGGCGCTGCGCCGAGCCGACGATCAATGCCTTTTTTTTTTGTCTTAATGATGTGATACCAAATAATCCCAGCTAAATATTTTTTTCTTAGTTCCACCTATTTTATTAACTTAACATATAGAGACAAATTTGTGAATCTAGTTAAATTGTTTTTTTTTTTGAGACATAATGATATAAATTTTTCAGATTTAACCAATTGATTGGTTCAGATTCTAAATTTAAGTAAATAAATGATCAAAACACATTAACTTTTTTTTTTCCTATCAAAATGATTTCATTTGGTGCTTGATATAACCACGAATGCCAAATGCATGCAAAGGTACAACTTCATCATTTCAGTGAGGGGGCCAGTTGGTAGCCATATTAATGATCTTTACAAGTACTTGAAAGTTTTTGTCAAGCATAAAACAAACGTTTATTATAGTATGTTATTAGTAAATTTCAAACACAGATCTAAGAAATAACTATAGACCAAATTAACTTAAAGTTGATAATCTTACAAACATATGACCCAACTAACTGGACTAATAAATTTTCAAACATATATAATCACAGAGTTTATTCTTCTCTCCACAATTGTTAGTAAAAAAAGGATTACCTATTTCTGATATAATATTGTCAAAGTCCGGTGAAAGAGTCCGAGGAACAAAGAGGTCAACAACATCAGCTGAAGCCGACCTTACCAAAATCGCGGCTCCTCCCCAAAAAAAAATACGTGATTACGCGTAATTGTGGTAGACTGCAATACTAAATAAATAACTTGTAAGAAAGAAACTAATCATCAGACCTTTTTTGATAATCTATAGTTAATTTAAACTAATCAACGATCGTATAAATGAGAAATCCCACAAACGAAATAGCCAGAACTAAGAAGACTCTCTCTCTCCACCTCTCTTTCTCTCTAAAATCTCGTTCTGTCTCCGGCGAAGTCGCCGGCGGGAAGCTAAAAGGCAGGTAGCAACGAATTCCCGGCGAGATAATCCGACAATGCGAGGGTTACGAGCTTCATCGCTTCTACTCTGTGGTGTTGTTCTGATTCAGCTGCTTGCTGCTCAAATCGATGCTCAAAGACCTAAAAGTCCATGGCCGACGCTCACGGGTGTGTCCTCTCTCCCTTTCTCTCTTTCCAGATATTAATTTCACTTTGATTTCCAGAAGAACAGTTTTAAAAAAACTCGATTTTGGTTTGTGGTTTAGCCATTTGTGGACAGTTTCCAAATATAGAATTACTTTTGATCTCTTTTTGTATTAAAATTTTTCACTTTCTTGAATTTCGTGCTCTCAGGTGATCCTCCTCTTGTGATAGCTCGTGGTGGATTTTCTGGATTGTTTCCAGATTCGAGTTTCGATGCTTACAATTTCGCAATGTTGACAAGTGTATCAGATGTTGTTCTATGGTGTGATGTTCAGCTAACCAAAGATGCTCTTGGTATTTGCTTCCCTGATTTAACCATGAGCAATGCTTCATCTATTGAAGTTGTTTACCCAACTCGAAAAAAATCTTACCCGGTTAATGGAGTTCCTACTTCCGGTTGGTTCACCATTGATTTCTCCTTGAAAGATCTCAAAGCTGTTAACCGTAAGTGCTCATGGCTTAAATTACTGGTTTTTGAAATGAGGATTTGAGTTTGTGTGTTTTGTTTTAACTTGTTTTTTTTACCTGGTGCAGTGATCCGAGGAATATTATCTCGCTCAGAAAAATTCGATGGTAATCTTAACCGGATTATGACGGTTCAAAGCGTAGCCACGCAGATGAAACCGTCATTCTTTTGGTTAAATGTTCAGCACGATGCGTTTTACGCGCAACAGAATTTGAGCATGAGCAGTTTTCTGGTTGCAGCTTCAAAAACTGTTCCCATTGACTTCATCTCTTCCCCTGAAGTGAACTTCTTTAGGAAAATTGCTGGTCGTTTCGGGCGTAATGGACCCAGTCTTGTGTTCCGGTTTCTCGGTCAAGAAGAGTTTGAGCCAACAACAAACAGAACCTACGGGTCTATCTTGAGTAACCTGACTTTTGTCAAGACTTTTGCTTCAGGGATCCTTGTTCCCAAGTCTTACATATTGCCACTCGATGACCAGCAGTACTTGCTTCCTCATACATCCTTAGTTCAAGATGCTCACAAAGCAGGATTAGAAGTTTTTGTGTCAGGTTTTGCAAATGATATTGATATTGCACATGACTACAGTTTCGATCCAGTCTCTGAGTATCTATCTTTTGTGGACAATGGCAATTTCTCTGTCGATGGTGTGCTTTCTGATTTTCCTATATCTGCATCTGCATCTCTCGGTAAGAAATTTTCCTCTACATACAAGCATTTTGTCCTTCAAACATTGCTGGATATACTCAAAATCATAACATTGCTTTCATAATTTTCCTCAGATTGCTTCTCCCACATTGGCAGAAACGCTACAAAACAAGGTATGAAAGTTTATTATTTTGCTTTGTATCTTGCCATGACTCATCATAACCTAATGAAGAAACCTGTAATTGACTTTATGGTTCTTGTCTCAGTGGATTTTCTTGTTATATCCAAAAATGGTGCGAGTGGAGACTATCCTGGATGTACAGACTTGGCATATGAGAAGGCAATCAAAGATGGTGCTGATGTAATCGATTGCTCGGTCCAAATGTCCAGCGACGGCACACCCATTTGCTTAAGTTCGATCGATCTCGGGAACAGCACAACAGTCACCCAAACTGCTTTCAGAAACCGTTCAACAACTGTTCCTGAGTTGGGCTCACTTGGTGGAATATACACTTTCAGTCTCACATGGCCTGAGATCCAGACCTTGACTCGTAAGTTTGTCTTCAAGCTTTCTACTTGTTTTCAGATAAATGTTGGTCTGTTTGTACACTCTTTTTTCCTACAATTTTTTAGTTACTAGTTTGAGAGCTTCTATTCCTACTCCTACTTAACTTAAAAGAGATTACATATATAGATGCAAATGTCTGGGTCAAAAGTACAGGCTCGTTTAGAGGATACATAACTTGAGAGTTACAATATTCTCCAATTTTTTTTTTTTTTGCAGCTGCTATTTCAAACCCCTACAGAGTAACCAGTCTGTTTAGAAATCCAAAACAGAAAAATGCTGGGAAGCTTCTTTCACTTTCTGATTTCCTAAACTTGGCAAAGAACTCCACCTCTCTCTCCGGTGTTTTGATCAGTGTAGAGGTGAGTTCTCGTGCACCTCTTAGTCTTACGATTTTATCAATCAGACCGTGACTGTCTTCTAATGGCCACATCACTTATGCTTGTCTTTTATGTCCCCCAGAATGCGGCATACCTGAGAGAGAATCAAGGGCTTGACGTTGTTAAAGCGGTTCTTGATACACTCTCACAGACTGGCTACAGCAATAAGACAGCCACAAAGGTCATGATTCAGTCAACAAACAGCTCGGTTCTAGTTGACTTCAAGAAGCAGAGCCAGTACGAGACTGTCTATAAAGTTGAAGAAAACATCCGTGATATTCTCGACTCTGCTATTGAAGACATAAAAAAATTCGCTGATGCTGTTGTGATCCAAAAATCATCAGTCTTTCCTCTCGCTCAGTCGTTCATCACAACGCAAACCAATGTTGTGGAGAAGCTGCAGAAGTCTCAGCTCCCAGTTTATGTGGAACTGTTTCAGAATGAGTTTTTATCTCAACCATATGACTTCTTTGCTGATGCAACCGTTGAGATAAACTCTTATATCACTGGAGTCGGTATAAACGGAACCATCACCGAGTTCCCTTTCACAGCTGCAAGATACAAAAGTAAGTGAGCCAAATTTTGCACCAAAGGTCTCACAACACAAAGTTATTTACATCAATGCCTAACTTTTTTTCTCTTCTGCAGGGAATCTATGTTTGGGCAGAAAAGAAACTATACCTTACATGGCCCCTGCCCAACCCGGTGCCCTCTTAACCCTTGTGAGTCCTACGTCCTTACCTCCAGCCGAAGCTCCAAACCCGGTTTTCACAGATGCTGATGTCACTGAGCCACCACTACCTCCGGTTACAGCAAAAGCCCCAACCTCAACCCCTGGAACCCCATCAACCAATGCAGAAGCACCTAGTGGACAAACCCGAATCACTCTATCTGTTCTACTTTCCGTTTTTGCAATGGTTCTTGCCTCCCTTCTACTTCTGTGATCAACCCTTGATCTCATCTCCTATGTTGATAATGTCTTCCGCCCTCGTAAGATTTCCCTGTGTGTGACTCGGTCAAATCTTAACAGCCAGAGCCATAAATTTTTTCCGCTAGCGAGTCTTCGTGACAACCTTCTGTTTATTTGCAGTGGCGACTTCTCTATGCATGTTGTCTGCTTATATTCTAGTTCTGTCCAAAAAACAACAGGTTATTCTTTGAGTGTGACTTTCCCTCGGATTCATTTGAGATATTCATTTGTTGTTGTATCATATACTCTTATACTTTTGCCTTGTGTCTTGTAATATTTATGAGACTGTATCCTTTATAAACACATTTTGGTTAATACATTCTGCTTCTCAGTTATCTAAAGGTTCTTGTAGAAACTTTTTCCCTTCCATCTCATGTAACAACTCTTTCACAAGTTGGTCTTTCCCTTGATGCTTAAGTCCATTGCAGACCTGATGAACAGTCCTTGAATCAAGAGGAATTGATCTTCTGACCATTTCTCTTAGCACTTGAGCTGCTCCATCAAAATCCTCATTCTTACAGAATGCAGAAATCAACATGTTGAATGTTTGTTCATTCGGATGGCAACCGCTCCTAATCATGCTTTTGTACAGTTCAAAACCACGGTCTGCATTTCTCCTCACGAATTGTCCCATTATTAGCGCAGAGAAGGTTGACGAGTTTGGCACCAAATTCTCTTTGTCGAGTTCTTTAACAAACTGTGCAGCTTTCCTCGTCTTAGCTTGTTTGCATAGTCCCAAGATCAATGCGTTGTACGTCAAAATGTCACGCTGAATCCCGTTGCAGACCATATCTTCATAAAACCGGAACGCCATCTCGTGATCACCCTGTTGGCTGTACCCATTAATCAACGTGTTATACGTGACAGTGTTGGGTGCCACGTTTACCGTTTTCATCTCACCAAAAACCTTACTAGCTTCTTGCAACTTCACAGTTCTGCAAAACCCATGGATGAGAGTGTTAAAAGTAACCACATTAGGCTGCAAGCCATTCTTTCCCATCATGTTCTTAAGCTTCAAAGCTGAGCTCAAAAGACCCTTTTCGCAATGCCCGGCTATCAATGTATTATACGACACATCTGTGGCCCGAAAACCCAATCTTTCCATGTCTTGTAGCAACTCAATGCCCTTGTCAAGTTTTCCAGACCTACAATAACCTGACATAACCATGTTGAGAGTGTATGTGTTTGGGGAAATCTTACACCGCCGCATTTCTCTGTAAAACGTCAGAGCAATATCCACCCTCCCTTGACCAAGTAGTGAGCTCATGTAAGCATTGCAAGATTCAACTGTTGGAAGAAACCCGTAATCCTTCATCTGCATAAAAGTATCAGTGGCATTTCTGAATTTCTTCAAATGAGCAAAAGTTTTGAAGAGTGAATCAAACACTCTAGGCGTAGAGTCACATTCCCGGTACGAATACAACAATGCATCAAAGACTTTGGCAGGCAAATCCACCGCACCATTTACGAGTACATCCCTCAAAATGGACTCTGCAGACTTGAACTTGCGGTTTTTAGTGAGAGTGTGAAGAACTATAGCATGGGTTTCAAGAGAGTGAGAACCTGGGTTTCTGGTTTTCGTCCAATTGAAGAACTCAAGAGAAAGAAGATAATCTTTCTGTATCTTCAATAGTACGTTCTTGACCCTAAATGAATCTAAGTGGTCTGATAGCTTATTAAGCTTATCCCAATCAGATTGAATCAGGTGGCTATGAGCGACATTGACGAAATCAAGATCTTGGCCTTTAGGTTCAGGATTGCTTCTGTGAGGAATAGGGATGTTTGCAGCGGCGGGATTTTTAGAAAGCCTAGGGTTTTCAGATCCACCATAGCCAGCAAAACTTGAGTATTGATAACACAGACGGCGATTAACACATGTGCTTACGCGGATCATTGTGATTTACAACAAAAGCAGATTTCACCAGAAAATGAATCCTAAAGCACTGAATACCAATAAACACAATTAAAAAGGGTCACGCAGATTGTCGCCGGAGAAGGAGGTAGAGAGATTAAACGATGAACAAAATTTTAAAACAATTTTATTTTCATTTGGTAGGCCTTTCTCTATCAAGCCCATTGGGCCCTTGCAAAAATGAAAAGTGGAGATGCGGGGTATCGATCCCCGTGCCTCTCGCATGCTAAGCGAGCGCTCTACCATCTGAGCTACATCCCCATTGTGAAAAACATTGATTTTATTACAAAGATGTCTATGCCAAATTTGTCGAAACATCATCATCGCCGGTGGTAATAATAATCGCTGTCTGAATATCTATGGATCCTCGCGTACTGTGCCGTACTTGTCTTTTGCCGCTGAAACTCGGGGCTTCCGCTTTTATGGTAAAAATCTAACAATATCAGAGCTCTGCAACAACGGAAAAAAAAAAAAAAAAAAAAAAGAAATCGAAATCTAGGGTTTGAGAATTTGGGGATCGATGTGGAAAATTTTACCAAAAAAGGCTGTGTCATCCTTTACGCATCTGTATCGTTCTTCCAACATTATCGGATGTCCCCGAAGGGACGAACTATGCTTCGACTCTGACGATATATAAACAGAGCTCCTTCTCTTTGTCTAGGCGATGTGGGACTTTTGACATCGTTAACAATTTAAATGGGCTCGTTTATTGATAGGCCTCTTTCTATTTCTTTTTCGGGCCCGTTAATATTATTGAATATAAGTGAAAGGCCTCTATAAACAAGAACGTACTGAGACTAAGAAAAAGAGGTACAATTTTGCTCATTACTACATATCTTGTTCCAATAAGCGTGCGATTTTAGCAAGTAGATTTGAGTTTTAGGAAGTAAAGACAGAGTGCACACAAACTGTTCGATAAAATGTCTCTGAGAAAGTTTCTCCTCTTTCACTCTCGTGTCTAGTCTCCCTTCCTAGTTATTTCGTTTCGGTGTCATTACATCTTGTTTTATTGAACACAGAAACCTTGAATTTGTAGCAAACGAAGATTTGATAGCATTGAGAATGTCGTTTTGCTATCCATCTTCACCAAGAAAACTGGCGATGACGGTGGCGTGTTTTGCCTCAGGGGCAGCTCTTTTCGCCATTGGAATCCATTTTTCGTATCTTAACGTTGCTCCTCAGCAAGCTCGTACTAAAGCCCGTAATGATTTTGTCAAAGAACGCCTCAGGCAGAAACAAGGCAAGTGATTTCAGATTCACATGATATATCTTGGAGAGAACTCCTTGGAGAAAGGTGGGCCTTATATTTCATTAAGCTAGTTTGTAATTCAGAAATAAACTCTCACAATATACTTCTGCTTGTTCAGTTGTAATGTTGCTTCTTGGATCTTGTTGTCTTACATAGATACATTTCCCAACAGACAGTTTAACGGTCAAAATAGTGTTCTGATCCACCGATTATTTATTTGTTGTAGGCTCTTTCAAGTGGCATGGTTGACGAACACGGGTTTCACATATGACCTTCGCAACTTAGGCAAAGTGTGTAGTGCTCTTATCCTTCTCATACTCTTATTGTTTGCATGGTTTGGTTTCTCAGCTATTTAATAATCACGGTCAAGCAAGTATAAGTCAGATTATTAGAGTGTTACATCTGAAAGAAATAGTGTTACACAGAATATTACAAATTCTGCTTTTACTAAAAGAGAATTCGGGATAGGATGATGCCTGCGAAATTTCAATACGTGAAACCAAAACTGGTGCATTAAGCTTCATTCATTCTCTCTCTCTCTCTTTGAGATATCAAAAATAAGGATCACTTGGAATTGGATTACTGTTTTGCTGTGTAACTTGTAAGGAACTTGTTGTTAAGAATTATGATTAGAAATATGTAGTGGCCTATATTAGAGAGGCTTATGACGGCGGGAATTTTTATTTATCCTTAACCGCTTAGGTGTAGATTTGTGTTAGGAATCTGATTTTCTAGAGTAAAATTTTTCACTACTAAAAATTAATTATGGATCGAAAAATTATAAGCCCAAGTAGTAAAGTAAAGGCCACGACACCGAGTTTCGTTCAATAAATATGCTAGCCTAGGAGGAGGTATCCATTCTCCGTGTCTACTTTCCTTGTATCGTCGTTAAAGATCTCCAAGTCGTTCGTTCTCAACGTCACGGCGGTTCTGTTCCTAACCGGCTGAGAGGTACGGTGTTTCTTGTCTCTCGAATCAAACGGAAAATCTGTTTAGTCGTAGGACTATTGATATATCCAGGTTTATGTGGACACCACACCCGAGAAAGGTTATTGAAAACCATTCTCTAGCTGGTCGAGGGATTTCTCTGGACATCCACCCTGATGATCCTCCAGCTACTCATAAGCCTCACAGTCCTGCATTAACCAATTGTGTTACTAGGCTCACAGCGCTGTTTGATGCCCGGTATGGCTGGTCTTTTCGTATGGATTTGACAGACAAAGTGCATATGAACCCTCTCTTTGACTTTATGAAACGAGAAAATGAAAGCTTCACTCTTTATAAACGCTTTGTTAAGTTGTATAAAAGAGTAATAGTACCTTGCACTGATTCTTCTTTTACGGCTTCCGCTCTGAGTGCTTTTCTCGACCTTGTTCAATTTGACAAGCCGGATGAGGAACTGGAGACGGATTTGCTTGCTTTTTTGTCTGGTGTTGATATTTTTGCCACCAACGATCATTATGACCTGTGCTCCCCTATCATTATGTATTTTCATCCTCGACGGGTTTCTCAGTTTACTGAACACGGTGCTCGTAATCAGTGTGGAGCTCAGGATTTCCAACCTGATGCTTCAGCTACTCATGAAACCAATCTTGGGCCTCCTCCTATAAGGATCACACTCAAGGAGCTTTGTATTATTAAGCTCACAGCAATGTTTGATGTGCGTTATGGGAATAATTTTCGTCGGGCTTTGATGATGAGAGTGCTAACGAACCCTCTGTTTGAGTTTCTGTTTTTCCGCCGGGTTTCCCTGAGCCCCCAGCTTGAGTCTATGGATCCAACTGAGATCAGGTTCAATATTTTCTATGTGCTTGTCAAGGCGTATGAAAGAGTATTACTGCCTTCCAAAGAGCTGAGGAAGCGTGATGATGCTCGTATGGGAGCCGTTCTTGATGTTTTTTTTAACATTCTTCAGCTGAAGAAGAAGCTGGATGGGGAAGTGGAGGCGGCTATGATTAATTTACATGCTTTTGTGTTTGGTGTTGACTGTTTTTCTCACATAGGTGTTGCTGCTTTTTCTGCTATCATGCCACCGCCTGAACGCTTTTCAGTGATGATGAAGCCTGATATGCTTGTGCAGCTTCCACTTGGATTTCAGCGTTTTAGTGATCAATATCAATGTCTTGGTGACTATTTAAGTCTTCCGCCTCCAATACACCAGCCCGGCAGCCCCTATCATTTAGAGTCCCTCCAACGGGTATTTCACTCAAGCAGCTTCTTATTATTAAGCTCACAGCGCAGTTTGAGGTGCGGTTTGGGTCCGTTTTTTGTTCTGATTTAATGGAGAGAGTGATGATGAACCCATGGTTTAATTTCTCGCTGCATTATGATAGCCGGTACACTTTTTATGAAGCGCTTCGTGCTGCGTATTCCAGTGTATTAAATCATTCCAAAAAGCTGAAGAAGAGTGATGCTTGTAGAAAGACCGTTCTTGAGGATTTTTTTAACCTTGTTCAGTTGGAGAGGCTGGAAGAGGAGGCGGCTATGATTGATTTGCATGCTTTTGTGTTTGGTATTGACTGTCTTGCTCACATGGAAAATGTCCAGTATTCTGCTGTCATGTCAGAACCTGAACACCCTTCAGTGATGATTAACCGGCAAACACATACGCAGCCTTCACTAAGAATTCCGGTTTCTGAATGCCCTGTTCAGAGGCAAGGTGTTGTACCTCTCAGGCGAAGACGTACCTATAAATTTCTATTTGGATTGGGCAGGATCACACTCAAGCAGCTTGGTGTTTTGAAGTTCACAGCTATGTTTGTGGCGCGTTATGGTCTGCATTTTTGTCGGGATCTGATGAAGAAAGTGGGTGGGATATATGAGTTTGAGTTTATGGAGCCATCTAATAGCAAGTTCGCTTTGTATGACGAGGTTCTTGATGCGTATTCCAGAGTAATAAGGCCTTGCGATGATGCTTGTACGGCGGACGTTGTTGCGGGTTTCTTACGCCGTCTTGAATTGGAGAAGCTATATGTGGATGGCGAATCGAATATCGATATGCATGCGTTTTCGAGTGGTGTTGAGTATTTTGCTGACAAGGAGGATGTTGGCTATTGTGATTTAGTGCCACCAGCTGAACCCCTTTTATGTATAATGAAGGAAATACCACCGCTGAGATATGGGTGTTCAATGGAGAAGATGCAAACTGCACGATCCGGGGAACGAGAGTCGAGAGGCAAAGAGACGAAAGTTTGACGCTCTTGTTCCAGAGGACCAGTTTCTTGCTCAAAATCCGGTAATGTTTTTTTTTTTTTTTGTTTCCTTCCTTGTGACTTGACTCGTGTATCTAACTAGGAGTAATACATTTTCAGGGTCCCTATTGGATCATGATCAGGGTTTCTGGTGCAGACGACTATGGTGGAGTCTTTGAAATCGGAAAAATGGGAGAGCTGTCGTTATCAGATAAAGTGGCAAGTTTGAAGAAGAGAATAGGTTTAACGATCCAGATTCCAGCACACAGACAGATGTTAAGTGGAAAAGCTGGGGTTTTAGAGGACAACAGGTCACTTGCACATTACAATGTTGGAGCAGGAGAAATTCTAACAGTGTCTTGGTGACAAGGTTTCTTCTGTGTGGCACAATTTCCTTCCTTTGCGCTTGGGGACAAGCTGCATCTTAAAGAAGGGGGTATTGATAAGTTACACACGGTCTTTTTTAGCACACACGTGTGAAGGGGGTGACAAGTATGACGGTTGAGGAGTTACAGGGATCAGACGTGCGAAGGGTTAAGAGTTTGTTTAGAGGATTAGTCGTCATGAGACTATCGTGTGGAGATAGATCCGAATGAATGCTGAGGATCTCATCTCATCTTTCATTTGTTTTTCAACTTTCTGAATTTCTGTAATCTTTGGATTTTGAGAGTTTTAAGTTTAATCGGAAGAACTTTATTGAGGAGAAGCTTTAATCCAAATATTTACATACAAATCGTATCTTTAAAGTTTATCAATGAGCTGAACATGTTTCTAACATTTCCCAATCCTCAAGATAATCTCAGGGCTGATCTTGCCAGAGACGTAGGCCAATCCCATCGTTGCGTCAATCATGTATGTCACATCTTAAAAATTGTAGCGAAATTAAGACCGTGACATACAGAACAGGTACAAAATATGTAACTGATTTCTAAAAGTAGTACACAAGTCTTTTTGTCGTCAAATTGGCTTCTTGCAAAAAGCCTTTCATAAAACATTCCTCACAAAGTACAGCAAAAGCGGGAAAATTTTACATCTAGAGAGAGAGAACCTAAGACACAAGAAAGGGAGAATCAGACTGAAATTAGAACTTCCTGGGTTTAGCTAAGGACTTGCAGAAAGAAGAGAAGGCTCCTTTGATCTCTTCAGGGATCGGGAGAGCAAGAGAGAGTGGTAAAGGACGATGATGATCTTGGAACAGTCCGGTTTGGTGTCTCAACGAGACCGAGTGTGCCAAAGCTGTTTGTCTTTTGTTGAGACCCTCAAGTATAAAAGAGAAAGCCCCAAACGTAAGACAGCTTTGTAGAAGAGCCTGTGGAGCACCTGTAACAAAGGCCATATAAGAATCTATAAGCTCTCCTATATGTGATGATTGCATGCAGCATCTGTCTTTATGATACCTAACGCCAAAGTAGTAATCACAGCGAGCATAATGGATTACCAGGGAAACTAAGAGCAAGACCAGTGCAGCACCCAGCAACTCCAACATTAATGGCTGCAAAACAAGAACAGTAGCAATATAAGTAAGTAAGAGAGACATTATAAGTTGATATAAAACTAATCAATTCCGAAATTTGAAGAGTCTCACCGTCATCTTTGCCTCGGATTTGCTTCAGAAGGCAAACAACCAAACTGTGGACTCCAGATAAAACAGCAAAAGTCTTGAACAAAAAATTAGCAAATTACTCAGTTTCCTGGAACAATAAGCATATATTTATGCTATAGCCTAAAGGAATGCTGATAAGTTGAGGTACCTTAGCAGACTGCCCTGCATCTGCAAATGATCCTTTAAAGCCTTTCTTCTTGAACAATCCTGAACCTGAAATCAAAAGTTTCAGAAGCCAAGCCAATCTTATCACACTAACACTCTGTGAAGGAAACTAATCGATTCTACAGCTATTCAGCAGCAAAACAAAATCAAACTTGAGGAATGTTCAATCCCCAAAATCTAGACTATTAATGTTAGTCTCAAATCCAGGAAACAATCAAATGAAGAAAAGAGTAAAAAAATCATCCTCAATAAATCTCAGTTCACTATCAGAGAAAATGAGAAATTCAACACCGAGTAAAGCAACATCAGATAAAACCAGGCATTAAGAGAAAGAAGAAGAGCACCATATCCGAATATAGAGCCCATTACGGCGCCACCAGCAGCATCTCCGGCAAACCGGAAAAGACAAACGGCTGGAGCAGGGATAGTAGCCAATGCTTTTGAGGAATCATTATCGGGTGCTTCGTCACCGTCAGTGTTAAGGTTCGAATCGGATTCGAGGTTCCCGTCGATGTCAATAGCTTTTGAAGAATCATTGGCCGCCATAGCTAAAAGTTGAAGCCTGAAGAAGGTACTTTCGGTCTCTCTCTACCTAATCTGGAAATATCCCTTTTCCAGTTGAAATGATAGTTTTAAAAAAAAAAAAAGATATTTTCCCCAGAAGACGACGATACTAAACGACAGCGTTTTTCACTTCAGCGGCCGAGAATTGGGCTCTTAAAAAGCCCATTAACAAAATGGCAAAGGAGCTATATTTGTTTATACTGTACTACTGTAGTATGAATCAATGGGGGATGTCCAATGCCCAGTGGAATTCAAGAAAAGATGAATCAATCAATGCATGTAAAAATGTTTCCAACCGTTACAGATCTTTGTAGCGGTTCAATAATGGCAGATACAAGAGAACAACAACATGATAAAAAACAGGACGCAAGTAGGATCACAGTAAATGACCCGAGAAGGGTCTTCTGTCTTCTAAACAAAGGCTTGAAACAATCAGTAATGGTGGTCTTGATATGTAGCTCCGAACTCTGCTCTCCAAGCCTGATCATCCTCGTAGTCATCAAAACTCACAGCTCCGATATGATGTTCTGATACTTGTTCTATTTCATCTTCCTCATCTTTGTACCATGGCTGCAACAATGCTGATCCTGGTAATTTATTCTCTGCTAAGTATTGCTTCATTGTCCCAATTTCTGCCTTGTGTTTGTTCTTTTGCTGCTCCATTTGTTTCTTCAGCCTCTCTTTCTCTTCTTCCACCACGCTGAATCGTTCCTGCAATGGTGGTTTGAGTTCAAGTTTAGCCATTTAATGAAACCAATTTTTTATAAAATGAGAGCTTAGTTTAGTTACCTCAGAGATTTGTAAGGCTTGTTCAGATTCTCTAAGTCTGACAAGTAGTTCACCAGCAGCTTGGACAGCTTCAGCTGTATCTCGCAGCTGAGTTCTTAGGTTCTTGTTCTCCTTCTTCAAGAGCTCTCTTTCTTTCTCCTTCTCAGCTCTGATGGCAGAAAGCTCATCTGAAAAGGCTTTGGCAAAACGCTTTCCATGGCGACCGTTCATAGCGGCCTTGGAGGCTGCCTTCTTTACATCTGTTATTCCAGCCATCATCACACTGTGTTTCTCCCCGAGTTCATTGTACTTCTCCTGCAGCTCCGTGTACTGCTCAATGAATCTACTGTGGCCAAGCACAGCTCTAGTGAGCGCGTCATTCAACTCTTCAGTGGCTAGCTTCTCTTGCTTGAGCTCAATCTCTAGATTCTCAGCTCGACCGCGATGGCTATCGATATCCATTCTGAGATCATCTGTTAAGGATATCCACTCACTCTCCATTTCTGTCCACATCTCCCTTTCTTTCGCTAGAACATCACTGTTCTCACCATTCTTGGAAACATCAATGCTTTTGCGCATTTGAATGGATCGTAGTAGCAAAGAGGATCTCAGATTGTCTGTAGACTTAGTAGGCTGCAGCTTGCTCTTTAGGTCTGCAATCTCCTTGAGAAGAGCTTCCTTTTCACTTACCTCAAAATTGATTTTTCCAAACTCTTCACTAATTTGTTTCGTCTCATATGTTTCTTTTATGAACTCTGTTCCATCACCTGATTTCCTAAGCTGCAAACAAGGCCAGAACACATTTTATTCAATTTAGATTGCCATTCAAGCTTTTTTGACACTAAACACATACAAGGTTCTTACCAGGCGAGTTAGCTCCTCAATTTTAGCTGCTTGCTCCATACACATGTTCTTGAGATGTTTTTCGTTTGAACCCGCTTCTTCTGTTACCTGATATAGAAGAGATTATAAGATAAGTTGCTAAACAGAATTACCAAAATTAAAGTTATAGTGAATGTAGACAAATATCTCGGGTTTTTTGTGGACATACTTCAGCTTCTTGGTCAACTTTCTTTCTACATGAAAGACATAGGAGAATCGACGATAATCCATCTTCTGGAGCTTTATCTTTTCTAAAAGATTGGACTGAAGCATTAAGATTGTCAGCTTCTGCGCAGGGTTTCAATGCCATATGGCCAAAAGAGAAGGAAACAGAAGAACTTTTTGATAGTGAGCTCCCTTGATGATAGTCTATAATTTGCAGTCCTCTCTGAAGACTAGCAGCTAGAGAATCTGTAGGACCTGAAAGCTTCTTTGACATAGAAGGGCTAATTTGATTGACTTTCATGCCTCCAATGTTGGAGCTCTCAGACACATTCCTAGGACTTGCTGAAAACTTTGTCGATGCAGCTACACTCTTCTGAACATTCTTGAACTTTGGAGATTCTGAGAAAATTGGCTCTTCTAGAATACATGTAGGAAGCTGTGATCTGATTGAAATGCCACTACCCGCTGTATCGAATCCAACATTGTTGAGCTGGCTTGGATCATCATCTACAAAGTCTGCATCTTTATGGTTTCCATGCTTGGGTTTGTCTAAGTCTTCTGAGCAGACATCATCATCATCTTCACTCATCGAATCTGCTTCATAGCATGAAGCACTTGCAAATGAGGAGTGGACAGAATCATAAGAACCTTGCAACTTCTCGATATGTTTATTCAATTCCAGCACATCTTCACCACGATTCATATTCATTTCTTTCCCCTCAGATTCATCTCTTTTTGGACACGACATGAGTAATGATTTGTTGATGCTGACTCTCAATTGACTTAAACTGTCCCGTGCAAAGTGTCCGCTCTTACCTCCATCAGGTTGGTACCCATCAGACTTTGTTCTTATGAGTTCTTCCTGTAACCAACCAAATTACAAAACGTTGATTCCTCAAATGTCAGTATATACAACAAACTCACATCAAATATGATACTTGCAGCTATATGACAGTGACAAAAACAAGACCTTTAGCTCTCGAATCTGGTCTCCCAATGGATCGTCCTCTTCCTCTGTAATTTCACTAGGCACTGAATTGGTTCTTCTGGCAAGTACACTCCTGGATTCAACCTTCAATGGTGAATTCAGAAGACTTGGCTTGTCTTCAACAAAAGTGCTTGGTCCCATTTTATTGACCTGTTTAAAATTTCCCAAAGGGTCTCTCTGTAATCAGTGGAAATCGAATCTGATACTACCACAGAGCATACAAGCTTAAGCAACTACAAAACAAATTTAGAAGATTTTTGAGTTATCGAAGTACCTCAATAAGCTCTCCGAAATTTGCTAGGGTTTCACCATCTTTGATGTCAGATTGCTTCGTGAAGTGAAGAGCAGTGTGATGATCGTTAGCCTGTTTGTTTGGATCTACAGGAATCGCGTTCTCGTCGTTGGATCTGGGAAATTTAGTTTCTGGGTTTTGAATTATTGGTTTCTGCTTCGCGGAGATGGATTTTGGAAGCAAATTTCTGATGGAAGAACTTGTAATGCTGCCTAAGAACCTGTTCTCGCTTAATATCGCTGGAGACTTCATTGTTTTCAGATAATGAAGGAGATTGAGAGTGAGAGAGCAAGAGAGATCTGATTATGTTTTGTAAGAAGAAGGAGATCGAGAGCGGCTTTTTGAAATGTCTGAATTTCGACCGTTGAGACTTTTAACTTTTATTGTCTTTTTGTTTTTACTTATTTAAAAGGAAATATCCAAAATAAATTTTTTAAAAAAACATTATTGAAGATGTTGCTTAGGCTGAAAACTTACTTAGTGGGGCCCAAAGCCCATTAACTTCTAATGCTAACGCTCAAGATGTAATCTCATAATGTTCAAGTTCAACTGATGTTGTAGCTCTTAATCACAATGTTCCATGGTTTAAGATTGGTTACTTATGTGTGTAATGATCCTTTGTGATTGTCACTTCCTGGACCCCAATGTGTCTTGGTGGAGTCAAAGGATCCAATGATTCAGGCTTTCTCAAATTCTTGGTAACAAATCCAATGTCTAATTTGGAAGATAAGCTTGTTTACCTTTTTTACCTTATAATCATGAGTCAAACCACATGTACTTAACCAACAGGTTATATAAGCAGAAGAGAAAAGAAAACCAAAGGTAAAAATATCAAATGCAACAAAATAATCATTTTGGAGCCTTTTGCACAATGTTTTCTCTCACGCTAATAGAAAATTCAAAAGTTCCCATGAACAATTCGAATAGAAAGTTTAAAAACCAAAAAAAAAAATCTGTAAGATAAAAAAATTTAACAATTAGAGTTACAAACAGAACACACAACATCAAGGATCTTGGAAGAAGAAGAAGAGAAACCTAAAGAATAGTGATCGAGAATCAACGATCTCTGGTTATTGCTATGGAGACGAAACGCTGAAACCAAATCTTTTTATCATCCATCTTGTATCTTTGCAGCTACCAATCTGATCTTATCTTATGTAAGAATTTTAAAAGTAAAAAAAAACTTCTCTTTTTGTGTTTGTGATGCTAATGACGAAAAACAAAACAAGAAACTCACTGTGATGAAGAAAGTTGGTTTCTTTCTCTACTTGATATTGAATAACAACTCTTCAAACTCTGCAACGGAAATGGCTGTTCTTGATCTACAAATCTCACTTCTCTTCGTCGATTTTTTCTATGCTTCAATACCTGAAAACGTTAATCAATCTAATTACTTTTCAACTGGAAATGTCAATGTATCAGATGAGATGCAAATTAAAAAAAGTTTGACATCGATGAGTGTACCTCTATGCGTTTGTCTATTTCCGACATTGTAGTTTGGGGGGTAACCTTCTGAGGCATTGGCAGATGGGTCTGAGCCTACATTGTCAATACCAAAGCCATAAGAGCGAGACAAGCCGTCTAACTCATTAGAAGACTGATGATGAGGCATTGACTGCTGCCACGTTGAGTCGCTATAAACTGAGCTGCCTCTATACAATTCCCCTATAGAGCCATCAAAACCGTTCGTGTTACCCGAGAATGATAACCCAGAAAGTCCAGAACCAGCCCCATAGGTTCTTCCAAAGCCATTGGTATCGCTCACCACAGAAGAAAGTCCCCAGTTTCCTCTGTTATTACCAACCGAAACTCCCAAGTTCCAACCGGGACCAGAAGAATCACTTCTGTTTCCCCATAAGTCTCTGTTGCTTGGGTTGTAAGCAGAGTCGCCTCTATTGTACCCAATTGGGGAGTTGTAACGGTTTGGTGAAGCACTGTTGAAGTACTGGTTGCCTGGGATCCGGCTATACCCAAGAGTGTTTCCATCAAAGCTTGAATTCAAATTTAGTTCTTGATTCAAACCAAGCCCAAAGCTAGAGAAAGCATTTCTACCGCTACCAATAGGACTAAACCGGCCAGCAGAGCCTAGATTATTATTATTATAACCAGGAGGAAAACTATTGAAGTAGCTATTAGCAGATGACCTATTAGGGACTACTCCATAGTTGTTAGCATACCCAATAAGAGGGCTTCGGTTAGGAGTAGTCGAAGAGAGCTCCTTTGGCACTGCTCTTTTAACCTCAACCATTTTTCCGTTTAGCTCATGAAAGGTCTTGTGGAGAACCATATCAACAGACTCTTCGGAATCAAATGTGATGAAGCCAAAGCCTCTTGGCCTCTGTGTATTATGATCATACATTACCACAACGTCAGCAATTGTACCAAACTGATCAAAGTAGTTCTTGAACTCGGCCTCAGTAATGCTAGACGGTAAACCTCCAACAAAGATCTTCTTTGTCCGTGCACCACCACCATTACCACCATGGCTAGGTGAGATAAGGTGCATTGGACTGGCGTGTCGTTTTAGCACTTGCTGATCATCCCGCGGGACAGCTTTCTTCGCCTCGACCTGCAACCCAAAAAAAAACAAAAGGATTTTTCATTATTTTCTCATTGATCTAACACTAACATTGCCACTTCAACACAAAACAACAACAAATTCTCACAAGTTATAACAGTAACATCAAATCAAGAAGCTAACGAAAAGAGCATGACTACAGAAAGATCTAAACTTTGCTGCATAAAACTCATCAATGTAGGATAATACAATGAGTAATGACACCAAACAGATCTCTAACAGAGCATGAATACAGAAAGATCGAGACTTTAGAACAATTTATTGCTCATTACTGATCAATGGATAATTTCATGAGCAGCGACACCAAATAAGACCTCTAAGACAGAATCATCACAGAAAGATGGAGACTTTAGAAAAATCCATTGCTCAAGACTGATAATCGAGATGAATTTACAAGCAATGGATCCAAGATTACTAACCGTACGGCCATCAATGATGTGTTTGTCCATGATGACTCTCTCTGCAACAGAAGGATCTGCAAAAACGATAAACCCAAAGCCACGGGCACGTCCAGTAGTACGGTCTCTCATGATCACAGCTTCAACCAAATCTCCATACTTGCCAAAATACTCTTGCAGTCGTTCTTCATCTGTATCCCATGAAATCCCGCCAATGAAGAGCTTCCCCAGATCCGATGCAGATTCCATCTTTTGCTCCTGCAAAACCCAAACACGATCCAATGAATCCGATCTTACAAACACGGATCAGATTTGCGCAATTGACGATTGCCCATTTTATCTTAATGACGCTGGTTTTTACTACGATCGTGTTTTAAGATTCAAAGAGCTCAAGTTCTGAGATTTATGAAGAATTGTTCAAGTTTTACCTCCAGATTCATCTTATCGGAATATTGAAAATCAAACGGAAAAGAGACAGGGAAATCTACTTCTGTCTGAAACAGAATCCAAATTCTAGTCCCGATCAAATAGGAATTGAGTATCTTCAAATCTGACAATGGATCATCAAAACATCCAATCAAAACAATTATTTTTAAAAAAAAAAAAACCAGAAATGAAACAGAACAATCAATGGGAAGAGAAACGGAAAATGGGCATAAAGAAAAAAAAACGCCAGATTTGAACAAAAACATCAAACTTGTGAAGACGGGAAAAATCACCATTAAGGAGAGGACCCAGATGATAAAATGTGGGAAACCTTAAGATCTGGAAAAAGGGACAAGGACAAGAGAAACAGAGGATGTTTTGTTCATTCTATAAGACATCCATCCACTCTCTCTGTCTCTCTCTTTCTCTTTCTCTATAGGGTTCTTCTTCTCTTATCAAAAATATGGCCTCTCTCTTTCTCTCTCTATATCTCTCTCTCAAGCTTATTAAAAATCTTTCCTTTTTTATTTTGTGTAATGCTTTCTTAATTGATTTACCAAATCCATTAAGAAGGATTCCTTTTTTTTTTTCTTCTTCAGGCCAAAGATGGTAAAAGAGAGAAGAACAACAACAGTCACATATAATAATAGGGGGGAAGAATTTGAGATTTGCTTCTCTCTTTTGGTGTAAGAATCTTATTTTAGGGTTGTTAGACTTAGAGGGAGGCCCTAAAGACAGATGATGGAAGATGATACCTCCTTTTTATTTTTAAATTTATATTTTTCCCACAAATATGTTGATCTCAATAATTCACTTTCTAACCAATTATTTATTTGCGAAAAAATAATTAATAAAAAAAAATCACTCTTCTTGTGGATTTAATTCATTATGGAGTCTCTAAAAAAAAATATCAAACATATTGTATTGGCGAATCTAAAAAATTAGTCACAGAAAAAAACTTTTAGATGTCAATGTCAGTAACACAACTTTTCTAAATGCTAATTAACATGAACAAAAGAAAATTTCTTCGAAGCCATGATTTTTTTTAGAACACTAATTTCATTGTCTACTTTTGTTCTTCTAAAAATTAAGTTTGTAGCTGAATTTTTAATTTTATGAAGATTGTCTTCTAAAGCTTTATTTCCAAATTATATATTTTTGTGTAATCATAAAACTTAATTATTTGTATGTCGCCTATATATTGCTACATTTAACTTTCTATTGTACAAATTTCTTAGGTTGAAAAATTTAATTTGATATATTAATAATAAAAGAATTTGAGATTGTTTAGAGATTTCTCTATTCAATTTTTAAGATTTATTTAAATTATATTATACTAGAATAATAGAAAAAAGGATTTTACATTAATATCGAACCATCTATATATACATTTTCTTTTACTTAAAGAACATAAAGAGTAAAAAGAAATTAAAAACAAATCTGCTAAAAAACCTCTGCACATTATTCCTTGCTTTGGAAACAAACTAAGTTTAAACTTTATGCGTATATTTAATTTTATATTATAAATACTTTAAAATTGAAAGATTTTGCGACATAATTTGTAGGTATGTGGTTATGTTATTGAGTACACAAAACACCCGGAAATGAGTGGTTAAAAGATCGAGTACACTAGATACTAATTGAGTGTTAGAGAGTAATCAAAAAAAAATTACATCGATATTCCAAGATTACTACATAGTATATTTTTCTTGTTCGTTGGTGATTCATCTTCTAATATACGACGAACCCACGACAGATATTATACATTTTTTTTTTTTTTTGGTAAAACAGATATTATACATTTGTCGACACATTCTACCTATGATAATACATTTTGAATAAAACTAATATGTTTTTCTACGGGAACCCATTATCAGAATTATGCCTACGTTTTTTTTTTCTTTCATATTTGATATTTCTGCGTTGACATAATTTTAAAATTGGGTACTCGATGCTATCTTTTTAATATCACAAAGATAGAATCATATGCCCTACATGAAAATAAAATAATATTTTTGCATCAAGTTTACTCATTTTATATTCTGTTCCATTGACATTTTATCTTTAACTATAAGCACAAATATTCTGTTGTGTGGTGTTTTTTTCATCCTCTCTTATGTGGGCATATTTCTATATGATGCCTAAAACAATATAGTTTTCTTTTATAACAAAAAAAAGTTTTCTATAAAATTATCAGACGGAGAAGATAGGATCTGTAGACAGCTGAGCTTGTCTTGTGTAGAGGAAAAAGTCTACCCCTAATGTTCTTTTTGGGCATAATGATGTTTATGAGTATCCAAGGGTTGCACTATATCCATTAATTAATTTGTAGACGGCCAATAATATAATTCATATTTGGCATTCGGTGACCTCATTGATCTCATAGATAAGTCATTTGTTTTAATAAGAAGGTAATATTATTTTGCAAAAAAAGAAGAAGGAAAAAATGTATACGAGTTTATGGTACTTTTAAAATTATATTAATTTTGCAAAACATCTTAGTTTATCTCAGAATACTTTTTGTATAAGCAGGTAATCATATGCCGAATTCTTAACTAATCTTAAACATATAAAATCGTAAAATATCTTTGTTTTTAAAATGTTTAACGTCATCAAATAGAAAAATGCAAATTGAAGATAATTCACTCCTAAAAAGGTCTCCAGCACTTGAGTACAAGATCACCAATCTTCGATGTGTATGCCATATATTGTGAACTTAAAATAATTCAAAATCTAAGTACACCAAACCAAAATAGTGAACCCACCCTTTTTCTTGGTCAAATGTTTGATCAAAATTATGATGATGGTATGTGTGGTTATGTGAAGGGGACAACATCTTTTCCGTTTCTAGATTATTGTAGAGTTTTTTAAATACCAAAGAAAACAATTGTCGAGTTTACCCTAATTTTTTTTTTTTTTTTTTTTTTTTTTTTTTTTTTTTTTTTTTTTTTTACTTTGGTTAATCTATAGATGAAATTTAATATGTAAAAATGAAAAGACTATATGAGTAATTTTATAACTCTAAAATCTCTCTTAATCACATAATTCTGAATAGTTACGATACATTTTATGTTGCTTTATTAGTTTACCAAGTTACCTACTTTCGTATTAATATTATTCGAACTATTGGTTTTTATAAAAAAAAAAAAGAAAAAAAAACTATTGGTTTTTATCAAAACATGGTTTACTAACATTAATTTTAAAAGGTGTGAAACAATGAATGGTATGGAAAATAGTTCTATAGTTTTATTCAGAAACGACATTGAAAGAGATACACATTCTTTTTAAAAAAGTTATTTCTTCTTATCTTTTTACACATTTTGGAAGTTTTACAACCAAAGAAACATGAAATTTATATTATTATTTATTTTTTGAAAAATTCTCTAACAAGATTTGAGGTGGACCAACTTGGATCCAGAATGTCACCATTAGAAATCCCAACTGTTTGTTATCCACGAAAATAAAACTCAACCACTACCCCACAAGATAAACCAATAGCTTAAATTTGAACAAAAAAAATTCGATTCAATTCCCACATAATTTGGCAGGTAATAGTAATACCCATTTTTATCTAATTTTAACTCAAGGGCCTAGGCCCATTTAAACCAACGAAAGAAACTGAGAACGCCCCAAGCTAAGGTTATATTCTTTTACACAATGGGTTATTCTATTTACGCTCAGAACGTGTTGAAGTTGATTGATCCGGAGAAAAAATATACCTTGAAGATCGAGTCATAACCAGAGAACAAAGTAAGTCCTTATGAGAAAACACTTGATCTTCTTGTGGCTGATGAGCGTAGAGTGGTAATAGTGGATGATAAACTTGAGGTTTGGCCTCATCACAAGAGAAACTTGTTACAGATCACCAAATACATTTATTTCAGCGTCGATATTGATAAAAGTGGAGATCTTACGCAGAAGTTAAGAGAGACGAGACTCGAGAGTCTTAGTAATGGATCATTGGCAAATGTTCTGAAATTCCTAGTATATGTTCACAAAAGATACAAAAAGGAGTTAGATTCTAAAGACTTGAGGCTGTTGATACCTGATCCTTATCAACAATACTGCTTCTGACTGATTCATTCCACCAATTTGCTACACTCTTAAAGCTACTTAGACCATGATTAACAAGAGGATCTTAAGATTTTCTTAAAATGATCTTAGAAATTAAATGATTAAAATTAATTCCCAAATAAGCTTTAAAGCTAAGGTGAGTTGTTCCGACAACTCTCTGAACAAGCTCATAATTTATGAATTTTGATTACACTTATTATTTTATATATTTTGACAAATGTCCATGAGGAAAAAAAAAAACAAGGTTTGTTACATCTTCTATTTGTTTTTGTCAACTTTAACGTTTGTGGTTGCTTTACAAATTGATAAAACTAAATAAAGGAGAAAGAAAAAAAAAAGAAGAAGAAAATAAATTGTATAAAAAGAAAAAAAAAAAGGGGAAAACAAAGAATTAAGAGAGAGGTGTGAAGTCAATTTCGTTCTTTCTTCTTTCACTACAATCTTCACTAACACAGAGACCAAAATCTCTCTCAAATTCGCCATAGCTGAGAGCTTCTTCTCCTTACTTTCCTTCGTTTTTGTCACCCTTGCGAATCTCTGAAATGAACCCTCAAGCGAATGACCGGAAGGAGTTTCAGGGCGATAGTTCGGCGACGGGAGATCTCACGGCAAGGCACGATTCAGCTGGAGGAGGAGGAAATGGAGGTGGAGGTGCTAGGTATAAGCTGATGTCACCGGCCAAGCTTCCGATCTCTAGGTCGACTGATATCACGATTCCTCCTGGGTTGAGTCCGACTTCGTTTTTGGAATCTCCTGTTTTCATCTCCAACATCAAGGTTTAAGCAGCTACTTTACTCTCTCTTCTTCTTCTTCTTCTTCGATTCTGGTTAATGCAATCACTGTTTCACCTCATTTCTGGTGTCGATTTGAGAAATTAGGTTTTCTGATTGCATTTTATTTTAGACCTAAAGGATTTTTTTCTTCTTCATGAAATTGGATTGTGCCATTTTGAAACTGAGTTTGGAATTGGATTCAGAACATTGACATTTTTGTCCCACTTGTTCGGTTTCTCGTTGCTTCAATTCCGATTCGGATCACTGTTCATGTTTGTGGTTAAAGTGGAGCAAATGATTCTTCTAGAGTGTTTCGTAGTGGGGAATTTCTGGGATTACTTAACTGGGTTCTATAATTTGGTGGAGATGCTTTCTGCTTGCTCACTAGGAAAAACATTGGACTTGAGTTTCCATTTTTGTTCCTTAATCCCTTTCAAGTGATTAAAAAACTATGATTTGTTTGCTTACGTTAGGGACTTTGGCCAAGATTCTGATTCCTTTGTGTTACTATACTCTGCATTGGTTTGCATTTGTGTCCGTTCAGATTGTTCTTTGGAATAAACCTTTTTATTATCATGTTCTCTTGGTGCTGGATAGTTTATTTATATCCTCTTTGCTCTTTGTCGTTTCTTCTTCATATTGTCTATCTTTCTTTTGTTTGGTGCTTCTCTTTCCTTTTTCCATTCTTTGTACATTAGGTTTCAGTTAGCTGCGTCTGTGAATGATTCTGTTGGTGAGAAAAAAGTACTTTACTCGCATGTTCACCATTTAGAGCTATAGAGTAATCGTTTTATTCAAATATCAAAGTGATGAATAATAGGTTATATGCTATGCTCAATTGTATTTTGCATCTCTTTGTTACATCTTCTTATCCCTTGATTGAACAAGAATTTTTTTGCTTTTGTTTTTAGAAGACTGGTCTCTTTAAATACATCATGTTTATTGATAGATCAGGTTCAGGTTTTACGAAATCCGATATGTATTATGTTTTATTCATGCCATTGATAATATGCCAACTTTCTTTAACTTTCAGCCAGAACCTTCCCCTACCACTGGTTCTTTGTTCAAGCCTCGACCAGTGCACATTTCTGCTAGCTCAAGTTCTTATACAGGTAGGGCGTTCCATCAGAACACCTTTACTGAGCAGAAGTCCAGTGAATTTGAGTTCAGACCTCCTGCATCCAATATGGTATTTTCCAAAACAATGCTGTTTCTAATGCTTAGCATGTAATGTACTGTTCAGAGAGTAGACAACATATGAACTCCGAAATGTGGCTGAACCTTCTACACAAATTCTGTTTATTCAGCACTTTGTTGCTTGAAACATCTCAAAATCTTTCTCCTTTGCATACATATAATTGCATGCCTCTCTTAAGTTTGTTTCATAAGGAGCCTTGTATCCAAAACCTCACAGTTCTTAAGTTCCTTGTATATTGTTGGGGGATGACTTTGTCTAAACATCTTTATTGATTTCAAGGTTTATGCAGAGCTTGGCAAGCATAGAAGTGAGCCACCGGTACAATTTCAAGGCCAGGGCCATGGATCATCACACTCACCTTCTTCACTCAGTGATGCTGCAGGTTCCTCAAGTGAGCTAAGCCGGCCAACTCCTCCTCGTCAGATGACACCAACGAGCTCAGATATTCCGGCTGGATCTGATCAAGAGGAATCAATCCAGACTTCCCAAAATGAGCCCAGAGGAAGCACACCATCCATCTTGGCTGATGATGGTTATAACTGGAGAAAATATGGTCAAAAACATGTCAAAGGGAGTGAATTTCCCCGGAGCTATTATAAATGTACACATCCTAATTGTGAAGTGAAAAAGTTATTTGAAAGATCTCATGATGGGCAGATCACCGATATTATATACAAGGGTACACATGACCATCCTAAACCTCAACCTGGTCGCCGAAACTCTGGTGGTCTTGGTATGGCTGCACAAGAAGAAAGGCTAGACAAGTATCCTTCTTCAACTGGCCGAGATGGTAAGCATATCTAAAACTTGAGACAAAATTGCACTTACTCCCTTGACAATATCTATAACTTGTTCCTTCTACTCTTTATGTCTGCATATAGAGAAGGGATCTGGCGCCTACAACTTGTCTCACCCCAATGAGCAAACTGGTAACCCTGAAATACCTCCTGTCTCAGCATCTGAGGATGGTGGAGAAGCTGCAGCGTCAAATAGGAATAAAGATGAGCCGGACGATGATGATCCATTCTCAAAACGGAGGTATTAGAATTTAACAAAGGATTTAGGTGCTTGCTTTGAATCTGTGATTTGACATGATTGAAACTTTCTTGTAACTATATGCAGGAGGATGGATGGTGCGATGGAAATAACTCCACTTGTGAAACCCATCCGAGAGCCTCGGGTTGTTGTTCAAACTCTGAGTGAGGTTGACATACTGGATGATGGTTATAGATGGCGTAAATATGGGCAGAAAGTCGTAAGGGGGAACCCAAATCCCAGGTTTGTACAGCATCAAAGCTTTTACCCAACAAATTCCTTACTTTTTTCTCGAATGAACATACATAAGCATAACTTGCAAGTTCAAGATGGTAGATAGAACAGTTTAGTCTTTGTCTTCAGGGGCTAGTAATTTGTTATGTGCATAAAGTGTTGGTTCTTTTTGGAATTGGGTTTTGGAATATGGAATCTTAACAGACTCAACATGTGTGCAATGGAGATATTATGTCTGATGATGTTCCTCGGCCTTTTGTAGGAGCTATTACAAATGCACAGCTCCTAATTGCCTAGTGAGAAAACACGTGGAGAGGGCATCACATGACCCAAAAGCTGTAATAACAACATACGAAGGCAAACACGATCACGATGTTCCCACTTCAAAGTCTAGCAGCAATCACGACATCCAGCCTCGGTTCAGACCAGATGAAACAGACACCATCAGCCTCAATCTTGGTGTTGGAATCTCATCTGATGGACCTAACCACGCTTCCAACGAGCATCAGCATCAGAATCAACAACTCGTCAACCAAACTCACCCAAATGGAGTCAATTTCAGGTTTGTTCATGCTAGTCCCATGTCATCCTACTATGCTAGCTTAAATAGCGGTATGAATCAGTATGGCCAGAGAGAAACAAAGAACGAGACTCAGAATGGCGACATCTCGTCCTTGAACAATTCATCTTACCCATATCCGCCCAACATAGGGAGAATACAATCGGGTCCTTAAAAGAAAAAGTAAGCAACACTATGTATGGGATTCTTCTTAGGTTAGGAATGGGACGAGACCCTTGTTCTATATAATTCCTATTTCTTCACAGAGAGTTGATCTTGATATAAACTATCTCCACTATATATATTTGTTTGTTTCACCTGTATTGAGTTCCAAATATGTTTTGTAAAAATACACTACAAGATGTTAATGCTTTTATTTAAACAAGAAACAGCAATATTACTACAAACTCTTTCTTCTTCACTGTAATTAGATAGATAAGCTCCACGGAAGAAACTATAGTACTCCACATTTTAGGCATCCCTATCTAGTACTGTGCAATTTAATACAAAACCCGTTCCTATGGACAAAAAAGCCTATCCCGACCACGACGGTAATTAAGCTGCGTGGTCCTTAAGCAGACAATTACAACTGTTGCCCGTTTTTCAATAATAGTTTCTCAACTTTAGTTATAATTTTGTCAAAAAAAACTCATAATAATGAGTTATAAATACTTCCACTAGGTGATTTACCATTGGATAACACTAACTTTGTTTAATTATTTGTTTATATAGTATCCATACAAAGTTAAGAGATTTGTGCAAAACGTGGATTTTTTTTTTTTTTTTTTTTTTTTTTTTTTTTTGAATAACCGCGGGTCTCCCAAAGGCTTCCTAGGCCCAAGGACTAAAACGTGGATTCCCAATTAAAACATTAAATTTAGATGCTACATAACAAGTTATCTTGTTCTCTATGACATGTTTATTAAGTGGAAGTTACAATTTCTAATTTCATATTTAGAATTTAGTTTTGTTTGGTTGTTGTATTTTTTTTTTGTCGAAGAATTTAGTTTTGTTAGAGACAAACGTATTACTTTCTTTTAGATCACTAGTATCCGCTAAGAAAAAAAATATTGCCGCTATCAATCAAACCAACGAGGCAACGACATTGTAAGTAATTTATTATCATTGTTGTCAAAAAAGTTTTTTTTTTTCCCACAAGACCTAGTAAATCATTTTCATTTTTTGCGAGAAGGCGAAATCGAACTATCGTGTTAAAAGTCCTGCAAAAATGACAACACCATTTATGCTAGCGGATCCAAACCGTCATCAAAATAGTTAAATATCAAATTTTTTTTTTTGTCAAAATCATTTATTAAATTCCATCCACTTTGGATCATTTTACCTAAATTATGCTTGTTTAAATCAATCATCATTAAACATTCAACGTATTCACTAAATTTCTTAAAAAAAAAATAACAAAGATTAAGAATGAGTTATGTTTTAATCATTTGGTCAATCACATCAACTTGCTTCCATGTAAAACAATTTGATTTAATTTAATCCGATAACACAATTATTACGTAGTAATTTTGTATGATAATTTTATGGATCATTTATTTATAAAATTATTATACCATAGAAAAACTACCAAAAATAAATTTGATTTATCCATTTTAATTTAAAATTAGATTTGTAATTAAGAAAAACTATATATAGATTTTTCTATAGGTCACACACATTGAATATGTTAACTTTTTGGTCCTAATTGGAATCCTTGAATACAAGGTCTCGGTTCGGTACCAGGTTCGGAACCGGACGTTAGGCTAGGTATACCGTCATCGATCCACGAGATGCATCAAACATAAAATCTGAACCGTTGATGAACTCTCTTGAAGCAATGAAATTGGACCGCGATGATTAACCCTACACCTGACGTGGCATTAAACTGTATTTAAAATCCGATTTTGCGTCCGAATCCTTGAGTTTCTCTCTCCTAAAAAACGCTATCAAAAAGAAAAACAAAAGCTATTTGTTCTGTTTCGTAAGGAAAAAAAAACTCAGTGCCGAGTCTTGTGATACTCTGAGGTGAGATTCCAAAGTCTTGTGCTTAAGAACCCTGTGGATACTCTGCTTAAATCTTTGTGAGCTTTTATGTTTCGTGCTTTGGTTTGAATTCGCATGTTCTTTTGGTTTGGTGTTCTTTGTGTTTGTTTAAAGTTGCGATGAGAAGTTAGGGTTTCTCATGCGCTTCTCTTATTTGTGAATTTCGATGTTTTGAGGATTTATTGTCTTTCTTTTATCCGATGCTATTAAGTTGTTGACAAAATGCATGAATTTGACGTTGATTGACTTAATTTCGAGAGATTCAAGTGGATAGAAGATGGGTTTGTGTTTTTTCTCAATCTGTGTGGAGTAAGCTTAGGAGATTTCTCTGAGTTTATAGGGTGATTTTTGGGTTCATTTATCCATCTGGATCTTTGTTTCTACAGAATGTATAAGAAGGGATAATAAATGATGAACCTTTGAGATTTTGATTTCGTAATGACTTGCTCAAATTTTCATATAGATCTTCTTTTTCAGATCTAAAGTGGGATTAAGTGATAATTATGGATCACGCATGAGATCTAAATTAAATTTTGACCAGCCAAGTTTTAGATTTTGTTTTCCTGGAGTTAGTTTTTTTTTGCATATATGCTAGTGTGAATTCAATGCGTTTTACATGTTCTTTATGTGATGTTGTTAAGTTTCTTTATAGAGAGAGCATTAATTTCTACTATCGTAGCAATATTAACCCTCTAAACTGATTTCTCATGCAGCCTTTGATTACAACTAGAGGTGTTTTTGGTGGAAGGATCTACTGTTTTTTTAATATGGGGGAAGATACAAAGGCAACCATTGAGCCAACCGCAAACAAGACTACTTCTCTTGAAAAGCCATCAGAGGCTATGGCTGGAAAAAAGGAGGAGGAGAATGCTGAGGGAAAGGAAACACAAGAACTTACGAAAGATGAGGATATTGCTGAACCAGAGAAAATGGAGATAGATGCTGAGATAAAGAAAGATGATGAAAGAGCTGTGACCGAAGATAAGGAGTCAGAGGTTAAGAAAAAGGAAGACAATGCTGAGACTCAAAAAATTGAAGATAAGGTTGAGGTCACCAAAGATGAGGGACAAGCAGAGGCTACCAACATGGATGAAGATGCAGATGGAAAGAAAGAGCAAACTGGTGATGGTATTTCAGTGGAAGATACCGTAATGAAGGAAAACGTGGAATCTAAAGACAATAACATTGCCAAAGATGATGAAAAGCAAGAGACAAATACTACTGAGGCAGACCACAAAAATGCTGGGAAGGAGGACATAGAACATGAAGGTGAAAAAGCAAATGGAACAAAAGATGGCAATACAGGAGACATCGAAGAGGAAGGGACACTGGTAGATAAAGACAAAGGGGCAGACAAGGATGAAAAAGTGGAGAATGTTGAAGAAGGAAAGGAGAAGGAAGATACGGAAGAAAATAAAACAAAGGAAGTTGAGGGGGCAAAGGCTGAGGTGGATGAGGCAAAGGTAGAAGATGGAAAAGAAGGGAGTGATGATAAGAACAACAATGAAAAAGTGGAGACCAAACATGCTAAGGAAGATGAGGAAGAAGAGAGAAATGATGACAAAGAAGATGAAAATGCAGAGAAGGAAGATGAAAAAGAAGAGAGCAAGGGTTCTAAAAAGCGTGGGAAAGGCAAGACTTCTGGAGGAAAGGTTCGCGAGAGGACAAAAAACGAGGAAGTAAAAAAGGAAGCAGAGCCTAGGACTCCTTTCTCTGATCGCCCTGTGCGTGAGCGGAAATCTGTTGAGAGGCTTGTTGCATTGATTGATAAAGACTCTTCGAAAGAATTTCATATTGAAAAGGTTTGCCAGTACTTTCCTGAAATGAGTAGAACTTCATTGCTAGATATGTTTATAATAATCTTTTGGATATTACAGGGGCGAGGTGCATATCTCAAAGATATTCCCAATGGTATGTTCATATTCTAATTATAAGTTTACAGTTTGAGTCCCTAATTATTTTGTAATGTGTGTGGCCTTAACGTTCTTTTGTTGCTGGAAATTTAAGTGCTGGATACTGCTAGTTTTTAAATTGCATTTATACTCTGGGTGGATTCTTTGATCTATACATTTTTCTGTTCTGGTTATGTGAATCTTCATATGACATGTTTTTCTTGGCATTGAGCAACTCCAGCTGGCTCAAGCATTTATTGTTAACCAAAATCTAATATCCACGACCTACAGATAAAATACCTTTTTTGTTCCATTTTTTTAATCCTTTTTTTTTTGCAGTTGAAATGAAGTAGATAACTTGAATGTTGTTTCTTTGTAGTTGCTAACAAGGTAACAAGGAAGAAGCCTGATGAAACTTTGAAGCTGCTGCACATGATTCTATTTGGTGGGAGGAGAGGGAAGGTGAGCATCTCTTTGGACCCTTTCATATTCTGCCGCTCCAATAGTCATAATTCTAAAATTGTCAATCATGGGCATACTCTTGTAGTTTGTGACCAGTGGTTTGGACTCAGGTTCTACAGCTTTATCTTAGCAGCAAGTCTGCTAATCATGTTTGTATGTATCTCATTCTTCTTGCTTTATCAGGCTGCTCAGATCAAGACAAACATATTGGGCTTCTCTGGTTTCGTTTGGCATGGAGATGAGGTGTGTAACATTACATGAAGGTTGCTTTACATATGCCTTTACTTTGTTTATAATTATGGGACTCTTTGGTATTTGCAGAAGAAGGCAAAAGAGAAAGTAAAAGAAAAGCTTGAAAAATGCATCAAAGAGAAACTGTGGGAGTTTTGTGATGTGTTGGACGTACATATTACCAAGGCTACAACAAAGAAGGTCATTATGGCTATCTATTTCTAAGTTCTGGTTCTTGAGATTCATTATTTTCATGTGTGAATAGTTTATGCTAAGTCATATCCCCATTTCATCGAATATGGCAACTTGTTGTTGCATGCTTTTTCAACACAGGAAGATATTATTACAAAACTGATTGAGTTTTTGGAGAAACCTCATGTGACAAGTGACACTGCAGTTTCTGAGAAAGAGAAGGTAATTTAGTGTTGGGAAAATTGTTTGTTTTAATAACTATTTGTGCATCTTACATTCTACTAAAACATTCTCTTGAAACAGTCAAGTAAGGGAGCAAAACGCAAGAGAACTCCCAAGCAAAGTTCACCTACAGCTGGGAGTTCATCCTCCAAACGATCAGCAAAGGTAATGCATAGCTTAGAGCTAGAGGCTTGCTTGTTCATTACTCATGTTATAACTCTGAAGAGAATGTATAACCTCAATGTTACTTATTTGCAACTGTCCATCACTGGTCAATGTCTCTGGCTAAATACGTAAATCAGATTATAATATTGTGCACTTCCTTTGCAGAGCAAAAGAAAGTCTGAAGAAGCAACAAAAGGTGTCAAAAAGAGTTTAGCTCATTCTGATGATGAGTCTGAAGAGGAGAAAGAAGAAGAAAAACAAGAGGAGGAGAAGGCAGAAGAGGAAGAAGAGAATAAAGACGAGGAGAATGAAAATGGCATTCCTGATAAATCTGAGGATGAGGCACCTCAGCCTTCTGAAAGCGAGGAGAAAGATGAATCTGAGGAGCATTCTGAAGAAGAAACTGCAAAGAAGAAACGTGGTTCTAGATTGTCAGCTGGGAAGAAAGAATCAGCAGGGAGAGCCAGAAACAAGAAAGCAGCAGTCGCTGCAAAATCCAGTCCACCAGAGAAGGTTACACAGAAGCGATCATCAGCCAAACGAAAGAAGACTGATGATGACAGTGATACAAGTCCAAAAGCCTCCTCTAAGAGGAAGAAGACTGAAAAACTTACCAAGGCCTCCCCGGCTTCTTCAAAATCTGCATCAAAAGAGAAGCCAGGTTTGGTCATTAACCTGTTTTTATCTTCCAGTAAGATGGTCGCTTAGGTATAATAAAGCACATGTTGGGTGTAGGGTTTGTCAGATGCATTGGAGAATATTACAGCCACTAATGTTTTCTGACACCATGTTTGTCTCTGTTTGTGTCTATATGCTAAAAGTAAAAAGGGCTGGAAAAGGGAAAGACACGCCGAGTGATAAAGTGCTGAAAAATGCTATCGTTGAGATCTTGAAAAGAGTGGACTTTAGCACGGTGAGTAATTTCTCAACCTTTTATATTCGATACACTTAACTACTTGGGATGTGTGTGGAATAAAACAAAATTGGACTCTGCCGAACAAACTTATTGGTTACATGAAAAAACCTTCGTTTTCTGAAAGCTGATTTGAAGTTTGTTGTGAAATATCTATTCAAGCTATGAATTGTCTTGTATACCTAGATAACCTAATAAGAGCATTGTTGTTCTTCTGCAGGCTACGTTCACGGACATCCTTAAAGAACTTGGTATGAACAGATTGGTTTCAGTCATTTGTTTTTTTAGTGATTCCTGGTTATATATGTTAAACACATTGTTTGATCCATCTTTCAGCTAAGGAGTTCACAGAAGATCTCACTCCAAGAAAGTCATCTATAAAGATGATAATCCAAGAGGAGCTCACCAAATTAGCAGAAGAGGAGGAGGAGGAGAAGAAAGAAGAGGATGCAGAGAAGGAGGAAGCGGGAGGGTCTGGTGGTGGTGAGGAGGTGAAAGCCTGAACTCTTTTCTGATCACATCGCACATATTGAGTCTCTCTCTCACAGGTCGTGTTGCCTAATGCCTAGTAGTCATCTGGCAAATGTGTAAGTTAAATCTGTGGATGTAATATTTTGTTGTTGGAGTCTGAACTGCGCAAAGCAGCTTTACTTTTGGTAGAGACAAGAGGAAGAAGCTGCATAGCCAAAGGATAGGTTGCTTGTATGTCTATAGCATTTAACATAAAAGCCTCCTTGGATTGTCTTTGATTTGTGAGGCTCCCTTTTCGATACATTCTCAAGCTTTCTGTAGTTTATGTCTTTTGGTTTGAAGGAGGCCAATGGTAATAAAAGAATAATATGATTCCCTTTAGTCTTTGAATTTAGTATTTAAATATTACAGAAGGATCTTATATGCATCATGTATCCTTGGTCCATCTCTAACATATCTGCAAATCTACCAAGGCAAATCCAATCTAAGAAATGCAGGAATTGGTACACCTCATGAACATACAACAAAGAGTAACAATGGTTCTTTGGTTCAATAAAAACATTCCCTTTATGGTGCAACTTTCAAATCTGAATTTGATGGCGTAAATGGTTCTTTGATTCGAAAGGGACACGCGCACACAAAGGCAAATGTACCGGTCCGATTGCAAAATAGAATATCGGTTAAGGACAAAGCCGGAATTAGAGTAACGGAATATACCTGAGAGTTAAGACCTCTCGCAGTAGAAGAAGCACTGAGAAACTTTCACTTGTGCTTCTCCATAGTTTCAGTTTCGATCTGTAAAGTTTCCAACTTTTGGTCGGATTTGTAAATGGGAAGTGGCAGAGATAGAGACGACCCTTTATCCTTCACCAGCAATCCATCTACGGCGTCGTCTCCAGTCACTGTATCTGACTATCTCGACACCTTTCTCGGCGAACCCACTTCTCGCTCCGGGAGTTTTCAGAGCGAGAGCTTGCTCGGTGGAAGCGGTGGAGAGAGCATTAACGACGCTGATTTCGGATTCGCTCGTCCTGATTTCCGATCGGAGCAACTCGCTGGAACCGTACAGTTTTACGAGAGGCATGTCTTCTTGTGCTACAAAAAGCCATCTGTTTGGCCCGCAAGGATCGAGGCTGCTGAGTTCGATCGATTGCCTAGGCTACTCTCTGCGGCTGTATCGGCCAGAAAGAGTAGCATGAAGAAGGAGGTGAGCTTTTTACTCTTGCGATTTTCTGATTCCATCTTTATCGGATTGATTCAGCTTGTTTGCAGTTAACTTGAATCCAGATTTCAAGTGTATTGCTTGATTCTCATGCATTTAGGTCTGATTGTTTCCAATAAGTCTCCCAAATAAGCAAAAAGCATTTGCGTTCACTTGTTTGGGTTTACTTAAAGATCTGTTTAAGATCCTAATGAGTCATAAAAACTCTTGCCTGGTGACTCTTGGGATTTCTGTATGGGTCAAATAAGGCAAAGTTTCTATTTTTGGCACGATTCTTCTATGCCTAACAACATAATCACTTGTCTATTGGCTTCAAGATGGGATCTTAGAACTTGCACCTCCGTTTTTTGAGCTATAACAGTGGTGAACTTAAGTGGATATGGTGTCTGTAATGGATTGCTTCTTTTCGGATAGTCTTATGATGAGGCCTTATGGCGTGGCTTCTTGTGATTTCTGCATCAGTCATGAATGTTTTTCGCTTTGTGCCTCATGTGTTCTTTTTTTGGCCATTGTTTTGTAGACTCGACTCACAATATGTGAGGGCCATGATGGAACAGAGACATCCAATGGTGATGTACTTATTTTTCCTGATATGATCAGATACAGGTAAGTATTGAAGTCTTCCTAGTCGGAGATTTCTTAGATTTGGTCTCGCTTTTCTTTCAACAGTTGGGACTTATTTTTGACAGGTTTTATTTAACAACAATAAAATTGCAGAAGATTGACTCATTTTGATGTGGACACATTTGTGGAAGAGGTGCTTGTGAAGGATGGTGAATGGCTGCCTGGAAATCCTGAATTGCTAAAAGGCTCATATGTCTTTGTATGTTCCCATGGATCCCGAGACCGGCGATGTGGGGTTTGTGGGCCGTCGCTGGTTAGTAGATTCAGAGAAGAACTTGAGTTCCATGGTCTTCAAGGTAACGTGTCAATTAGCCCATGTTCTCACATAGGTGGTCACAAATACGCTGGGAATGTTATCATCTACAGATCAAACATCAACAGGGAAGTCACAGGACACTGGTGAGTAAGAAATTACGAATTTATCGACTAGTTTGAGGCTACATTCATCTTTTTTATGTGTTTTACAATAATTTTGGATGAGAAGATCAAGAATACATTTAAAATGGTGTTGGTTTCATGAACGGTTGTGATCTTTTGATTAGTATTAGTATCTTCAAAATTCAGTTGTTATTAGAAGATTGGAAGTTCTCTGCAATGTCTGAATCAATCATACGCTGTTTTTGACTTGCTGATTGAATCATATGTGTCTAGGTATGGGTATGTGACCCCAGAAGACGTACCTATTCTCTTGGAGCAGCACATCAACAAAGGCGAGATTGTAGACCGGCTATGGAGGTACGTTCAAAGTTCCTTGGTCTGTCGGTTTTCTCGCAGTTTCTGGATTAGTTGGTAATAGGTAGAGTAACACATTATGGTTGTCTGATTTTTAGGGGTGAAATGGGTCTATCAGAAGAAGATCAGAAGAAAACTCAAGAAGGGCGGTTTCAGCTAAATGGTGCAGTCCATACGATAAAGATCAATGGGAAAGTGAGTCAAGAATCATCAGTCGACAGCGCCGATGTTTCCTGTTGCCAACAAAATGGGAGCAGCTCTTCATGTTGTCAAGACGACACAACTCTAATGTTGTCTCTGAAAACATCAGAAGATAATCAACTTGAAAGTGAAAACAACACAGAGAAGCTTACACCAGGAAGAAAAATTGCAGAAAAGACTTTCTTTAGAATTAATAGTGACAAAGGATCTTCAACACGTAAGGTTTGCGGAATACCAACATGGCTAGAGAGCTGGGAGCGAGAAGATACATATGCTGCCCTTGCTGTCGTTTGTGCTGCTGCTTCCGTGGTTGTTGCCTATACTTGCTACAAACAGTTGCAATGAAGAAATTCGTATCCCTAAGATGATTGTCTATTGTGTTCTTAACTTCTTATAAGACATTGTGATTTTGTTTCAGCTTTCAAACTACATTTCCCCTTCGTTTCAAAAAGGAGGGTTCTTGTGTCAGAACTGTTTGATGATAATGTATCCATGTTAACTCTGTGCTTCTACTTCTCAAGATTCTCAGAACCGACTGTAATTGTGTAAAATATCTCAGCTTTCGGCAATTTCCCATTTATAAAAGAAGCTTAGGACTTTCAGGATCTTTGTGTAGCAGGTAAATCAGAAGACCATCTCAGTGTGATTCAGAATTTCCCATGAATGGCATTGACAAAGAATTAAAAAGAGTTGTCACATTTTCAAAATACTAAACGTATTTGCAGATTGCAAAGAACAATTTGATAATCTATTGGCAGATTTCTTGCTGAAAGATGTCAAAAGAAATCAAACTCCAGATAATTACTCTGGTCAGACTTGACACTGGTAGATGTGGCTGCTGCTGGAGTAGCAGGCGCACTTTCGATATCAACCGGTTTTGGTATCTCTGGTGGGCTAGCGCATCGAACCAATGCCCAATTCACTCCTTCGAAGAAAGGATGTTGCTTCATCTCGGTTGCACCACGCTTATACGCTAATCTATGCTGAGGCTCCTTCACAAGCAGACTCCTAATCAAATCCCTAGCAGCAAAACTGACAACTGGAGATTCAGGGAAACGCAGAGGCTGACCCACAACATTGAAGAGTGTTGCTCGGTTCCCTGACCCTTTAAACGGGGTTTTACCAAACAATAGCTCATACAGAAAGATCCCAAAAGTCCACCAATCAACCGCACTCCCATGCCCTTCACCTTTGATGATCTCAGGAGCTAAATACTCATGTGTGCCAACAAATGACATTGAGCGAGCACTTGTGGGCTCAGCAATGAGCTCGGGCAACGGACTTACCTGGTTTCCAGTTTCGTTTTTCATTTTCTTGTCTTTCTTGGATTTACTTGAGAAAAAACGTGGAGAAAAGCATGTTGTAGGAGCAGAAATGCAAGATGGCTGTTGAATGCAAGCAGGTTGCGCACAATAACCCGAGTTCCTTTGCCCTTCAGACGCAAGAACAGTTGATCTGACCACTGTGGGGCTAACAGTACATCTCAAGGAGAGGTCGAAGTCAGAAAGCATCACATGTCCATCATCTCTAACAAGAACATTCTCTGGCTTTAGATCGCGGTATATGATGCCAAGCATATGAAGATATTCCATTGCAAGAAGTACTTCCGCTACATAAAACCTGGAAAATGTAAACAAAGCCAATATGATTTAACAAAAAAATGGATGAAAAACATTAAATTGATTAGGATTCAAAATGTTTTTACTTTGCTGCTTGTTCTGAGAATCGCTTCCCGGGCTGTCTTTGTCGAAGGGTATGCAAGTCACCTCCAGGACAAAACTCCATAACCAAACATGAGAACTTCTCAGTTTCGAAGTGACTATACAAAGTTGGGAGAAAAGGGTGGTCAAGACACTGCAATATCTCCCTCTCGGTCTGAGCTCTAAGAAGCTTTTTACGGCTAGCCAAAGCCCCTTTGTCCATAACCTTCATTGCAAAATAACACCTTGTTCCGTGCAACTCAGCAAGATGGACAGTTCCAATATCCCCACACCCTAACCTCTTCAGGAGCCTAAAATGGTTCAAGCCCAATACACCATGTTTCGTTCGGACAGCTTGTATTGCTTCCCATCTCACGTCATTCGCCTTGTGAGGCTTGTTGTTGCTACTTAAGCTGCTACATGTGCTCTCGTCACTGATATCACTGCTTGTGCTTGGTCTACATGTGTTACTCTTCCCGATCTCAGCGAGATCAGACTTTTCATTAAATTTAACTTCTCCTCCAGTTTTACTGTCGCTGCTTGGAGCAAAAGACAAAGTTGAAGATACTTGATCTGCCAAAGTGTTTACTGAGACACTTTGACTGGAATTAGAAACTGATGTTTCCATGGTTTCCTTATCGCCCTTTTCCTTACTATTTTCAGGGAGCACCCCAGAACCAGACTTGGAGGCCATGAATGGATACCTATCTACTTAACACTCAAGATTCAAGGAGCTGCTCTTTACTCCAGTTACCACTATTGTCACGGATCCCGTCAGATAGTGATCTGAGGTCTGCATTGAGCAAAACATATGGTCCGTTACTTTAGCTCAATAGAACATTCAAGAAACAAAAAGACATATACCATTGGGTCTCATGAAGAAGAAGACGGCTTATTAGAACAAAAAACCTTAAAACACTTCAGATAACATAAAGTTGGGTTCGTGCATAAAACTAGAATCATGGGAAGATCAATAACCAAGAGTAAGAATCACAGCTCTCGTTCCTTTCTCCCCGTTATCAAGAAACATCCTTTCCTATAAAGCTATAAACACATAAACACTAAAAAGTTGCTATTTTTAAAAACAGACGATAACATCAGAGCTGAGGCCACAGCCCAATCATTGCTAAGGGATTGCAGTAGGAATCACAAGATCGAGCGTTATCCATCATATTAAGAAAAATATTTTGAGTCAAAGAAATGATAATTTCCATATAGAGAACATGTCGAAAGAAAGAAGCTTTAGCTCAACTTGCGTTACGGATCTCGAGCTCAAATCTCGTTGACAATCAATTGAGAAATATACATTTACTCAACCCAAAGTAATTCACTACTTCCACAAATCTCAGGGATCACTTAGAAACCCTATGATTCTCCAATTAACCAAAATTAGCATAAACCCTAATCACACATTTCATGCAAAGTAGACTTTTTTCCCCAAGTATAAACAGATCTCAGGAAACTAATAAGAACAATCAAACAAAGCTCTTCTGGATCTAGGCAGACTCATAGAAACAAAAGAAAATGAAGAAATGAAATTGAGGAGATATAATCATAAATCATTACCTTAAGAAATAGCTTTGGGATTGAAAGATCTTGTCACACAATTGTTTTGGTCAGGAATTAAGCAGAGAAAGAAGAAAAGGGATACAGCAAAAGAAAGGAGAGGACTTTCATCAATAATCAATCAGTAAAGAGAGATTGAGAAACTCATCACCTTCCTTCCATGGAAATCAAGAGAGAGAGAGATGAATGAGAGAGTGAGAAATGAGAGAGTTGGGTCTACCATGAAAAGAGGAAAGAGGTGGTCAAAGCAAAAGTTTTCGACTTTTTTTAGGGCTTTTCAATTCTTTTTTCCTCTATTTCTTACAACTGGAAGACAAAAAGCTTTCGAGTCCCCAAACCCAAAAAAAAAAAAAAAAAAAGACAAAGCAGCAATGTATTTTGATATGTTCAATGGTTTATTGAGATCTTGTTATTTCATTAATTACTCTTTGATCTTGTTTGGATCATCCATAGTTCCATACCATAGTACACAAAATTACTTACCATTTTGCTTAGCAAGAAATTAAAATGAACTCATTTGCTTTTAAAAGATGTATCTTTTGGGTCCTGCAAAGGAATCTCTTTTCTATAATCTTTATCGGATTTTGGAATATCCAAATACATAAAGTGCATACAGCAAATTATACGATGATATATGTGGTGCATGTGAGAGTGTGTGTGTACAAGCAGTATAATATGGGCTTAAACTCTATAAATAGAAACAAGAAGATTAGTGTGAGAGAAGTAAATGTAAGGTCCCCAACAGAGGAGAATCTGACAAAGATGAATCAAGAATTGAATTGGATTGTCATGTTTGTCCAACACTTAAGTCCCACTTCAGAAAACCTTCACATCCCTTCCCTAACAATTAACAGCTCACTCTCAATTCCCTTAGTATTTCCATCAAATCAATTCTGTGAGAAAATTCTATCTTTATCTTGTGTCATGGACCCAACCCTCCAAGATTTATGTATTTTATTAAAGAATTGCCAGGATCAGAAAAAAATCCATAGCCTTTCAAACACTTTTGTGATTTTTTCTGTGAGAGAAAAGCAGGGACTCATTTTTTTTTTTCAACTCCAAATTGAAAACCAAATAAAGAACCAGCTTCTCTCAAAATAATGTTTACGTGATTGATACAAAACTTTTGTTGGACATGTGGGTGTGACTCTTTCTTTACTCAAGTTAATAAATCAAACTACAAAGCCATTGTATACTGCCGTTATAGATACCTTAGCCTCAGCCATTGAAGCCTCCTTTCTTGTTTCCTTCACCATGACCACAACACCGAAAGATTCGATTGCATTAAGTTTGTTCTCCAAGATGCATCACGAACCTATATTCTTATCCCCTGTGTTTTGGCTTCTCCTTAGGATTCTCTCTCATGGCTTTTCTTTTCTCTTCCCTGCAACATATTCAACCATTTATGGGCAAATGGGCATATGATAAAACAATGTACATAAGACGGTTTTCTCTTTTGTCTGTCAAGGAAACATTGAGTTTTTTTTACCTAGCTTGAGCAATTTCATTCTTCCATTGTGATCTCTTCTTCTTTTGCTTCCTGGGTTCTTCCACATTACTACTTTCGGTTTTTGTGTTTTTGTTCCTTTGGCCTTTGTGAATCTCCTTTGACCTTGGAAGTTTTTGTTTGTTCTTGTTTTCTTTAGTGTTACTCTCTCGCTTGGGTTGCCCATTGGCAACAGGTGGCTTCTCCAACTCCTCGTCATCATCATCACTAGATAACAACTGCGCTTGCTCCATTGTTTCAACTGGCTCATCATTTTCTGAAGGCTGCATTGCATTGCTCATCTTCTTCAGCTGCAGAACAAAAAAGGAAGAGTAAAATACCTTATCAGTTTAATCACTACTGATATTTTATAAAACATATGTTCTTCCATCCGCATTAAAGTTGATCTTTTGCAGGGAAAAGCTATTCATAGGCTAACCCAAGTGTATACCTTTGCAACAAAGAATCCGTCCATGTTGTGTACGTGAGGATAGAAACGTCTAGTCTTCTCTAAAGAAGGGTGGAACCGGTGTTCTCTAAAACTGCTAAATCTGATGACATGCAGTAAAACATTTGTGTTCAGATGACGAATCATGAATTTTCCAATGCAGATGAAAATGTATATTACCCTGGTCGGCCAAAATCAAGTCCACATGGAACGAGTTTAACATCCCTGTTTTTCAGAGCATAATCGATAACAGCTTCGTTCTGCATAATTTGTTGTACAAATGAAAATAGTGACAAAACATGAAGATGCCAGGAAAAAAAAAAGTGGAACAGAAAAAGTATGGTTCACCAACCTCGGGAATCATGATTGAGCACGTTGAGTAAACAATATATCCACCGGTTTTGGAATTGGCGTCTACCAAATCAATCGCACCTAGTATAAGTTGCTATGCAAAAAAAAAAAGAGAATGGTTAGCATTACAAACCAAATGCATCTTTCTTGATCTCCTCACAGTAAGAGGGTACAAAAGGCGTTTATGCCATTTTCATCTTTAAATATTTGTCTTGGATGTAAACAATGTTTTTAGTTGATATTGTTTAAGGCAACAACATACCTTTTGCAAATGGGCAAATTTCTTTATGTCATCAGCACTTTTGGAAGTTTTAACTGATTCATCTTTTGATATCACCTGCATTGTGCAGAGGTGGACATTAAACTATGAACAGGGAAATTCACTTAAAAGAGACTATAAGAGTGTCGGGCCCAAAATTTCTTACTCCAGTTCCACTGCAAGGAGCATCCAGCAATACTCTATCAACCGAGTTCTGACCTAAAACCTTGGGTAGCTGAAAGGCAAAGAAGATGAGATATACAAAAAATGCAAGAGAATAATAAAAAAACTGTCTTTAAAACTTTGTTATTTGGTGCAATTAAAGTCTTGCCAGTAATTTCTAATTTGATTGAGCTGACGGTTTACAACCAGTTTGCAAAATTCAACATCCTCAAGCATGTACCGTCAGACCGAAGAATAAAGGTTCAAGAAGCTAACCTCTCTTCCATCATAGTTACAAACTATGGTATTTGTCACCCCCATGCGATGCAGATTGGCAGAGAGTGACTTAAGCCTAGGTACTTTCATCTCGTTTGCATATATTATGCCTGGTTATATAATCATTATAACATTAGGATAACTGACTAAAATTATGGGTTGAAGGAACAAGGAACCAATGAATGCATACCTGTATTTTTCATTAGTGCTGCAACATAAGTTGTTTTACCACCAGGGGCAGCACTGCAGTAGTATAAAAACTAGTTATAGATATACTAATTGCCTATGTCTCACATCACGGGACAATCAAATTGGCTTTTCCGTTTTCACAGCACTTTGCATGATTGAATCAAAACACATATACAAATCACAAGCTACACTTGAATATCAACTTAAAGTACTGTTTGGTCATCATATGTATAATTAATTAATTATTTGAGACACAAATAAAATGCATTTATGTAAGATAATTACTTACGCCATGTCCACAACTCGCTCTTTTTCCCGAGGAGCAAGAGCCATCACTGGCAAGAAGGAACTAGCACTTTGCAACTGAAAATGTACCAAGAACATAGTTAAGTAAACAATTAAGAATACCCACAAAGTGTTAGTCGGAAGTACAAAAAGATCAGAAACTCAAGTACCATATAGAAACCCGCCAAATATTCAGGAGTTGCACCAATCGGAACTTGGGAATCATAAACGATAAGTCCAACCTACAAATATTATGCCAGGATCAACTGCAGATAATCCACATAAAAGTTTTCTTAAAAAAAAATGGAAGACAATCTGCAAATACGACCTACTTTTGACCACTTGCTTAACGGGTCAAGATTAACTCCTCTATTCAAAAGTACATCAGCCAGATCACGTCTTCGAGTCTTAACCAAAACAAACATCAGCATAAATTGCATACCACAAAAGTTGAGAAAAACTTATTTTAGACACTCCAAAGCACAACCAAGTTCACCTTAAGAGTGTTAGTACGTATAGATGTAGGTCTTTTCTTTTCAAAAGCTTCAATTAGTTCCATGAGTTCAACAACAGGAAACATCTGCCAGAAGATTATAATTAAAGAGGACAAAAATAAGTAACAAAATTCCTACACATAGCTCTAAATCAAAGCAAGTGTAAAGAGTAAAGTCAGAGAGTAGGGAATAACCTCAATCAAAGTTCCAATAAGAAACTCATTATAGCCGTAGTAAGAACCAAGATCAGCTTTAAGCTGTTCAACATAATCAGTCCTCTCGTGCTTGTCTCCTTTTGGCCTCAAGTCCTTAAAATTCGACAGCACTCTAACAACTGAAACATAAATTAATACCATTAAACCAAGAACCGAGAGGATGATTCCTTAAGGAGATTTAAAACAATCCTAATAATAACATTCCAGCAAAATTCTAAAAGGAATAAAATATGAAAATGTTACTCACTCTCTCTTATCCTCATTTGCAAGCTAGGAAGATCTGGTGGCCTACGTGCCTCTTCTTCAAGTTCCTAAACAATGTAGAGTAATACCAAATATCAGATATCTAAAGAGAGCCAGAAAATGAACAAATTGATAGTTAAGTAGAGGGAAATGTAACCTTTTGGGTTGGTAGCTGAAACTCATCAGGTATTTCCTTAATGTTCATTTTGAATTCATCTTCTGCATCTTTTTCCTCCATTTTACGTTTTCTATCAATAGCTCTAGATTTCCTCTCGAGTTTGGATCCACCAAAGTCAGAATCCAAATCAGAACCCAAAGTTCCCTCCTCATGATCGCTACCATCGAGAAAGTCGTCAGCTAAGCGTTCTGTATCCTCCTCATCATCATCATTGTTTCCTTCTTCATCATCACCATCTGAGAAAAAGTCAGAACCTGATTCAGACCCTTCATCAGACTGTTCCTTCTCTTCTTCTTCTTCTTCCTCTTCCGTAGAAATTTCAGGCTTCTTGAGGAGTTTCTCCTCCGAAATACCTTTCCTCTGCTTTTTCAATGGAGGCTTCTGGGATTTAGCCGCCTTTTTCAGTGGAGACGGCTTCGTCTGTGAATTTTCCACCTTCTTCTTGTTACGCTTAAGAGCAGTCATTGATATGGTTTTTACAAATTTAGGGTTTATCGCCGTGAGGGTTTAGCAGAGGTAGGAGAAGAAGAAGGTCGAAGAAACTAGTAAAGACTTGCGGAGAATGAGCAACGTTGCTTAATGGGCTTGATTGATACTAACTAATGGGCCGTAGTCGAAGTTATTTTTTGTCAGCCTAATAAATTATGATCGAGCCACTGAATTCATAAAACCTTATAAAAAATATTCGTTTAAGTATGTTCCTGAGAATCTGCCTATACACACGTATGATTTACACTACTTTGTGTTTGGGTGCCTTGTATGGTTGGATAACTAATGATTGAGTTTGTTGGATATGAGTGATTATTTATAAATTTCTTAAGACTAACTAACTTGATGAATTCCAAATGATCCACCTAGCTAATCAAGAGAGAATTCATAAAATTTTATAAAAATATTCAGATAAGTAGGTTACCGAGGTCCGAGAATCTGAGAGCATGTGCAATGCAAGTCTCTCACATACAAAAGTAATAATAAAATAAGAAATAATATTATTTAATTATATGAGTCTCTCAAAAAAAGTTGAGAGAGTCTATTATAGGAGAGACTTTGAGAGCCTCTCTCCACTTTTTTGAGAGACTCACATAATTAAATATTATTATTTTTTATTTTATTGTTACTTTTATAGTTGAGAGATTACGGTGAGAGACTTGCATTGCAGATGCTCTGACATACACGTATGATTTCCATTAATACAGTACCTTTGTGTTTGGGTGCTTTGTATGGTTGGATACTTAATGATTTGAGTGTGTTGATATGAGTGATTATTTGTAGATTTCTTAAGAATCACTAACTTGATGATGATTAATCCAGATGATACACCTAATCAAGAACGTATGACGTATGTGTTCTTGCATGGACGTGTCCAAATATCGTTTAACCTCTGAAAAGTAATAAGTAAACTATTAAAAATTGATATGGACAGAGTTTTCTTTAACCGATGATCTTGATTTAATGAAAAGCTAATTTTATAATTTTTCTTATATCTATGGGTACGTACTCAATCAATTACCTAGAAATTATATAGATTAACTCATTAAACAAGTTATTGATTATGCCTGCGTTACGTACCCATGCATGAGTAACTTGATAACTTAATTTCTAATTCACGTAATTGTCTAAAATCGGTTCTAAACGATGATGCAGTTTCTTCTTTAAGAAAAAAAGTTTGGAAACACGAATTTTATTTTGGTGAACTCAAATCCCAACTATCAAAAATAATTTGATTGATTGGTTGAAATGTCTTGTAAAACTGTATTAGAAATATTATCATTTGCAGGATATATGTAATTTGTTTTTGGTGAAATTTTGCAGGTTATTTATTACACATACAACCTAGCTAAATGCCTAAATTTCATAGACAATGACATGAAACAGATTGAATAAGACAGTGTGTCTAAAGTGGTTAGAAACAGAAACTTGAATAAAAGTGGAAACATGCGTTTCATATTGTAGAACAGATAGATTATGGAAACAATGATGCATATATATTGGCAATCAAAACATAAACAATGATACAATTGTGACTACTAGACCGAAAGACACACTTCTGAGTTCTGACGCGCGTCCTACGCACAAAGAGCCCGAGTCAAACTCGGGATGTACAATTAAGCGGTGCACCAGCGAATATACACGTACGAACCAATTACATTTTTTTTTTTTTTTTTTGGTTTTAATGTGAAGATTTCATTCCAAAGGAAAATTACAAGCTAACTAATGTTACAAAAGCTACCCATTAACACAGGAACAAGAGACAGAAAATTAAAAAATTACAGCGGAAAAGAAAGATGACTGAAGTAAACTTGAAGAAGAGACGCGGTGCCAGAGCCTGGAAAAGACAGAAGTCGATCCCGCATTGTGCGATCAATGACGAGGCGAAGAGTTGCGGTGGAAGAAGCGACGGCGGAGAAGATCCTCGAGTTTCGTTCTTTCCAAAGGTGATAAACCACGGATTGAAGCAGGAGCTTGAGGATGGTGATGATTTTGGATTGATTGGGAGAACTTAAGCAAGATACCCAAGCGCAGGCTGCGGGCAAGTTGCTTGGTGGGTTATTACAAAACTTTGAAGCAAAGTAACCCCAAATGTCAGCTGCGAAGGAGCACTCAAAGAAAAGGTGCTGATGGGTTTCTTCTCCAGTTGAGCAGAGGACACAAGAGGTAGGGATATTCAAGCCCCACCTACTTAGCCTATCTCTAGTGGGAAGACGAGAAAGCATAGCCAGCCAAGTAATAAGAGAAAAGCGTGGCACATGCTCCTTGAACCATACAACCTCAGCCCAAGGGACCAAAGCTGACCGTGCTCTAATCTGCTCCCAAGTTTCCTTGGAAGAGAAAGAGGGACTGTACGTACCTGAGCAATTACGCCAAAGGAAAGTATCACAACCTTTGCAATGTTCAGGTGCACCAACATCAGTTAGTGCCACCAGGAATGTTTGGCAGTTGTCAGATCGAGCTGCCGGCAATACCCATTGACCATTTCTCGAGGCGTCAACAACTCTTGCATCTTTGCTAACTCGCAGTTGCCTTGGCCCAGCTTCCCCGAGGAAAGTAATCAGCTGACCAAAATCAGTCCACGTGTCATACCAAAAAGAAGCAGATTTACCATCACCCACCTCACACTTAAGAAAATCTTTGATGGTGGTTTTAAGCTGCAGCATGCTGTTGACGGTCTTGGAAAACCGGTTAGCTTCATTTGTGATCCAATAACTTTTCCGTAGGAAAATGTTTTTTCTTAACCAAGCAACCCAAAGAGAACCCGAGCTTGAAAAGAAGATCCAAACCTGCTTAAGCCTGAACACTACTTCAAAATCTTCCAACAGGCGAATGCCCAGACCCCCTTCCTCTTTAGGTCTGCAAATATCTTTCCAAGCCACTCTTGCTCCTGAGGCAGAACCTGCCTTATTCTTCCACAGGAAAGCTGAACATAGTGAATCCACTTTGGCATAAAAATGTTTGGGCAGCACAAAAACACTACTCCAGAAGTTCACCATTCCATAGATAACAGAAGAGATCAGCTTGACTTTTCCAGCAAAAGAAAGGAATTTAGCAGTCCAAGAGTGAATCTTGCTAGTGATTCTCTCAAGGAAAGGCTGCAGCGTTGCAAAAGATATTCTGGTTGGGTTTAAGGGAAGACCTAAGTACCTTGTAGGGAAAGTACCTAGCTTGATGCCAGCAAACCCGCTTAAATCCCTAGCATCCGAATCTGAATAGCCACCAAAAAATATTTCTGATTTTGCAGGGTTCATATCCAACCCAGACATTGCTTTAAAACTGCTCATAACCTCCGCAATACCCGCAAGCGACTTCCTAGAGCCATCAGAAAAGACTAACAAGTCATCCGCGAAAAGTAAGTGTGTGATTCTGGGGTCATGACATTTTGGGTGCAGCACGATTTTCCCTTGATCTGCAGCCTTCTCCAGGAGCTTTGTCAATACTTGCATTGCCATAATGAATAGGTATGGCGACAAAGGATCCCCTTGTCTTAAACCTTTTTTACCCTTAAAAAAGCCAGCCAACTCACCATTGATAGCCACAGAGAATCTAGGCGAGGAGATACATTCTTTGATCCATGCACAAAATATTGGAGGAAAATCTTGAGCTGCCAAAAGCTTCAAAACAAAATCCCAACAAACTGTGTCAAAAGCTTTTTTAATATCTACCTTCAGCATGCAACTTGCAGCACAAGAGGAACGTTGGTAGAATCTGATCAACTCTGAAGCCAAGAGAACATTTTCCCCTAATAATCTCCCTTTAAGGAAAGCTGCTTGATTCGATGAGATACAGTCTTGGAGGATTGGCTTAAGCCGGTTAGCAACAATCTTGGAGATGATTTTGTAGACCAAATTACAGCAGCTTATAGGCCTATAATCTCCAAGTTTGCAGGCCTCAGGGAACTTCGGGATAAGAGCAATCTTGGTCGTGTTGAAGTCTTTAAGCAGCCGGCCATTCCGAAAGAACTCCCTCACAGCCTCCACCACATCAGCACCAACAATGCTCCAAGAAGCACGGAAAAACTCCACTGAGTAACCATCAGGCCCGGGACATTTGTTTAACGGCAAGGCAAAAACAATGTTAACTATCTCTTCCTCAGTGACCTCCTTAGACAGATTCTGCTTGTGGGAATCAGAACATTTAAAAGAGAGAAGCTCCTCAAGAGTGGAGACAGAGCAAGGAGATTGCGGCATCTCAGTATTCCCAAGGATTTCCTCAAAGTAAGCTGCAGCATGAGACTTAATTTCAGATTCATTGACTATTCTTCTACCGCTATGATCTTGAAGAAAGTGAATATGATTCTTGATGGCTCTAGCTATGAGCGTCTTGTGGAAGTAGGCTGTGTTCCTATCCCCAAGATGCATCCATTTAACCCTAGATTTCTGGCGGTAGAACTTTTCTTCCGCATTACTAAGCAGCTTCCACTTTGCTCTTACAAGGTGCTCTTCTCTAGCAAGATCCGGAGAAGGATTTGTAAGAATGGTCCTGAGAAGAGTGTCCAGTTTTGATTCCTCAACTTTGACCCTTGCTGAGATACCACTGTAGTATAAAAACTTTGTAACTTTGTAACTATCGATAAAAATTTTGTAACTATCGATAAAAATTTTGTTTTTAGCTGCTGCAAGTGATCGCCAATTAAATTGAAACTCTTACCTCACAAAATTGTCTCTTACTACTAATTTAGTTATATTTTTTTTTATCAACATCGGTTAATTATTGGAATGCTCAATTTCTTTTTTTGTAATTTACTCTCTATCCTAATCTTTTACTTTGAATGAGAGTCTGTAAGACTGTAACCTATTTTTGATAAGTTCTTTCTTTTCTTGTCTTTCTTTTCTTCTATATAGAAGTCTATCTTCTGTAGAACTGATTTTTATTTCTTTCAAACCAAAAAACAAAGTGAATAAGAAAAATAATAATAATTCAGAACTATAGATTAGACGGTACACACTACAAATTGCTATATCCACAATTTGTAAATGATTAAATGCCAAAAATTGCTATATTTAGTATCTGTTTATTCTTTTAGTTCAAGTACCTATTTCAATAAAATACTCGATGTAGAATCTAGCTACCTGCATACTCGAAATCAAAATGTTTACCTTTTTATCCCGAAGTTAAAGGTTTTTTTTTCGCTGAAACAACTTTAGTTTTTATGAGTCAAGTAAATTTGCGATTTTCGAAAGTCTACATAAATTCGTCGAGAAATCAAGACTTTTCATTGTAATACATATTAGAGGAAAATACTCTCAAGTATTTCTCTAATACTACATCCTCTCAAACATCTTTATTAAAATGGAGGTCTAAAAACCGCAGAGAAAACTTCTTTTCATGTCAGGTCATTAACACAAGTTGCTTACAAGAACATTACTTCTCCGGCAAGTTACCCAGAACTCTGGTCATCCTCACCCGAGCCGATCGACGTCAGGGCCTAACTAAAAATGGTAGGCTCTCTCGAAGTATCTAAGCCTCCAGAGCAGAAGTTTGAGTCTAAGATCGTCATAGCCGGTAAATAAAATCTTGGTTCGGTGTGGTTTGAATCATTTTTCTACCGTTATGGCAGAACCTAACTGCTACTTGATTTGTATAATTCACATTTGTTTTTCAAACATAACTCCAATCCTATAGATTAATATAATAGGTTAATGTAAATCATACTATTTTATCAAAAAAAAAAAAAAAAAAAATCATACTAAGCAACTTTGGCCCAGGTGCAGATGATGAAGAAGAGGAGGAAAACGACAGTCCAATTGAAGAGGTACGGTTAACCGTACCGATAACCGACGATCCATCTCTACCGGTTTTGACGTTCCGAACATGGTTCTTAGGAATGGCGTCTTGCGTGGTACTCGCGTTCGTGAACAATTTCTTCGGTTACCGGTCGAATCAGCTCATGGTATCTTCAGTCGTGGCTCAGATCGTCACTCTCCCTCTAGGAAAGCTCATGGCCACCACTCTACCAACAACAAAACTCCGGTTACCTGGTACAAATTGGTCGTGTTCATTGAACCCTGGACCATTTAACATCAAGGAACATGTACTAATCACTATATTCGCTAATACCGGAGCCGGAGGAGCTTATGCGACCAGCATCATAACCATCGTTAAAGCATTTTATCACCGGAATCTCAATCCCGCCGCCGCCATGTTGCTTTTGCAAACCACTCAGGTCTAATATATACAATATAATTCAAAATTTCAATAATAATTTTTTGTAACATTATTTTCATTTTTGTCATATAGTTGTTGGGATATGGATGGGCGGGTATGTTCAGGAAATTCCTAGTGGACTCACCTTACATGTGGTGGCCTGCAAATCTTGTTCAAGTCTCTCTCTTTAGGTTCGTGTTTTTTTCTCCAGTTAAACCATTCACAATTTTAACTGTCACGAAATTATATAATTTGTTTACTTTGGGTATGGATTAGAGCCTTACATGAGAAGGAAGAGAAGCGTGAAGGCAAACAAACGAGGCTTAGATTCTTCTTAATAGTTTTCTTCCTGAGCTTCACTTATTACATAGTCCCTGGCTATCTTTTCCCTTCCATCTCATCCCTCTCCTTTGTCTGCTGGATATGGACCCGCTCTGTGAGTGCTCAACAGATTGGTTCAGGGTTGCACGGTCTCGGCATTGGCTCATTTGGTCTCGATTGGTCCACGGTTGCAGGTTTCTTAGGCAGTCCTTTAGCTGTACCGTTCTTCGCTATAGCCAATTCCTTTGGCGGATTTGTCATCTTCTTCTACATCATCCTTCCTATCTTCTACTGGAGCAACGCTTACGAGGCAAAGAAGTTTCCTTTCTATACCTCTTACACATATGATCACACTGGTCAGCGTTACAACACCACTCGTATCCTCAACCAGAAAACATTCGATATTGATCTCCCCGCTTACGAAAGCTATAGCAAGCTTTACCTTAGCATTCTGTTTGCTCTGCTCTATGGACTCAGCTTCGGTACCCTTACCGCAACCATTTCTCATGTCGCCCTCTTTGACGGAAAGTAAGATTCTTTCTTTTATCCCTACTCTGCATCTGCAAATATAGATTAATTTATTAGTTTCCATGAAAAGTATTTTGTTGTTGTTGTTGTTGTGGTTGTTTCCATGAAGGTTTATTTGGGAGCTGTGGAAGAAGGCAACATTGGCGACAAAGGACAAGTTTGGAGATGTGCATACAAGACTGATGAAGAAGAACTATAAGGAAGTACCTCAATGGTGGTTCGTAGCGGTTCTCGCTGTTTCCTTTGTGCTAGCTCTTTACGCATGTGAGGGATTTGGCAAACAGCTTCAGCTTCCGTGGTGGGGACTTCTACTCGCTTGCGCCATCGCCTTTACCTTCACTTTGCCTATCGGAGTTATCCTAGCAACCACAAACCAGAAAATGGGTCTTAATGTTATATCGGAACTGATCATAGGGTTCTTGTATCCGGGAAAGCCACTTGCCAATGTGACTTTTAAGACTTATGGTACTGTGAGTATGTCTCAAGCCTTGAACTTTGTCGGAGACTTCAAACTTGGCCACTACATGAAGATTCCTCCGAGATCTATGTTCCTCGTTCAACTCGTTGCGACTATTGTTGCTTCAACTGTCTCCTTCGGGACCACATGGTGGCTGCTTTCTTCAGTCGAGAACATCTGTAACACAGATAAGCTCCCAAAGAGTAGTCCGTGGACTTGCCCAGGAGATGAAGTATTCTACAATGCGTCGATCATCTGGGGAATCATTGGTCCTGGGAGGATGTTCACAAGTAAAGGTGTTTACCCCGGGATGAACTGGTTCTTCCTCATTGGCTTCCTTGCTCCTGTCCCGGTCTGGTTCTTTGCAAGGAAATTCCCGGAGAAGAAGTGGATACATCAGATTCATATTCCCTTGATCTTCTCAGGGGCTAATGCGATGCCAATGGCCAAGGCTGTGAATTACTGGTCGTGGTTCGTTGTCGGGATCGTGTTCAACTACTATATCTTCAGGAGGTACAAGGGGTGGTGGGCAAGGCATAACTACATCCTCTCTGCAGCTCTCGATGCAGGCACTGCGATCATGGGAGTTTTGATCTACTTTGCGTTACAGAACAATAACATAAGCTTACCAAATTGGTGGGGGAATGAGAACACAGACCATTGCCCTTTGGCAAATTGCCCGACAGATAAAGGGATCGTCGCTAAGGGCTGCCCCGTGTTCTAAAACCTTGTTGCAGTTCAACATTTTCTCTGGAGTTTCTCAGACCTGCAGGTGAAGGACTGTTACTGCCAAGTGGTTTGGTGGTCAATAATAATATTGTGTAAAGACTTTGTGAGAGTTAAAGTGACAATGTAATAAATGATTTAGAATATAAGTGACTCCGGATTTTCAAACATGCATCTTGCAAATTAAGAACAACCAAAGATGATAGCTCTAACGCAAAGAGAGAACTTGAATAGAAAAGATAAACATAAGTTGAATTCTATATTTAGGGATCTAAGGAAATGAACCACAAGAAGAAGCTCCAAGGGATTTCATTTCAGTTGTAAAAGTTAAAGCACAGTGTATCAAGACGTACGGAAGTAAAGTAGTGTGGGCATTTTTGCTCTGTTGTGAATCTGGAAAACACTTGAACACGATTCTATAACGCCAAACAAGAGTCTCCAAAAGGCAAAGCTTACCGTGGATGATGATGATGAAGAGCATACATATAATTTAGATACATAGTCAACATGAGACATAAAAATCTGCGAGGTCCTTCCATTTTGTCTGATAAAACTACATTAGCTGATGGGTCCTTTCAGAGTAGCTTTCTGCCTCCATCTGCTCTAATCATTCTCCAAGTAGAGTGTAAGATATTCACCAAGAGAAGTGGAGCAAAAAATGTTCCTGGCAAACACCACAGAGGGCAACATCATTAAACCTATTGTTCCCCAACAATACTTAGACCTTTAGCTATATAATGCTCCTGTATCTGATTCATCAAAGCAACAAAAACAAATTTCCATCTTTTTCTAGTTGAATTCCTGATAGACAACATTAAGATCTGTTAACAGCTTCCATGCCTGTCAATTCCAAGCAATCAAGACATAAATTTGCCATCTTCTATAGAACTCAGGAAAACTCCTAAATTCTGCAATTTTAACATACATGTCAAAGGCAATCGGATCCTAAGCTTCATAGTTGGGTTTTTCAAACCTTCGAAATCATGATGAGTGAGATCTCCAGAGGAGGCAGGAGATGGAGGACAAGCTTGATGTACGCATTCTGGGAGATCTCAGACGCCATTATTTCCCAAGCTCACTTCTGACTCGATCATAAACTCAGTGAGTCAGCTCGTAAAGACCCTCAAATTTGGATATCCGTTTACCCGACCCGGCCCAAACCTTACAAGTAATGGGCCACTGTTCAATGTTTAATGATATTTTTGAATCCATTTGGCTCTGCGTAGAGGGAGGAGAGGGAGAGAGGGAGAGAGGGCGTTTTCTAACTAAAAAACGAGAATGGATAAAGCAGCAGCGGTTGCTGTCGGAGTTTTGCTTCAAAGACAAAAACTAAGTTTGTTAGGTTTTATAGGCCAACGGTTTATCTTCTCCTACTTCTCTGCTTCTTCTGCATTCTTCAAACCTAAGCAAAAATCCATTTTTTTTGGGTTGATTCTTCGTCGCTATCACACGACGCCCAACTTCACCTGCTCTGACATTATCACTACACCTTCCTTTCTTCTTCATCTCTTCTTTCTTCACTATTTTTACTAAAACCTTCTCCTCCATCTGAGTTCACACACCAAAACCAACACTTTTTGGTAATTTGCTCTGTTTCGCCCTCTCATAAGGTATTTTATGAAATGCCTCACTGATATATCCATCCATGTGTTTTAACATGTACATTTAATTGCATATTTGAAGACTTTTCGTGACTTTCTAGCTCAAGCTTTTACTCTGTTTCTCTTTTGTTCTTGTTCAGGTCCCAAGAGAGATCAAATCATCAAACCTCTCTCTGTTTCCGATATGAGTACCCGTTTTTTCCTCTCAGTTGCAATCATCAGCCATTAACTCCATCACTGTCTCCTCATCTTCTTCCCTCGATTCCACGTCACGGGATGATAACGCTCACATGGCTTCCGAGAGCTCTCCATCTTCTACCTTCTTGATGAGACTTGCCATGAGGGTATCTAGAGCAAGGTGGTTCCTTTTCTTGAGAAGAGTCTTTCATTACCAGAACGCCTCAAGATCCGATCTTGGCACCAATCCTTTCAATTCTATCACTTGGATGATATCAGAGCTCATCGCTTTGCTTGTACAGATCACTGTCATTACATCCACACTAGCTTTGTCCAAGAAAGAGAGGCCTGTTTGGCCGATGAGGCTATGGATCACTGGCTACAATGTCGGATGTCTGCTCAATCTTATGTTATTATACGGTCGGTATCGTCAGCAAGATACTAGCCAAGGAAATGCATTTAGCTTTGGCGATATTGAGCAGCAACAGAGAAGCAGAGAAGAGACCACCAGGTTACTAACAAAAATCTAGTTTTTTCAAGTTTGATCATAAAATGCAAAGATTTCTAGGATAATGAATTATTGCCTGTGTGTTTTAGGTGCTCGCATTTGATGAACAGATGCAGGACATCGCTGGAGCTATTCTTTGCGATATGGTTTGTGATAGGTAATGTATGGGTTTTTGATTCTCGGTTCGGTTCTTTCCACTATGCTCCAATCCTTCATGTCCTCTGCATCTCCCTACTCGCTTGGAACGCTTTATGCTACTCCTTCCCGTTTCTTCTCTTCCTCCTGCTCTGTTGTGTTGTGCCTCTCATTAGTAGCTTCCTCGGCTACAACATGAACGTTGGATCTTCAGAAAAAGGAGCTTCAGATGACCAACTCTCCAGTCTCCCAAGTTGGAAATACAAACTCATTGATGAAACTTCTGATTCTGCTCAAGCAAACAATGATCCGGTAAGAGCACTAATCTGAATTCTGAAATAGGTCATCAAATAGTCAGAAAACAATCTTTCTAATGATTGTTTTTACCTCTAAAACTGCAAGTAACATTCTTGATATCAAAACTGAAACCCACCGGTTTCATTATTGCAGGAATGTTGTATATGTTTGGCAAAGTACAAAGATAGAGAAGAAGTGAGAAAGCTTCCATGTTCGCATAGGTTTCACCTCAAATGCGTAGATCAATGGCTTCGTATCATCTCGTGTTGTCCTCTCTGCAAACAAGATCTCCCTAACTAAAAAATCAAAACAAGACACGAGTCAAAAGATTGAATCTCTGACGAAGTTCTTTACTTGGCTTGTTTTTTACTTTCTGGTTTTTGCGTTTCTGTTGTCGCCTACACACTGTTACTTGTGTGAGTGTCATTTTCATTCCTTTTTTTTGTGTGTGTACAAAGGAGCTCACCAGTAACTGTAACAATACCTGAAAAAATGTAAAATAATCAAAGTTTTATTTGTTGGTGAATGTAATCAATCAAAGACAAAACCAAACCAAGCAAAAGTCAGAATCAGACAACATGACACGGCGTCGTATTATTGAAACGACGGCGTTAGATACAGCGCATAATGGACAGATGCTCCACTAGACGACGACGTGTGAAAGTGAATGTAATAAGGAGTTTTACAACTGTATCAACATCGAGTAAATAAACAAAATTATTTATTTTTGATTAAAAGTATAAAAACAAACAAAAATAATTTGTTTTTTTTTCTTAGTTTCCATATTTAAAATTTTGCAATATTCATTCTGCTTATAGAAAATCGTGTCTACCTTTTTTCTCTCACTTACCCAATAAAAGCTTTTTTCGCGTTTTCCACCGCAACTATCGTCACCTTCAACCGCCGGAGCCGCCGCAAGGAAGGCTCTTCATCCGCCGTGGCGTAAGGCTTTTTCTTCTTCTATTTTCTCCTTTATCTACGATTCCTCGGTCGGTCGCTTCCTCGTAATCTCGTGTGTGTATTCCGGGGAAATCGCGATGGGAAAACAAATTAAAATTTGAGATTGAGAATCAAGCAACTAATTTCTTCGCAAGCTTATAGATCCATGAGCTGATTACCAACGAGATTCATCTCGTTTCTCTGAGTTGTTGTATCTCTGAATCCGAACGATTTGGAATCTAAAACTCGCTGGATCGCCTTTTTCTCATATGCGTCGTTTCTCCTTAGCTTAATCACTTGTATGATTCATTTCGCGATTAGATTCAGGTTTCGATTCTCAGAGGATTATACTTTTCTGACGATTGATTTCGTCTGGATACTTTTATCTCGTTCTTCATGATGCATTTCTGACGTGAAATTGGATGTTTTTGATTCCTCAATTTATCCTAGTTCATGTATTCTTGTGGGCTGTTTCTTATATTTGGGGTCTTGCTTAAAGATTGTGCCTATTCCATGAATACATTAGTTAATCTGGAAATGAATCTGGAGTTTAGATTAATGCATAAAGTTCAAGACCGTTTATGATATGACTCTTTACTTTTTCTCTGTCATAGTATCTGGTGCTTTAGTTTACTTCAGATCTGAAAAATGATGAATCTTGTTTTCTCCTGTCAAATCTTCTTCAACTGTTTTGCAATATTTTTGGTTTTCATGAGCTAATAAATGACTACAACATCTCATTTCCTTCCTATCGCAGAATTTTTTTGAGGTGTACAAAGCATTGCCTATTTGACGAACCAGGAAATGGTTAAAAGGTACTTTATCTTGTTCATATGTATAGGTCTTTAGTTTCTTTCAAGTTGTTCGAAAGTTCTTACATTTTTTTTGTTATTTAACAGGCATGGAGAGTTTTGATTTACGAGAGATATCATGTCGCAGTGCATAGACGGTTTCAAGCATGTATGCTCCTCTTTTTTCCGGTGTTTTGATATCGATATTTACAAACAATCTGGAGGCCTTGGAGACCCTGAACTGCTTGCGAGAGAGACAGTTTGTATGCTCTCTGCTTCTTTTCCATCTTTTTTTGCACTCTTTTTTGTTCAGTTATATGATGATTCAAAGGCTCGCTATTCCCCTAATTGATGCTCTCTGTTAAGAGGAATGCAAATCTTTCTTTCTGGATTTTGAACGTCGAATCGTTTGGGTGCAGTTAGCGTGAGTGAAATAGAAGCTCTATATGAGCTGTTTAAGAAAATCAGCAGTGCTGTGATTGATGATGGGCTAATAAACAAGGTAATGTAGGACTTATATGTCTGTTATGCCACTCACTTATACTCCTTACATATTGCTACTTCTTTTGCACAGCTTTTTCTGATTTTCCTTGACGTGTCCTGTTGTTCAGGAAGAGTTTCAGTTAGCCTTGTTCAAGACAAATAAAAAAGAGAGCTTGTTTGCAGACCGGGTATGTTTTTCTTTTTAAATCAAAAGACTTTGTTATCCATTTGCCAAGATCCTTTTTGAAAGATAACTTGACAGTACCAATCACAGGTATTCGATTTGTTCGACACAAAACATAATGGCATACTAGGGTTTGAGGAGTTTGCGCGTGCTCTCTCTGTCTTTCATCCAAATGCTCCCATAGAAGACAAGATTGACTGTACGTGTCTGATCTTAAAAAGTTGATCCGAGAAACCATCTATAACAAATTATCTGATGTTCACAAGTTCATTAATAGTTACTGGGAACATTGGTTTGCAGTTTCGTTTCAGCTATATGATCTTAAGCAGCAAGGTTTCATCGAGAGGCAGGAGGTGAAGCAAATGGTGGTGGCTACTCTTGCTGAGTCCGGCATGAACCTGTCAGACGAAATCATAGAGAGTATAATCGACAAGGTGTGGTTCCTTCCTTGCCCTGCTTGATTGTATAGCCAACTCATGATAGCAGTTGAGAATAAAGTAGAGAGTGGTTTCTAAGTTTCTTCTTTGACAGACATTTGAGGAAGCTGACACAAAACATGACGGGAGGATCGATAAGGAAGAGTGGAGGACCCTTGTTCTCAGGCATCCTTCCCTTCTAAAGAACATGACTCTCCAGTATCTTAAGTGAGTTCCTAAAGCAAGACTAATCCGAGGTTTAGGCAATGCAACTTCCAATTTTTCTTTGTCACGTATTTAACACCGAACTCTCATATTGCGTGCAGGGATATCACAACTACATTTCCAAGCTTTGTGTTCCACTCGCAGGTGGAAGATACCTGAGAAAAACAATAGCATATTAGCAGAGGAGACAATTTGGGAATTGTGTTTGTTTTCTGATTATGTATCATGTTTATTTGTTTCAATCTCTCTGAACATTTTCAAGATTTTGTTGTTACTTGTGTGAAAAAAGAAAAGAAAACAAATCTGTATTTTTTCTGCTCCTGATTTTGGTTGATGTTTTTCTCCTCGCATCTGTAGATATATTACTAATCTTGAGACATGATTCTTTTCAAATATTTATCACCTAAAACGTCAATTAAATATGTATATTAATCTTTTTAATATTAAATTTGTACTATTTTAAAAAAATTGACAATTATGTGCTAAATTTTGTAACAAAACTTATTTTTGTCATATTTGTAAAAATTGCCCAATTATCTAATACCACCGCATAAATAGTACAGCGAGAGAGCTTCGACTTGTTTGTAATTTATTTTTATTTTTTTCTGTTTGGTAAATGGATTATGTATTTCTAGTTTATTCGTTTTCAATTGATTCATTAGGTAATTACTATTTATGTTGTGGTATTAGCCATGAGGCCCAAAGACAAACGTAAGCCCATAAAAAGATAAACGTCTAGTACCCTTCCAAAGGAATCTATTGCATCGCAGACATGATAAACGTCACAATAAAAAACCAAGTTCACGAGACCGAGAGAAAAAACCAGAAAAATACTAGTCAAAAAAAGCCAAAAAATAAACTGGTGATAGAGAAAGAGAAAGGAGTCGATGGCGCCAGCTTAAACTACGGGGCTTAGTCGACCTCTTCCATCTTGCTTCCTTCAGCCTCAGCGTCATCTTCAAGTGGTGGCATGTCAGCATCAGCTTCAGTCTCACCTGCATCATCGTCAATGCTGAGTCCGAGCTTAAGCATCCTGTGGATTCTGCTTCCGAAGGTGTTGGGCTCATCAAGGCTGAAACCAGAGGTGAGAAGAGCAGTCTCGAAGAGGAGGAGGACAAGATCCTTGACTGACTTGTCGTTCTTGTCTGCATCAGCTCTCTTCCTCAACTCATCCATGATCGAGTTCTCTGGGTTGATTTCCATTGTCTTCTTGCTAGACATGTACCCAGCCATGCTGCTATCTCTCAAGGCCTGAGCCTTCATGATTCTCTCCATGTTGGCAGTCCAGCCGTACTCGCCGGTGACAAGACAGCAGGGTGAGTCAACAACACGGTCAGAGACAATGACCTTCTCAACCTTGTCTCCCAAGACATCCTTGATCACCTTGCACAGACCCTCGAACTTCTCCTTGAGCTCTTCCTTCTTTTTCTTCTCATCCTCTGTTTCCTCGAGTTTCAAACCTTCCTTGGTGGCAGAGACAAGTTTCTTTCCCTCAAACTCCTTGAGCTGACCAATGGCGTACTCATCAATGGCGTCAACCATGTAAAGGACTTCATATCCCTTCTTCTTGAGCTTCTCAAGGAAGGGTGAGTTCTCAACAGCCTTCTTGCTCTCACCAGTGATGTAGTAGATGTCATTCTGTCCTTCCTTCATCCTGGTCACGTAGTCCTTAAGACTGGTCAACTCATCTCCACTCTTGGTGGAGTGGTATCGGAGCAACTCAGCAATCTTGGTCCTGTTCTGAGAGTCCTCGTGGATACCCAACTTCAAGTTCTTGGAGAAAGCCTCGTAAAACTTGTTGTAGTCTTCTTTGTTCTCAGCAATCTCGAAGAAGAGCTCGATGCACTTCTTGACAAGGTTCTTGCGGATAACCTTGAGGATCTTGTTCTGCTGAAGAGTTTCTCTGGAGATGTTGAGGGGAAGGTCCTCTGAGTCAACAATACCTTTCACAAATCCAAGGTATTCAGGAATGATCTCTTCACAGTTGTCCATGATGAAGACACGACGGACATAGAGCTTGATGTTGTTGGGCTTCTTCTTGGTGTCAAAAAGGTCGAATGGGGCCCTCTTGGGAACAAACAGAACAGCTTTGAACTCAAGCTGTCCCTCAACAGAGAAGTGCTTGACAGCCAAATGCTCCTCCCAGTCATTGCTGAGACTCTTGTAGAAGGCAGCATATTCCTCCTTGTTGATCTCCTCAGGTTTCCTCATCCAAATAGGCTTCTGCTTGTTCATAAGATCAAACTCATGAGACACCTCCTTGATCTTCTTCTTTTTCTTCTCCTCCTTTTCTTTCTCCTCATCTACTTCCTCAACCTTTCCTTCCTCGTCTTTTTTCTCTTCCTCTTCTTCATCATCTGAGATCTCCTTCTCAATTGTCTTCTCAACCCAAAGAGAGATCGGGTAGCTGATGAACTCAGAGTGCTTCTTGACCAAATCCTTAAGACGTCGCTCTTCAAGGTATTCCAACTGGTCTTCCTTGAGGTAAAGGGTCATCTTGGTACCCCTACCAAGGACCTCACCAGAGGTATCCCTGGTCACAGTGAAAGATCCTCCGGCCTGGGACTCCCACACATACTGCTCATCATCATTGTGCTTTGTGACGACAACAACCTTCTCAGCAACCAAGTAAGCAGAGTAGAAACCAACACCAAACTGTCCAATCATACTGACATCGGCACCAGCAGCCAAGGCCTCCATGAACTCCTTGGTGCCAGACCTGGCAATTGTACCCAGGTTGTTGACCAAATCTGTACAAAGGAAAACGTAACGAATCAGCATAAATACAATAAGAGAACAAAAGAAAAGAGAACTACTACTGCTGATAAGAAAACTTACCAGCCTTGGTCATCCCAATACCACTGTCGATAATGGTCAAGGTATTGTTGGTCTTGTCCGGGATGATGTGAATGAAGAGTTCAGGCTGACCATCGAGCTTGCTCTTGTCAGTCAAAGACTCAAACCTAATCTTGTCCAAAGCCTATTCACCAGAAACAAAAGATTATTAGTTAGGTTTCCAGAGGGAAAACAAAACAAATCAAGCAAAATTTAAGCAGCTCAAGACTCACTTAACTTAAAAGTCAAACAGAAGCTAGACTTAAACCTTCGAATAGCAATTAACAAACAGAAACACTTGATTTCTGAATATACACAAGATCCCTAAAACTACAGGTTCTTAATCCTAAATATTCAACAATCTACCTCAACTGCAACAGATTGATAACGTAAATCCTCTCACATAAATACACCTAGTCTCTCTACATAACTAAATCGACAAACGACACAGAACAAACAAGTAACATAAGAGAGATAGAGGGACGCACATCGGAAGAGTTACTGATGAGCTCACGAAGGAAGATCTCCTTGTTGCTGTAGAAAGTATTGATAATAAGGGAGAGAAGCTGATTGATCTCAGCCTGGAAGGCAAACGTCTCTACGTCCGACATCACGATCCCGGAGTTTTTCTTTAACGATTGGGAAGTCGAAGAAGCAGAGGAAAATCGACGAAAGTTAGGGTTTTTTGTTTTCTCTTTAGATTGAAAAAGAGCGAGGCTGCTTAGTGAAGGAGAAGCAAGGTTTATATAGTGGGTACTCGTAGGGTTTCTAGATCCTTCCACCAACACTGGAATAAAGGAAAAATTGTATTAGCAAAAAGAAAAGGAAATCTGTATTTAACAAAAACAAAAACAAAAAAAGAAGGAAAATTGTTAATCCTCACGCGCTAACGTATCGCGTGTATATTTCACAACAAATTTCCTTATTTGAAGCAGTGTGGGTCCCACGGATCCACCAAGTTTAACGGTGGGTTCCTCCGTAGATAATCCTCTCTCACTCTTTTTCTTATCCACTATCCAAAGAAGAAGACTGACTATTGACGACGACGGCGATGGCTATGGAGATTTCTCATCGTTTCTTTCGATCATCCATGGCCTTAAGGTTTGATTCGTAAACTCGTCTTTTTGTTTTCCGTCGATTTGAGAGTTATGTCGCTGGAGGTTGAATTTTTTTCTTTAGCAGCGTGGGAAAATCTAGGAACGGCGTTTCTGGGATTAGTCGTGTTGGATTATCTCCGGTTTCTGCCGTACATGTACCCAGAAGGATGTTTATGCAGCTCGCTGGGTTTGGTTCGGTCTTTACGCTTCTGGATTTTCCTGGTTTAGCGGCGCCGGTTCCTCAAATTAAGGAACCTCAAGTTATCAGGTAAAATTGGCCCTTCTCTGTTCTATCTAGAACTCTCTTTGGTTTGGATTTTGATTGCGGGAAGTGTATTCAATCGCCGATTATCATTGTAGACGCTGGAATTGAGGAAAATCTAGAGAAATTTTTTTTTTTTTGTTGATTTTCTGGTCTGCTATTCAAATAATCTTCTATTAGATTATGATTGCAATATTTTATGGCTTCCTGTTTAATGTGCTTGATTATTGCATTGATATGCCATGTACACAAAGAAGAAGTGAGGAATATGGGAAAGCTTCTTTGATTTTATTTGGTTGTTCCAATTCTTGCGTGGAGTTAGTTCCTTATCCTAAATTTTTTTTTTGGTTGGCGATCGAAGAGTGCAGGACGTTGAAGCTCCCGAGTGGTGTGAGGTTTCAAGGTACTATTCTTTCGCTAGAATTCTGTCTGTTGTTCCTTCTTATGATAACAACTATGAATTACTTTGAAACATTCAAAAACTTGTAATATTGTTAGTTTTATTTGTTACTCATAGAAGTCTTGTTTTTAGAGATAATTGAAGGGGAAGGACGAGAAGCTCATGAAGGGGACCTGGTCGAGCTAAACTATGTGTGTCGACGCGCAAATGGATATTTCGTTCATAGGTGAGAGTTCAGATGCCTTGATTAGTTTCTTTCATTCTTATTTGATCCTTTAACTCTCATTGTTTCTTGATTCAGCACGGTGGACCAATTCAGTGGTGAAAGCTCTCCTGTCAAACTTATTCTTGATCAAAACGACGTACTTTGATCTTGCACTCAACTTTGCATATGATATAGCGTTCTAATCATGGCCTGTACTAACAAATTGCTTGGCTCGACAGGTAATTGAGGGCTTGAAAGAAGTCTTGGTGGGCATGAAAGCTGGAGGTAAAAACTTGAAACAACAAAAAAGATTCTGGTCTTTCGATGAAATCTCATGTTTCTGATGACTCACACATAACTGTCTTTTCCGGATGCAGGGAAGCGTAGAGCACTCATTCCTCCATCAGTAGGGTACATAAACGAGACATTGAAGCCAATCCCCGAGGAGGTACACAGATCTTTACTCTTCATCCTCCACGATGAACTTGCTACATATGTATGTCTCAAAAATGAATTTACATGTGTGTTTGTGGATGCAGTTTGGACCACGACGCAGCCTTCTATCGCACGCGAACGAGCCTCTGGTCTTTGAAATCCAGCTCTTGAAAGTATTATGATATTTTTCTTCGGTCACTGTTAATGAAATATTTTGGCTGAGTAGCTTTTTAATTTCTATTGTAAATCTGTAACAACAACTGCGTGGAACTATCTTATGAGTTTCATAAGGAAAATTGTAGTGTTTTTGGAAAATTGCTCGTTTTAGTCGGAAAAAAAAAGGCAAAACTAAGTTAGTTCAGAAACGACGCCGTTTATCCCGATCGACGTTACAGCATCGGTTCTCTTCTTCGTCCCGAGTAAGTAATTCTTTAGCTGTATTGTCAACAACAACAAAAAAAAAGTAATTCTTTAGCTGCGGCGTTTACCGAAACCTCAAACGTCCACGAAAAATCTCCGATCGCCGGCGTGCTTCCCTTGGAGATTTCGAAACCAAGTTTACAACAATGTCTCAAGGATGGTTTTCGATGAGCGGGAGTAGCAGCGGAGATCAGCAGCAGGAGCAGCAGCAATCGGGTTCGTCTCTGCTCGCGGATTGGAATTCTTACGCAGCCTCTAGAGATTTCGAGGAAAGTAGCGGGAGCTTCGGTTTTGATATCGAATCCGCCGTTAGATCTGCCAATGACACTGTTTCTGGCACCTTCAGTGTGTAAGTAGATTGCAATGAGTCACCTCATGGTGTTTATTTCGTGACTGAATCTGAGAAGATAAGGTTTTTTTGATGGTAGTAAGAAGTAGGTGTTAGTGAATCTGAGCCATTGAGATTTACTTTGAGACTTGATAGTTTGGGAGGTATATTTATGAGTTTTGCATACCAATGGATTTAGAGTTTGTGAATAAGTCGGATGAGTTATTTATATGTTTTAGTTGTTATCAGGAATCTTCCTTTGTTTCTCAGATGAAATTTTTGTTCTTCTGTTAAATTTTGCAATGTACCTGAATTTGATGACTACAGGGTTTCAAAGGGAGTTAGAGATATCCCGGGGAGCCTGCAGTCAGCAACCAGCAGTATGCCTTCAGGAAAAGCGCTCATGTATTTCGGTTTACTTCTCGCAAGTGGTGTTTTCTTCATCTTCATTGCCTTCACAATGTTTCTTCCAGTCATGGTGCTTATGCCACAGAAATTTGCCATTTGTTTCACCCTTGGATGTGGATTTATCATTGGATCCTTCTTCGCACTTCGTGGCCCAAAAAACCAGCTCGCGCACATGTCATCGATGGAGGTATGTTACACTGTTATATAGTGTGTCATGCCTTAAATCCAAGAGTGAATTCCTTCCTCTCTTTTTAATATCCTGTCTACTTCTCCAGAGGCTTCCTTCAACCCTAGGTTTCATTGCCACCATGGTTGGTACCATATACGTATCGATGGTTCTCCACAGCTACATTCTCTCGGTGCTCTTCTCCGTGTTACAGGTACTAAACATTTCATCTAAGTTTAATTTTTTCAAAATGATATATTCCTATGAGCAAGTGGAAAACAAGATTGAACCTCACCAAAGTATTTAAAATCATATAGTAATTCCCCTCATCTCCACTGTTTAGCAACAAACATTAGACCCTCGAACAAGTGGTGATACATATCTGGTTCTCCGCTCGTTATCTATTTTGACTGTAGAAAATATACTTGTATAGGTTTAAGAAATTGTGTTTTCGAAATCCGCGCATTCTGCTGAATCTCATAATTTCCGGTATCTGTTTCTTTATGTGTTAATGAACAGGTTCTTGCACTGGTTTACTACTGTATATCCTACTTTCCTGGTGGATCATCCGGCATGAGGTTCCTCAGTTCTGCTCTCACCTCATCGGCGCTAAGAGTTTTCGGGAGATGAGCTTTCGCGGCCAATCTGGGAAAGAGAACAATACTTTACTTGTTGGTGTACAAAGAAAGATGTCGGAGCGTTTTTGGTATACCCTTTAACATAGATTTGATGAAAACCCCCGAAAAGACAAATGATCGTGAAGGAAATGTTTAATGAAGAACCCAAGTGATGTTTTCACTATCTTTTTCGTACTCTTTTTTTAGTTGCTGGTGATTTCCCGTTTCCGAAACCAAAACGAAAAACGAAAAAATCCATAATACAATTACAAATAAACCAAGAAAATGTCTAGATGAGTTTCCTAATTCCCAAGCAGGATGGTGTTTGATTGATTCGTTTCCCAAAATGTGTTAGCTAAATTCTGATAAGTGACAATGTGAAACTCTAGGGGTCTAGACATAGTAACAAATACGCAAGTAGATTACATATTGTCTTGCAAAAGAAATTTAGATTAGATTATCCCGATGAAGATCATCAAGTGCTCACAATATCAATAAAGACGTATGTATGTTGCTCTACTTTATTACTGCTGAACGAATATATGCAACATAAATTTTGGTAGGCCCAGTAATGCCCGATAAAAGATTGTTTGGCTCTTTAAACTGGGACCATCAGTCAAAAGCAGTGTGTTTAGGACTATCTTTAGTAAAAGATTATCAATGATGCATAATTATGTCTTGATCATTATTTTTATCAATACCATGCAATACTCGGAAATAAATTTGAGTGGTAACACATCGACGATAATCAAAGTCAGATGGAAAATTTGAAATTTTTTCATCTATAACTTTGATATATCACGCGGAATATCTTGGATAAGAATGCTAAAGAAACTTCCACTTGAAAACGAAATTTTTCAAGTGTTTGTTTGTTTGTTTTTTGGTGTACGATAGTGGTAAGAAAATAGTACTAGAATTCTTGATCTATTTGTTTATCTTGGTGTTGGGGTATAATGCTTAGTTTGCGGGAAACCCAATTCCTGAAAATACGGAAACAATGGAGCAGGAACATTTGACCTCTAATGTACACCTTACACTACACGTATTGTTTCTGATATTTATTTGAAAACTAAACTTTTGAGCGAGAGAAAATATTAGTTGAAAGCAAAAGCTCATCTTCTCCACTAAGACTTAATGTTAGTTAAAAAGACATAACATTATTGTTTTAATCAGCACTTCAAATGTTAGTACTATAACATATCGCTTTCTCTTTCTCTAATCTACAAATCCGTGCAGTCGTGCAACATTTAAATTAAAAGAACTAGAAAAGGCTGAAGTCTTAATAAAAAAGGTTCATGGTTAGGCAAAAATCTAAAAGAAAAAGAAAAAAGGAGAAATTCAAGCGGAAAGTTGGAAAACAAAGCTTAATAGTTAATATATTAGTAAAGATTAACTAAAACATTGAAAATATATTTGCAATTGTCGGTATTGATCATTGCACAAGGCATACGATAATGTAAATTTTAAAGTTAAAACCAAATTCGATCTATTGCAACCAGGCAAAAGCAAAAGATAAAATTCATCTTTATATATATACAATACTTACACATTAAATTTAGAATATACTAATTAAATTTATATTCACTGGATCATGAAATATACAAAACACATATAGATAGTTTTGGATGAAATGCCCACTTCTGTTCACACTTCTGCACTACTGCCAATACATTCTTGGACTGCTTCTGCCGCTAAATTCCCACCACAAGGGACCATTTCTTTTAATAGACAAAACAAGTTTAATCGGATTGAAAAGTATACAGACAAAACCGTCTACTATAGAAATAATTAACCCATATCATAATATTCTAGATTGGATCCAACACCCTTAATTAATTATTCTTACTTACTTGGAGCAGATCAAGCCACTTAATTAACAAAGCTTAACTATGTACTCTCTCTCTCTCTCTCATGTGATGAGATCTCTGACCTAATTGAATCGTGATTAGATCTAGATCTTGTTACATTGTCTTCGTCAATTATCCGCACTGAAACTTTTCCTCGTTATGTTACACCTTTAGTCTCCTCATCAGATTTTCATACGATATAACAAATTTTTCATCTTTTGTACTAATAAAGAGTACCCACCCATAAACTATTCTTTCGTAAACAAATGTCTTAATTAACGTGAAGTTTCATATCCAACCACTGTTTAAAGTGTTTTGTAACGTTAACTTTCACTATTAGACTCATCGATGTTTTTTTTTGTAATCATATAGTAGTAGTTATATAAATGATTATATATTGGTGTAGAGAATTTAGGAATAATGTTTGGATGAAAGGGTGTTGTCACCCAACAAAGAGAGGGACCATTAATAACCGATAATCATAATAAGATTTGTGAAAGAAATGTTTCACTGATTTGGCAGAAGTACAGTTGGAGCTTCTTTGTCTTTTCTCTTCTGCACCTTTTGTTCTCTTTACTTCCTTCTTGTTTGTTGGTTTTTGTTCTTTTCTTTTTTCTCCCTACCATGGACCATTACCATTCATTTCTCTCTTTATCATATATTATTTGCTGTATTTAGTTGATTCTACTATATCCTTTTAAAATTTTTGTACATATAACAGCGACTTCTATCGATTTTACTCAGTTAAACCATACAAACGAAAACGAAACCAGAAACCATAATTTTGTTTTTGATTCGTTTACGTGAGAGAAAGTCGTTGTAAATATATATGAATAATATATTGACCGACGATACGGCTGCTTGAGAAAATTAGATGTTGTATAATCTCAGTTTCAAGTGAATGTTAAGGCAATTAGATTAGTAACCAAACTTAAATATTCAATTTGTATGTAGGGAATGACTTTTTATATATTCACATGCACATGACCTCTCTATGTCATGTGCCTTAAGTTGCCGTGTTCGATTTTTTATAATTGTTCGACCCGTTACCCTAAATTTTAAATTATTTATACTTTTTAATTATTATGTCCAAATCTGATTTCCTTTTCAAGTCTGTTTCATATGTATATATAACTCATTTTAATTAGATTGCAATTTTGAAAAATACAAAATTAAAAATCCTTTGAAAATTAAAGACCGACAAGATGAGCAAGGGACATGGTTGTAAACTAATTATTTCTTTAATTAATCAGTCACAAAAATTCCTAGCTTGCATGTGCAATTTCACTCTCTAAGATTCCATGTTTTACTTCAACTTTATTAGTTTATGATACATCAAAGACATTTGTTCAAAAAGGTATTATCAAAGACCCAAAGTAGATGACCTGTATTCTTTATTTTATCTCTTATGCTGATAAATAATTTAAATTTAACCATTATTTACCCACTTCTGAATTCTGGTTAACTATTCTGAACAGAAACACGTTTGATCGTGGGTTTAATTGGTTAAAATGATCGGTGCGTTTAATGTGTTAAGAATTCGTTGAACACTTTAACACATTATTAAACCAAAAAGAAGCATTAAAGTTCATCGTGCCGCTTTTAAGATCCACAAGTTTTGTTTCTTCTTCGTGGTGAATGTTGCAGCCATATTTGGGGAATACTATTTTCATTATAATTAACGCTTTTTAAAAAAGAAAATGTATGTAAATAGTATGATGTAAAGATTAGTTATTTTAAAAAAAATTGTAATGCTCGGTCTAACTCTTAAAAAAAAAACTGTTTGAATGTTATTAAACCTTTCGTATCAGTTTGATATAGTTTAATGGTAAAACTGGCACACATGGAGCAACATGATCGCAACCTTTTATCGAAGTGGAGAACACTTCTCGCTCACATGTTATAAGATCATGATACAAATACGATGCTCTCTAATTGATGGATTTGAGTGAAATTTCTACAAAATTCGTACATGCAAATATGTGAAGGCAATTTAAATATAGCAACGTAAAAGAGGGCTATTTGACATGTCGGTCTCAAAACCATGAAAGTTGGTGCCACTGTAAGAGGGCTATTGTTTTGACATGTCATTCTTGATTCTCAGATTTCGATTTTCATTTAAATTATAACATATTATTTTTGTTGCAGACTTTTAATATTTGATTATTTTCTTACTTGCAAAATCTTGGTGGTCGGCCATAATATGTTTTTCCTAAAAGAAAAGGTTTTGATCTACACAAGGTAGTTCAATTCCTTGAAACCTATATTTTAGTTTTGTCAAATCCAAATTTGAGTAACATTTCAAAACTTATAAAGAATGTTTGGGTATAATAATTATCGTTATTTTTTATTTCTACCTCTCTCTAGAATAGATTGTGATTTTCCGTGACAAAAAATGTTTTTTTTCTAGTTTTACAAAAATCAAAAACAAATATTAAAATAATATGCACTACTTTTTTGGGATCAAAAACCTTCCTTTGCTACTTCTCTCTGCTCTGTGTTTATTTATATATTTCCTATAAACAAAATAAAACCAAAATCGATGGATTGGTTTTTCGCTTCACAATCCCAACGCACTTCTTCTCTCATTCTTCTTCCTCATCTTCATCTTCTCCGATGCCACCAAATATCTATAGACTCTCCTTCTTCTCATCCCTACTCTGTTTCTTCTTCGTCCCCTGTTTCTTCTCTCTCGACGAACAAGGTCAAGCTCTCTTGTCATGGAAGTCTCAACTGAACATCTCAGGCGACGCTTTTTCCTCCTGGCACGTCGCCGACACATCTCCCTGCAATTGGGTCGGCGTAAAATGTAACCGTAGAGGTGAAGTTTCGGAGATACAACTCAAAGGCATGGACTTGCAAGGTTCTCTGCCGGTGACGAGTCTCCGGAGCCTCAAGTCTCTTACTTCCCTCACTTTATCTTCACTCAATCTCACTGGAGTAATCCCCAAGGAGATAGGAGACTTTATTGAGCTTGAATTACTCGATTTATCGGATAATTCTCTCTCCGGCGATATCCCTGTGGAAATCTTCAGGCTCAAGAAACTCAAGACTCTGTCTTTGAACACTAACAATCTCGAAGGTCGGATTCCGATGGAGATTGGGAATCTTTCGGGTCTCCTAGAGCTTATGCTTTTCGATAACAAGCTATCCGGAGAGATCCCGAGGAGTATCGGAGAGCTCAAGAATCTACAAGTCTTTCGCGCTGGTGGGAACAAGAATCTAAGAGGTGAGCTTCCTTGGGAGATAGGTAACTGCGAGAATCTTGTAATGCTTGGTCTCGCTGAGACTAGTCTCTCCGGTAGACTTCCGGCGTCGGTAGGAAACTTGAAACGTGTTCAGACAATAGCAATTTATACGTCACTCTTGTCTGGTCCAATTCCGGATGAGATTGGATACTGTACGGAGCTCCAGAACCTCTACTTGTACCAGAATTCGATCTCCGGATCGATTCCTAACACCATTGGAGGTTTAAAGAAGCTGCAAAGTCTACTCTTATGGCAGAACAATCTCGTTGGGAAAATCCCTACAGAGCTCGGGAACTGTCCCGAACTCTGGCTTATCGATTTTTCCGAGAATCTCCTCACCGGGAACATCCCGAGGAGCTTCGGGAAACTTGAGAATCTACAAGAGCTTCAGCTGAGTGTAAACCAGATCTCAGGAACAATCCCTGAAGAGCTAGTGAATTGCACGAAGCTTACGCATTTAGAGATCGACAATAACCTTATTACAGGAGAGATTCCGTCATTGATGAGTAACCTAAGAAGCTTAACGATGTTCTTCGCGTGGCAGAACAAGTTAACCGGAAGCATCCCACAAAGTCTCTCCCAGTGTCGTGAGCTTCAAGCCATCGATCTCTCCTACAACAGTCTCTCTGGTTCTATCCCAAAAGAGATTTTTGGGTTACGAAACCTCACGAAGCTTCTTCTTCTCTCCAATGATTTGTCAGGTTTCATACCGCCGGATATTGGAAACTGTACGAATCTTTACCGGTTGAGACTCAACGGAAACAGAATCGCCGGAAGTATCCCGTCGGAAATCGGGAACCTGAAAAATCTCAACTTTGTCGATATAAGCGAGAACCGTCTCCTCGGGACAATCCCTCCGGCGATCTCTGGTTGTGAAAGCCTTGAGTTTCTCGATCTTCACTCGAATAGTCTCTCCGGTTCATTGCTCGGTACACTCCCAAAAAGCTTGAAGTTCATCGATTTTTCTGATAATTCTCTGTCTGGTCCTCTGCCTCCGGGAATAGGATTGTTGACAGAGCTAACGAAGCTCAATCTCGCCAAGAACCGATTCTCCGGCGAAATCCCTAGACAAATCTCCACTTGTCGGAGTCTACAGCTTCTTAATCTCGGCGAAAATGCATTCTCCGGTGAAATCCCAGACGAATTGGGTCGAATCCCGTCTCTGGCAATCTCTCTTAATCTTAGCTGCAATGGGTTCGTCGGAGAAATACCGTCGAGATTCTCCGACTTGAAAAACCTTGGAGTGCTAGACATCTCTCACAACCAACTCACCGGAAACTTGATGGTTTTAACGGATTTGCAAAATCTCGTCTCTCTCAACGTCTCCTTCAACGATTTCTCCGGCGATTTACCAAATACTCCCTTTTTCCGGAAACTTCCACTCTCTGATCTCGCCTCAAACAAAGGGCTTTACATTTCTAATGCAATTTCGACCCGATCCGACCCGATGACCCGGAACAGTTCCGTCGTTAAATTGACCATTTTAATTCTCGTCGTCATCACTGCCGTACTCGTGCTCCTGGCGGTTTACACTCTAGTCCGGGCACGAGCCGCCGGAAAACAACTCCTCGGAGAAGAAATAGATTCGTGGGAAGTAACCCTTTACCAAAAACTCGATTTTTCAATCGACGACATCGTTAAGAATCTGACGTCAGCAAACGTGATCGGAACCGGAAGCTCCGGTGTGGTATACCGTATAACGATTCCCTCCGGCGAGTCTCTGGCGGTGAAGAAAATGTGGTCGAAGGAAGAGAGTGGTGCGTTTAATTCCGAGATCAAAACTTTGGGATCGATTCGTCACAGAAACATTGTTCGTCTTCTTGGTTGGTGCTCTAATCGGAATCTGAAACTCCTGTTCTACGACTATCTCCCTAACGGTAGCCTGAGTTCTCGGCTTCACGGCGCCGGAAAAGGAGGAGGTGTTGATTGGGAGGCTCGATACGACGTCGTTCTTGGTGTGGCCCATGCACTTGCTTATCTCCACCATGATTGTCTCCCCACAATTATACATGGTGACGTTAAAGCTATGAATGTCTTATTGGGTCCTCACTTCGAACCCTACTTAGCTGATTTCGGTTTAGCTAGAACCGTCTCCGGTTATCCGAACACCGGAGTTGATTTATCGAAACCCACCAATCGGCCTCCCTTGGCTGGTTCATATGGTTACATGGCTCCGGGTAAGCTTGAGAAAGTAGTACTTATACTCTTAACTATAAGTTCGGTGTTTTGGAATTACGATTTTAATTTGTTTTGTTTGTGTGTTTTACAGAACATGCTTCGATGCAACGTATAACTGAGAAGAGCGATGTTTATAGTTACGGAGTGGTATTGTTAGAGGTTTTAACCGGGAAGCATCCATTAGATCCGGATCTACCAGGAGGTGCACATTTGGTTAAGTGGGTGAGAGATCATTTGGCTGAGAAAAAAGATCCGAGCATGCTTCTTGACGCGAGACTCAATGGACGGACTGACTCGATAATGCATGAGATGCTTCAAACTCTTGCGGTTGCGTTCCTGTGTGTTAGCAACAAGGCAAACGAACGGCCTTTGATGAAAGATGTTGTGGCAATGCTCACGGAGATACGGCACATTGATGTTGGACGATCCGAGACCGATAAGATCAAAACTGGTGGTTGCGGAAGCAAAGAGCCACAACAATTTATGTCGAATGAGAAAATCATCAATTCTCACGGTTCGTCTAATTGTTCATTTGCGTTTTCGGATGACTCCGTTTAAAAAAAAAAAAGGTACAAAATTTAAACTGTGAGCTATTGTTTACCAAGCTGTGTGAATATGCTTTTGTTGGAGCTTTAAATTTTTTGAAAGTTTTTGTATAATCAATTACAATTACAGTTGCAATAGATTTTAGTGATTTATTCATGTATTCTTGATTTCCAAGTAATGTCAACAGCATAAAACAAGTCAACGGGAAGAGAATACATACCAATTTTTGGGGGATACAAATCTCATTAAAATGTCATGAAATGGAAAAATACTTGGTACTAAAATCAAGAGTTCTCGGTTGTTTTTGTTTTTTTGGGTTAACAACTATGTTTCTTGTTCTATCTAATTGCCTTTTAATTTTCTCTGTTATCATTTTTGTGTATTTTTAGGATAAGCATTAAGCAATATATATCTATATACATTACATATAGATATATTATGGATTTATGGATGATTTTTTTCTTCTTGTCAAACTGATTATAAGTATCTTTCTGATATTTAAATAACTATCTTATTCATTATCAAAGAAATATTCAGTTTTGGTCCACAATTTCTAGATAAAAAGATTAGAACAAGTCATTGTTAAATACATGTGACGATTCCAATATATTGGATTTTAATTGATGTTTCATACCTCTGGGTGACCAGTTGAGCTACCATGTTGATATTCCATAACGACTCTATTTGATTTACGTGATAGAGGTTGATTAGAGTATGTGAGTTTTATAATTTTTGTTAATGTTGTTTATATCTTTGTTTGGATTGTTTATTAACATATATACAACTCAATATAATCTATTTTATAGAAGAACTAGATCATGACCCGCACATACGTGCGGGGTTTCATATTTTAAAATTTTTTTAACAAATTTTAATTCATTATAGATTATTTTGTTGTTTTTAACTTTTTATGATATATATTTTAGTGTATTAGATCTGGATCCACATACGTGTAGAGATATTTTTATAGAAATTTTTATAGAGATTTTAAAAATATAAAATATTTGTTGTGTTAATGAACTTCGTAATAGTATAAATATTATAAAGTTAGAGTAATGAACAAAATTCAGTTGCGTTAATGCATAATTATATTTTAAGATCCGGACTAATTTAGTTGCAAAAGTTAAGTGGTGTTACATTTTTGTTTTCTTAACTAATCAAAACAGTTCTAACAGTTTAATTACACATGTTAAATAGGATATGAATTCGGTTTTAGTTTGGGTTATTTCATATATATTAGCTAGGCGTAACTATTTTGGAACATGAAAATATCCCGTCCGGTATCTGTCATAAATTCTTTGTCCCATAATCTGTCACGTATACGTAAATAAAAATATTATGGTCCCATATCTGTCATAAATAGAGTATGTGTAACTGAAAACGTATGTACAGGGTTACATGTGTAACTGAAAACGTATGTACAGGGTTACGTGTGTAAACAAATTTATTTTATATAGTGCTCATAACCCGAACTCATGCCAGTTGGGTATTTAGTTTGATTTTTAATATATGTTCCCCTCCCATCTCGTCTCGTAATTTCTATTTCCATTTTATTCCATTAAAATCATATTCCAAATTCTTGTTTGCTTACTTTTAAATACCAAACAATATTACAATATATATTGTGAGTTTTGCGGATTAATATGTATACTGTTAAAGTTACAAATATATTTAAACAAATGTATTAATGTTTCTAGCTAAATTTTGCATATTTTTCTTTTCATTGTTTAATCATAATTAATTTGATTTTTGGGACTAAAATTAAAATTTGAGATACATCTATAAAAGGGATATGCTATTGCTGCATAATTTGTTTTGAATGCAAAATATATAATTAGTTCACATTATTTTGAACACAGTGTGTAATATATTATGGATTTGTTTAAGGAAGATCAGCTTGAGAAGAAAAAAAAAATACAAAATATTTCGAAATTAACATGTACAATCTTTTGTTTAGATATTTCCGAAACTTTCTCTAAACGAAGGCCATAACGATAATTACTTTAAATTTATCATTATTTGAGTTTATTTCATAGTAAATATAAATATTTGTTAATATCTAATATCGGTTTTTTAGAAATTGTGAAATAAAATTTTATTTTATATCTCAAAATTTGTGAAAATATTATAACAAAACTGAGTCATAAATATTTGTATTTAATTTTTTTACGAAATTTCAAATTCAATATTAAAATCCTCCATTGATAAAACTTTTTAAACGATAGTGTTTTTTTATTTTGAATTAAAATGGTATTATTTTTCTTTTTATTTTTGATATAGAATAGTTTATTAGGATTGGTTTAGATAAAATTTTAGTTGGATATCAAATCTTATTTTTTCAATTCTCATTGGTTAACAACTTTTTAGAATTTTTTTTTAAATTTTCGTCCATAATTAATATGAGAGAGAAAGTGAGTTTAATTTTTTGGAAACTAATAATTAATTTAAAATTTTTTACTATTTTTTATTTAAATATATTATTTAAAAACAAAAAACAATGGCATTTTTGTAATACTTTACACTTTATAAGGTTATTTATTTTTGAGTGCTTCCCAATTAATAGTATAGATGACCGATTGGGACTGGAGTATTTGGAGGCACACGCGATAAAGATTCGTATTTTGTTTTGTGTTTTGGTTGTTTGTTAATATCAATGGTTTGTGAAATCACGAAGAAGAATAAGAAGAAGAGAGGCTTAAGACATAAGCGAATGGATCACGTGGACCCTTGAGCCACCCTCATCACATGTGCTGTCTCAATAACAATGACTTCAACTTTCCAGCCAAAATAACACCATTTTTTTGTTTTTGTACGATAATTTTAAGCATAATTGTTTCTTCATCAATCTTGTTCACGTAATAAGATAATGTTGCACAAGCCTTAACCCATGGCCATCTGTATGTTGTAAGAGCATTAGCCTGATCTCTAATATTATGAACCATGATATGAAAAGAATTCAAACATTTGGGTTTATAACCAAACTATTTTGAAAGAATTCTTAATATTATAAATATCAAGTAAAAATAACTCTCCTTCGGAAAATGACTTTTTTTTTTTTTTGATATTAAGAACTAAGAGCATGATTATCCAAGGGCTCTTAATAATACTTCTTAAGAATATTTAAGTAATATTTTTTTTGTTCCACCTCTTAACATTTTTTTTTGTTCCTTAGCTAAGAAACACTTCTTAGACCACCATTAACAAGGGTATCTTAAAGAGTTCTTAAGTAAGAAATGTGGCTTAGCTAAGACCCAAAACTAAGAAAAGTGGCTTAGCTAAGACCCAAAACTAAGAGTTCTTAACTTTAATACTTCTAAGAACCATTTTAAAGATACCATTGTTAATCATGCTCTTAGCTTAAAAGCACTTTTGGGAATAAATATAATCAATCAATTAAGAAGAAGACAGACTTCCCTTGTGGGACCCACTGAGGGGATCTACCGAACTTTTGAACGAAACCGTTATGTCATGGCGCGAAAATATTATAGAAACCATCATAAGAACACAACACAGTTTAAGAACATTACAGAGTCGCTAAATCAAATCGATAAACATTTAAACAGTGAAACGCCCACGAAACATTGACATATTATACTCAAACCGTATAAAAGGCCACAACCGTATTTAAACGCTCCTAATACTTGTATCCTTTCACATACAAGCTCTCAGATGCGGCCGAGTCACCGGAAGCCCCACCGGTGTATTTTCCGAGGGTAGCGTCCGAGTTAGCCTTGCACCTGGTCAGGAAAGTGGCCTGAGCTTTGGCTAAGTTCTCTGTCTTACCGGCCCAAGCCTTGAGAGTGCTTTGTTGGAGGGCTCGGCCAAAAGAGAAAGTCAGCGTCCATGGTTTCAATACATCAAGCTTGTTCATTGCGTTCAGATTTAGTGTTGCTTCCTCTTCACTCTGTCCGCCTGAGAGGAACACGATTCCTGGAACCGCTGGTGGGACTGTGCGGCGCAGAGCAGTCACTGTGTATTCCGCTATCACTTCAGGTGCAACCTGTTAGAAGAATAGTTTTAGATTTAAGTCTCTATGATTCATTTGATTGTGATTCCATAAGGAGTGAGCATATAATCCTAGATAAAATTGCATCAAACGATCTTACACCAAATCAAATTATAAGTAATTTTTCTTGGTTTCAGTTTTGATAAAAAAACCGAATATATCTGAAAAACAACTGAACCAAAAACCAAACTGGATTGCCCACACTTAATTTCGTTACCTTTGGGCTGTCAGAGCCGGGAGTGACCATGTTCGGTTTAAGCAGAGTGCCTTCGAGGAGGACATGGTGGTCGTTCAAGGCCTTGTACACGGCAGCAAGAACTGTCTCCGTCACCGCCGCACATTTCTTGATGTCATGGCTCCCGTCGGTCAGTACCTCTGGCTCGACGATCGGGACCAGTCCGTTCTCCTGGCAGATGATGGCATAGCGGGCTAGCCCCTTGGCGTTCTCTTGGATAGAGAGCTCACTTGGCTCGGTGGCCCCAATCTTGAGGACTGCACGCCATTTTGCAAACCGGGCTCCGGCCTTGTAATACTCCTGGCAACGTGCACCAAGCGAATCTAGACCCTGAGTAGTGGTCTCGCCGTTGGTACCTGCTAGATCAACCACACCCTTGTCCACTTTGATTCCAGGGATAACTCCGTTCTCCTGATACCAAAAAAGAATCAGAATTCAAATTGAAACCGTAAGTTCCATTTGAGTCATATCAAGAGCTCCACTTCTGCAACACTTGAACACCAATGATTAAGACTAGAGCTGGAGTTTGGTTTTTCAGGGACAGACCATGAGGAGATCAACGAAGGGTTTGCCATCAGAGGTTTTCTGGTAGAGGGTTTCCTCGAAGAGGATAACACCGGAGAGGCAAGGGAAAGCGCCAGGGGAAGTGAAGAGGAGCTCACGGAGAGCTTGGCGGTTGGACTCAACGTTCTCGACATTGATGCTGGCGAATCGTTTCCCGATGGTTCCTGTGCTCTCGTCTGCCGCCAAAATGCCCTTTCCCGGTGTTGCAATGTACTTAGCCGTCTTGATCAGCTCATCTGAACAGAAAGCACATCAAAGAGAGAACCTGAAGAGACTGGAACAAGAAGAGTGCATGTTAAGTGTTTGTACCTGCGTATTTGCCGACAAAAGCAGACATGGTTGCTTTTTGGAGTGCAAGAGAGACGAGTTCTACTGAAGAGGACGAGGAAGCCAAGACAAAGCCTTAAGTACCTGCAACTTTTGAGAATATATAGGTAATATCTACGAGAGGAATATACCATTAGAATTTGTCATACGTGTCGGAAGGAGAGCCCGAGGAAGATTATCAACCTCGGATAAAGCAAATGAGTGATTGCTTCTACACTACCAAATGGCAACCAATGATCTCAGCTTTATCCCCAAAGTCTTGGATATGTGGAGAAGAGAAAGAGATAGGTACAAAACAAAAGCAGAGTGTTTTGTATAGTACCTCTCACACACACTTCAACCACACGTGTGTGCAACCAAAACTTACAAACACAAGAGATATTTTGGATATTGAAGCCAAATTTTTTTTTTTTTTTTCATTATGTCATCATCGGTCCCAGTAGCTATATACCTCCACTACCAAATGTATCAAGGGTTCCAAGGTCCAAGGATATTTATATATGGCACACAACAGTTGTTGATGGAGTATCAAGAGTTCCAAGGATAATTATATATGGTACACCGAATCCCGAGTCCCGGGTTCGATCAACCCCGCACTTGGGCATTTAAAAGTAAACAAAACTGTTCCCAAGAACTTGAGGGGGTTTAAATGGGAAAACCAACAAAGTTAAAGGTGATTCCTTTGATAGTTTGTGTAGCCGTTGTGGATAGAATGGCGAATGCATCAATAAACTGCTATGCAGGACATGGAAGGGACAACTAATGCTGCAGGACCACAGTCATCGTCTGTGCCAAAATATCGGTCCCCAAACTCGCCCATACCAGGAATAACACGACGTTTAATCCATTATCGATTTCAGATGTCACTATCTTTATTCTTGGGAATTTTTTGCAGACCACATGAACAGCTTGAGGTGCCTGACTGAACAAAGAAGAAAAAATATCTCAATCCAGCTGTATTGTGGATAAACATGGATAACAAGTAACCACAAGGGGTGTGTGTTAGCTTACTGAGATAAGGTTTAGAAGTATGATGTTTCCCTCAAGTACGCCCTTGTTATATAAGAAGGTTGATAGCTTCAGCCTCTGAGTTTCCGTGTTCAGTTTCAGTGTCACTAAGCACTTCAAGTGTGTTGAATTGGCAAACAGTGTGCAGAAGAGCAAAGAGAAAATATCTGGTAATGATTCTCCATAACAAATTTTATACAATAAAAACATATATTTTGCTTTTCAAAACGTGAATTCCACATGGATATTGCTGTATTTAGGTGTGGAAGACCTTTACCAGTTTTGCTTTTCTGGTTGCTAAACCAAAATTTAATCCACTCTGACGGATTAGCATGTATAGTTTGACAGTAACTGGGAAAATAACAATTATTAGCAGTTTGCAAAACTGAACATTCAAACAGTTACAACACCAACGAGACATTAGACATATACTCAAACCGCATAAAAGGCGGATGCCCGTTCTTAAACAATCCTAGTACCTGTATCCTATCACAACCAAGTCCTCGGAGGCGGCCGAGTCACCAGAAGCCCAGCCGGTGTATTTCCCGAGGGTAGCATCCGAGTTAGCCTTGCACCTGGTCAGGAACTTGGCCTGAGCTGTGGCTACGTTCTCGGTCTTACCGGCCCAAGCCTTGAGAGCGCTTTGCTGGAGGGCTCCGCCAAAAGAGAAAGTGAGCGTCCATGGCTTCAACACATCAAGCTTGTTCATTGCGTTTAGATTTAGTGTCGCTTGCTCTTCCCGCTGTACGCCTGAGAGGAACACAATTCCCGGAATAGCTGGTGGGACTGTGCGGCGCAGAGCAGTCACCGTGTATTCCGCGATTACTTCCGGTGCAACCTGTAAGAAGAACAATTTTAGCGTTTTGTAGAAAATTAACATTGCATTTCGAGGTATTTATGTCTCTGTGATTCATTTGATTGTGGTCCCGTAAGGAGCGGACATGTAAATCTAAATAAAATAGCATCAGACCGATAAAGTTTGGTTGTGGTTTCAGTTTCGAAATATAAGACCAATATAACCGAAAAATCTGAAACAACTGTTCCAAAACAAAACCGGATTGCCCACACCTAGTTTCGTTACCTTTGGGCTATCCGAGCCGGGAGTGACCATGTTAGGTTTAAGCAGAGTGCCTTCGAGGAGGGCATGGTGGTCGTTTAAGGCCTTGAACACGGCAGCAAGAACCGTCTCGGTCACCGCCGCACATTTCTTGATGTCGTGGCTCCCACCGGTCAGCACCTCTGGCTCGACGATCGGGACAAGTCCGTTCTCCTGGCAGATGATGGCATAGCGGGCTAGCACCTTGGCGTCCTCTTGTATCGAGAGAAAGCTTGGCTCGGTGGCCCCAATCTTGAAGAATGCATGCCATTTAGCAAACCGGGCTCCTGCCTTGTAATACTCCTGGCACCGTGCACCAAGCGAGTCTAGACCCTGAGTAGTGGTCTCGCCGTTGGTCCCTGCTAGATCAACCAAACCCTTGTCCACTTTGATTCCGGGGATAACACCGTTCTCCTGATCCAAAGAAAAATCAGAATCCAAACTGAAACAGTAAGTTCCATTTGGGTCATGTCAAGAGCTTCAACTCTGCAACTCTTGAACCCAATGATTAAGACTAGAGCTGGGGTTTGTTTTTCTGAGACAGACCATGAGGAGATCGACGAAGGGTTTTCCATCAGAGGTTTTCTGGTAGAGGGTTTCCTCGAAGAGTATAACACCAGAGAGGCAAGGGTAACTGCCAGGGGAAGTGAAGAGGAGCTCACGGTAAGCTTGGCGATTGGACTCAATGTTCTCAACATTGATTCCAGCGAATCGTTTCCCGATGGTTTCTGTGCTCTCGTCTGCCGCCAAAATGCCCCTTCCCGGCGTTGCAATGTACTTGGCCGTCTTGATCAGCTCATCTGAACTCAGAAAGCACAAAAAATGGAGAACCTGAACATTCTGGAACACAAAGAGAAGAGTGCATTTTAAGTGTACTTACCTGCGTATTTGCCGACAAAAGCAGACATGGTTGCTGTTTGGAGTGCAAGAGAGATGAGTTCTTGCTGAAGAGGACGAGGATGCTAAGACAAAGGCCTTTAGGGTAATATCTTCTAGGAATATACAGTTAGAATGGAGAGCCCGAGGAATATTATCAACTTCGGGTAAAGCGAATGAATGATTGCTTCAACACTACCAAATGCCAGCCAAGGATACCAGCTTTATCTCCAAAGTATTGGATATGTGGAGAAGAGAAAGAGTAAGGTACAAAGCAAAAGCAGAGTGTTTTCCATAGCACCTCTCTCACACTTCAACCACATGAGTCTGCAACCAAACTTAGATATTTTGGACATTGAAGCCAAATGTAATTTTCTTTTCTTTTGCATCATTGGCCAAATGGCCATATACCTCCCACTCGGGAGAGAGAGACCTGGTTCGAACCTGGATTTATGAGATGACAACAGAGGTGGTGCAACCACTGGCCCACAAATATTTTACTTTTGAAGCAAAATATATTATGCTTGTGGAGTATCATTCCAAGGATATTGATATATGGTACACAAGAGTTGCAGATGGAGTATCAAGAGTTCCAAGGATAATTATATATGGTACACCGAATCCCGAGTCCCGGGATCGATCAACCCCTCACTTGGGCATTTATAAGTAAACAAAACTGTTCCCAACACCTTGAGGGGGTTTAAATGGGAAAACCAACAAAGTTAAAGGTGATTCCTTTGATAGTTTGTGTAGCCATTGTAGTGGATAGGATGGTGAATGCATCAGTAAACTGCTACGAAGGACATGGATGGGACAACTAATGCTGCAGGAACACAGTGGCCTAGTCATCGTCTGTGCCAAAATATCGGTCCCCAAACTCGCCCATACCAGGAATAACACGAAACTCTTCGTTTAACCCATTATCGATTTCAGATGTCACTATCTTTATTCTTGGGAATTTTTTGCAGACAACATGAACACCTTGAGGTGCCTAATTGAACAAAGAAAAAAAAATCTCAATCCAGCTACATTCTTGTGGATAAACATGGATAAGGAGTAATCACAAGGGGTGTATAGATGATATGCAAAGGGTGTGTTAGCTTACTGATATAAGGTTTAGAAATATGATGTTTCCCTCAGGTACACCCTTGCTTATAAGGAGGTTGATAGCTTCAACCGCTGAGTTTCCTGACAAGATGTATAATTTCAGTGTCACTAGGCACTTCAAGTGTGTTGAATTGGCTAACAATGTGCACTAGAGCAAAGAGAAAAGAGGAAATAAAAAAATTTCAGTAAAAAGTGATGAAGAAAGACGGGTTAATTACCTGTGCCGAGAATAGGATCCAACAATAGGACATGCCTCTCCGAGATATCATTTGGCAATTTCTCATAAACAAGCTGCAGAGTGATTCAGACATGAAACAGTGATGAAATAGAACACCTGGACTGAAATAGGAGTGACTCGTTTACCTGTTGACCATTGTCGCCTTCTCTGTGAATTAGGATCTTCCCGATCTTGATACCTTTGCAACATGCTCGCAATGCATTCTCCATGCTCTCACCACTAGCATTATTCAAAAACACCATCAAGTTGGTGAGAGAATGGGATATGAAAGGATGCAGAAATTCCTCTTGAATAAACTAAAGCTAGGATATAGGAAAGTACCTCCTAATCACAGACACACCACATAACCGTTTACAGAAATCCACACCAGAATACACACATCCTGAAACAGGCAACCAGGATACCTATGAGCTATTAGTCACGTGTTTAACCACTACAACTATAGATAAGTGAATTCACGAACAACACTGCAAAAACAAAAGTCATTAAGCTTACCGGTTGGAGTAATCACTTGCATTTCAGTAAAAGGCAGATGTCCAAGACCATGTTCTACAACCTGATAATTGTAAGAAAAAATTCAGACAACAGAAATGAGACGTGACAGGAGAATTTGCTTGACCATTTGAATAAACTTTAATAACCCTACCAGCCTAATCAATCGATCAGAATAGAAGACAAAATCATGTTTGGTTGTCTGAGAATCTCGTATAAGGGTGTGCATCCCTCTTATCTGCAAGAGAGAACAATTTTTTTTGTGAAACACAAGTCTTGTTTGGTAGTTAAGAGAATGTTACTGGTAGTTAGATGAGATTGACATATTAATTACCTGAAATGTCGAGTGTATAACATAGAGATTAGGATATATTTTACAGAGATCATGTTGACCCAGCTTGGTGCAAATATGTTGCACAATTAAGTCAATAGCTACATGATTATCCCCACCACGAGGGATTATAATATCTGCATATTTCTTCGTCGGAAGAATGAAGTCATCAAAAGCAGGCTTCACAAACTTTGAGTACTGCATCAAAAGGTTGACATCATATAAGATATGGGCAGACACATTTGGATTTGAAAACGGCAAACTAATATGGGTGAAAAACATACAGAACAGAGCCATGTGATATTTGAAATGCAAGAGGTAAACCATTTCTTGTTGTTCTTGAAGATAATATAAACAGTAACAATACTAACACGGGCTAACCTGGTCAAGTACTGTGCCGATATCTCTACCATTCTCGACAGTATCTCTTTTTATCCTTCTTGCCAAACGAACGTCAGCATCTACGCAGAAAACAAAATATGCAATGTGAAAATGAGCTGAAAGTTAAAAAAAATACTTAAAGCATTTCTTATAGCGTAAGAAGTTGTTCCTTCATGTGAAATCTTACTAGTAGAAAAAGGCCAAGTGAAGCTACAAAAACGGAAATGGAATGTAGTAGAAACAAGAGTTTACAGTAATTATAACGGGAAAAGGTAACAAATTACCTGTGCAAACAAAAATCTTCATGTTCATCAATTTTCGGACGCGTGGATCATGGAATAAAAGTATCCCTTCAAGAATTATTACATCCGTAGGATTTACCTACAAAATGTTTATCAAAATCCGAGCATCAAATAAGATAAAATTGATGTCCCCTTAGATCCCTAACCAGATAAAAGCCAGTGGTGACATCTAAGAAATTGCTATTGTTACAGAAAGAGGCAGTAAGAAAATGAAAAAGGCGTCTCAAGGTCATACACATCAATTAACAATATGATAATGAGTGATGCTGAGAGGAAAAATGGTACCCTTCTGAAAACACTGCTCCTGTAAGTTTTGAAATCGTATTTTGGTATATCTACAGCTTGCCCTTGCCTCAATTTTTCCATACAAGACAATAAATGCTCTGTGTCAAATGCGTCTACAGAAACAACAACAACAATTCATTAGAATCCAGGATAAAAAGAAATTAACGGTGGACGACAAAGAGTAATGCACAAGACTTTTTCTCATAACTCCCAGCAACTATTAAGGTGCTGTCAGGGATGAAACTGCTTTCATAAAAGAGAATACATCAATTACTAAGATGTCACTGAAGAATATGGTTGTTAGTTATGCCTTAAGAATCCCAAAGAAGTATTACCAAAAAAAGAATTCCCAAAAAAGCCAGGAACTGACAAGAGTAGATTACAGAAAGCAGCCCCACTTTAGAATATAGTCTCACCTGGATGGTCAAAGTTGTATTCATGAACTCTAGCAAGTTCTTCTTCAGTCAGATTGTGATAGAACGAGTCCTGCCAAAGTATTTATCATTGGATATTTAGTCGAGCAATTTTTGGTTCATCATGATGGCAAATGTATATGAGAATTAGATACATACACTGACATAAATATCTAAACAATGGTGACAAGGTAGAACCATGTTAAACTTCAACCATATAAAAGTTAATAGCTGGCAACATTCTCCCTTTAGATCTCTAAATTGTGTGGAATTCAATTGACTTCATATACATTTGAAACACAGATCAAACCAATCACTTAGCTCTATGAAACTTTATTAGCAAAACAAAATTACCAGGTTAATAAGTACAACACGCTGATCATGTAGTTGCTGGATTATCATATCACAAACAGTAGTCTTTCCCGATGCTGCGCCTCCAGCAACACCTAAGATATAAAATCAAGACCATTCGTCAAGATTTTCTTTATCCACGACAATATATTAAGCAAAAATGAAAGCTTTTGTAAAAGAAGAACTGACCTATAACAAAAGGCTGTCTTTGGATATCTTCTGATGCAGAAGTGGTATCCTTAACTGCTCTAGGTTCCAACCCATTCATGTGGCCATTCACGTGTAAACCAGAAAAATGTACCCCCGAGGCAGCTTCTATCATGTCAACAACGGACTTAGAACCCATCCGGACGACAATTCTGGACATTGAAAATAGTTAAAATATCTTAATCCCTATCACAATCATGCATAAGCAAACAAAACACAGGGAATCTTACAACTTCAGCTAGATTCTCAATTTCTCCAGAGCAAAATATGCAATTTAATTCTAGAATCCTAACTCACTATTCGTATAACAACAAATGTGAAACAAAGCCCACTTTATCCAGCAAAACAGAGGAAGAAAAGAGTGAAACTTTCAGCTGCAACCAAAAACTGTAAATCCGAACTCTTTATATAACCATAGATCAACAAATGCGAGAGCAATCCAAAACAAACAAAACCCTCAAGTTATAACATTAAATCAAACATTGAAGAACCAAAGCATGGAGGACCAGAACAGCAATGATCGAGCATCTGGAGGTGAAATCGTACTACATGACAAAAACAGATCGTTCAAATGAGAAAAGTCGTAAAAATGAGATTTTTAAAATTACCCAGATTCAGCTTTGCTCTCAAGGATCTCAGGAAAATCTCAAATAAGAAAAAAAGGGAGATGCAGTTTCTTTCTCTGGAAGTAGACAGAAACAATAGAATCTCAGATAAGAAAGGGACAGTTTTTTAATTTGATTAAAATTAAATTAAGTGTTTTAATTTAAAATAATTGCTTACATTGGGAAAAGCTGGATTCGGACATGATTGATTTGATATATTATAATGGCGGAGCGTGTTTGAGGTGACGAACGAAGAACAAGGAAGACGATGCTTGAACAAATTATAAATAAAAATCTAGATATCTTTTTCTTTTCCTTTTTTGTTGTTTGTGAAAGGAGTCGTATACTTTTCTAATTGTTCAAAATCAACCCCACGATTGATTTTAGATCTAATTTTTGGATTTTGGTGGACTATTTCACTCTACTTCTCAACGACTCCGGTACATTCCCGGTTTTATTGCTAAAATCGGAAGAACAAATTTTCACAAGTCTATCCCGGTCCTTCTCTATTCAAAGCATGTCTCTCTCTCTCTCTCGTCTTAGATTACAAGTCCACACAATAATCCCAACTCAAAGATCCATTGTTAAGCCCAACTTATAGCCCAAACTATAACTAAGCCTAAACTCTCCACAAAATTGAGATTAAATTCTATATACAGGGAATATATATTTTGTTCAACATGTTTTTATATTTCTTTTCAAAACGTGAAATCCACACGAATATTGCTATTTAGGTGTGGGAGACCTTTACCAGTTTTGCCTTTTTTGGTGGCTAAACAAAAATTATTTCTTTTCTCTTTTTAATTTGATCAGCTCTTATAGTTAGTTTTACGGATTAGCAATGAGAATTTTAGTAGTTTGCAAAAGTGAAGACTAGAAATTTTCTGATTATCAAATAGTATCAAATTTCATGACTGTTTTGTCTATTTTTATATAATTAAATTTATCTATTTAACAAATTCTTAGAAGAGGTTTGTTTTTGAACCAAAAAAAGGAAAAGGTTTGTTTGGTGAAAAAAGTAAAGAAGAAGAGGATTGTGGTTAATTTGGAATATTCGCGACTCTCTCTGTTTCATCTCTCTCGCTCTCTCGAAGTTTCAAGTTCGACTATGGCAGCAGCGATGTCTTCTTCTTGCTGCGCTTCTTCCCTCCGTTTCATCCCATTCAAACGGACTTTGTTTTCTTCTATCCATTTTCCGGCCAAAACCCTTATTCTACGACCACTAAAACCGTCGGAAATTCCTTCCTTTCGCCGGACGATCATCACGTTCCAGAAAATTTCAACCGGAATCGTTCCTCCTCTATCAGCTTCATCATCATCTCCGTCGAGCTCTGGAGACCTTCAACCAATCGAAGAGCTACCTCCGAAGCTACAAGAAATCGTCAAGCTTTTCCAATCGGTACAAGAGCCAAAGGCTAAATACGAGCAGCTTCTGTTCTACGGGAAGAATCTGAAACCACTCGATTCTCAATTCAAGACGAGGGAGAATAAAGTTGAAGGATGTGTTTCTCAGGTTTGGGTTAGGGCTTTCTTCGATGAGCAACGTAATGTTGTGTATGAAGCTGATTCTGATTCGCTTCTCACTAAAGGTTTAGCTGCTCTATTAGTCCAGGGTTTATCTGGAAGACCTGTGCCTGAGATTTTGAGGATTTCACCTGATTTCGCTCTTCTTCTCGGTTTGCAGCAGAGTCTGACTCCTTCTAGAAGCAATGGTTTCCTTAATATGCTTAAGTTGATGCAGAAAAAGGCTCTTCATTTGGAAGTCAAAGGTGAGGAAGATTCAAGTTCTGAATCCAGCTTTGTATCTACTCCTGAGACTAAGGACGAAGCTAGTGTTCCAGAGGTGGATTCGGAGTCCAAACCTGGTCTAGTTGAGGATTTGGGAACAGAAAAGATTGATGATTCTGATAGTGGGTCTAATGGTGTTGCTTTAGGGAGTAGAGGGATGAGGATAAGAGAGAGATTGGAGAAGGAGTTGAATCCTGTTGAGTTAGAAGTTGAAGATGTTTCTTACCAGCATGCAGGACATGCTGCTGTTAGAGGTAGTGCTGGTGATGATGGGGAAACACATTTCAACTTGCGAATCGTTTCGGATGCTTTCCAAGGTAAAAGCTTGGTCAAGAGACATAGGCTGATATATGACTTGTTGCAAGAGGAGTTGAAGAGCGGGTTACATGCTCTCTCTATTGTGGCAAAGACTCCTGCTGAGGTTTGAGGGTGTAGCAATGGAAGAATTCAGGTCCAGATTCTTTTACTTCTCTAGGTCCATTTGCTTTTGGATTTTGTTCTCTGGACCTTTTAATAATGTTGAGGCTTGAGAGCTTGATCAGGATCATGTTATATATATAGATTCTTTTGATGAGAGATTGATATTGATTTTGCCAAAAGATTGAATCTTTATGGAGGATATATATAATGTTTTCACCACATGATTCGCCTTTTTCAAACTGAATTCACTTTATCTTATTAGCGTCAAGGTCTTTTTTGCTTTGATATGGTTTCCTGATATTATTAAGTTTGATGCCTACGCTTTGAGAGTGCTGGAGAGATGAATAGGATCAGAGAATGCTCAAGGTTGTTCTCCATATGGCTTAGTTTGAATCGTTAGGAAGATCAAAGCACCTAGGGAAAGTAAAAGGGATTTAGGGAGAAAAATGGTATATTCATGTCCACCATTAGACATGTGAAGTTTCTTGTTCATTTCTAATTCTTCTAGATACTCAAAGTTGGTATTGTCTAATCAAGTGATGCAAGTTGGTTTGAGGGACTGCAGAAAAAAGAAAGAGATTTGGTTGCTTTACTTCTTTCTTTCTGATAAAATAAGTAAAAAATGTGAAAGGAGTTTCAGATGATCCCTGTTTCAGTCTACCGTTAGACATGTGATGTTTCTTAAAGCCCCATAAGCTGAGACTTGTGGGGTTTTATATACAATCAGCTTTACATACGTGTCTAGTGAAACCAGTTGTGGTTTTAGCCAACCAATTTCTGCTTAACTTTTCTCTCCTGAGACCATTGTATATTTGTATCTAATATCAAAACTTTCCTGGAGAAAATATTAATTTAAGTTGAGATTTTAAATTTTGAAATCGTCTATGTTGGCATATGCTAAAAAATGGGTAAGCTGTCTCTTTATTATCGTGTGTGTTTTACTGTTTTTGATTACTTTAAGTCCTAAAGGGAGCCAACATAGGCATCTAAATGCTTGTACCTCTTTTGCTTTTGGTCTTAAATCTTCTCTGGTGGTTCAGGTATGTTGAACTGTATTAAAATACAACATTGGTCTTGGCACTGTGTCTAATGGATCAATTATGAATCTGTTGCATAGTGATTGCTCGAGTAATTACTCGATATATCTAACCGTTAGGTAGTATATTCGAGGTCGATCCACAAGGACCAAAGATACTCTAAGGGTTTCCGAGACTCGTTCTTAGCTAAAGCGGAAAGGTTGTTTGTTTGGTTTTCAGATTGTAAAATAAAAATGCTAATAAATAAAACGATTTAACTTCAAGATTTAAAGACATTAGGCATTAGGATATTTCAGAGATCGATAAACAATGGAAACATGAGACAAGGAATTCAACTATTAAGCACCGCTCTTGAACATGAACACAACTTAGACTAATTCTCTTTCAAGACATTAATCACTAAATTTGACTACTCGATTACTAAACTTTCGCATGTAATTTCCTAGTCAAATTCGCATTATCAAACAAGTTCATTTAGTTCACAATGCGTCCTAACTTCAACTTTCGTTGGCTAGAAATACTTTGCTCAATTCACATTCTTTCAGGCATTCTATCGAACACTTTTGATGCATAGAAAAACCTAGAATCTACAACAGGGTGATCAATCCTATTCTAGCATTAAGAACATGTGAATCAAAGAACCTAGAGAATGAGAATTCCAAACAACAATCAATCCATTAATCTATCGAATCTCCTAATTAGAACCCTAACACCTAATTAAAAGACTACTCACACATATTGAAAAGAAGAACACAAATATGAATGAAAGAAAACATGATCCAATAAAATAGAAAAGGAATAGGGTTTAGAAATCTTCTCCAATTTGTCAAAGAGGATGGATTCTTCTCCCAAATTTGCTTACAAACCAAAGAACCAAGTTTAGAACTGAAAAATATGAAAGATAATGTCTCAAAAGTCGAGCATAGGGTTTTAAAACAATAGGAGACGAGCCGGGTCGGATCTGGAGTGAATCGGGTCAAATCTGGGCCAAAAATACGTTTGGGGAAGGGATCGATCGATCCGGTGGGTGGATCGATCGATCCCGAGTCACTGGAAACTGCTTCACGTCCGTCAGAGGGATGGGATCGATCGATCCACATGTGGATCGATCGATCTGGATCTTCTGGTCTCTAACTCCGCAATTGCTTCAAATGCTCGGCAGAATGACATGTCTTCACTAATTCGGGTATAACTCTTGAATGCACCGTTAGATTGCTTTCAAACCACTTGTAAACTCAAGCTAACATCTTCATCTAGCGTGTGTCAAAATTTCAGAAAGATCTAACGGTGGGAAGTATTCCATATGAGGCCAAACGTCTGATACTTTGAAACGAAACTGCATCTCCAAAAGTGTGTTTATATCCCAAAACAGCTCGTTTTCCTCCAAAGCAACCTAAAACCTGTAAAGACTCGATAAAAGACTAAAAGACTCTAAAAACACACTTTGACTCAATAAAACATATGATGTAGGAAAGAAAACAAAGACTCAAAACCGATAAAAACACAACATATCAACTCCCCCCGACTTAGATCTTTGCTTGTCCTCAAGGAAAGCAGAAATCTTTGTCAAGAGAAGAGGTTTGAAAACACGAGAACTCACATTTTCTTCGGGATCATGCTCTTATCAATTGCCTGCAAACCACTATCACAAAATTCATCAAACCGTACTAGACTGTACTTCGCCATAACCGTAGCAACAAAATTAAGTCCCGAGATCTAAAAGAATTTTCAGAGTCAGATAACTTAACCATTTAACATTCATTAACAAAGGCGTGTACTCTCACTAAGGGGATATCAAACACGTTATGGGCTAGGTGTAAGGGCTATTATTTGATGACTCAAGTGTTTCGGGTTCTCAAACAGTGTAAAACGGATACATGTCATTATGCGAAATCACAGTGAGACACAGACCAACTAGGAGGTACATAGCTTCCCTTGAGCTCGGATCAAACTAACCAACACATTATCCCAATCAAATCAATGAGTACCCTTGATGCTTAACATTATAACTAATAATAACTCGACATTTCCGGTTCCAATCACTCTCCTTTCCCGTTCCTTCTTTTTATTTTCGTTTTTTTTTTTTTTATTTTTTTTTTTTTTTTTTTTATTTTTATTTTTTTTAGACGGGGGAGTGGAACCGGTGTCTCATAAAATCTGCATCAAGAAAAACCGCAAACAATAGCATATGCCCATGAAAACAACCTCTAAACCACAATGGCTCAATCTCATCACATATCAACAACTAGTAAACTACAACTCACTATCCTAACAAAAGGAAAGCTATGTCGGTCCGTATACTCCGTAGTTTTCGCACATGGATGCATATCATGATGATTATACAAGAATGCATGAGGTTTCAAACAATGGGTGGGGGAACAGGTGTGGTACTAGACTAAAAATGAGTCTAGCCATTCAGAGTTAGCAAAGAGTGGTAAAAAAAATGATGCAAACAAAACTCTGAATGTATGATCCATTACATGATTCTTAAGCCCCTAAGTGAGATAAATTAAGTCCAGATTAAGTTCAAGTATATAAGATAAAGCTCAATTCATCCGAATTTCAAAGAGATAGGGACTACTATAAAGCGATCTAGTGATGGATTTTCCTGAACTTCCAAGTTATCGAATAAAGCTAAAATGGTCTCAAGGCATTGAAATCAAGCAAGGTGCAATTCCCCAAGAAAAGATCATAGTTCTCAAACAAATTTTGACTCAATAAAAGACACAAAAAATTTTTTTTGACTCGATAAAAACAACTGACTCAAAAGAAAACATCAAAAGAAACAACCAAAGCAAACTCGATTAGTAGACACATGACATCCTCCCCCCGACTTGCTTCACACCGACTCGGTGTGAAAACAATTCGAAGAAATGATGTCATACACACTCAAAAGAAAAGGAAAAAAAAAATGTAAATGCGAAAAATAAAAAGAGAAAACTTACTTGGGATACATTGTGGGTTGCCTCCCACAAAGCGCTTATTTTAGGTCGTAAGCTTGACCTCTCAACACTAAATATTAATCATAAGAATCAAAAGGTTGTGCTAGTGGACCTTTTGTTCTTCTCCTGTTAGTGCAAGAAATGAGATGTGCCAAGTAACTCACAATTATCCATGATAAAGAGAGAAAATTCACATCAAGAAAAATTACTACAAATGTAGCATATACTTTGAAATATTCCTTGATGGTTGAATGCTCATGAGGATCAAATGCATTTGGAGGAAAAATAAAGTCAATTTCCGGCTTATATGATGTTTGAACAAAATAATCAACTTCATCCCCATTGATCTCATATAGCACAATATCTCCATCCATATAATCAACCTCATGATCGTCATTCTCATGCAAAATCTTATCAATATCAAGCACAACTCCTAGGAAAGATTCATCAAGAAGAGATCTAGATATTTCAGGCATTGAAAACTTAAACTCGAGATCATGAACATTCAAAGCACAATGATATTCAATATCAAAACATATTTCATGGTAATCCCTAGCAAGTTTTGCTGCTCTTAAAGTATCTAGTTGTTGAGACTCACATATTAAATCGTAACATTCATCAATGATCATGGGAGTATGCAAACTAGAAGTCACATCTTCAATGCATGACAACTGAATATCCTCTACATCATGAATTTCAAGGGTTGAAACGCATGTACCTTCTAGTTCACTTGGTGGAACCCAATATATTACCTTTTCAAGCGCATGAGCTTCTTGTTCTTCATAGAATGTGACTTCTCTTCCTTCACATGCTGCCCGGTGTGATAAGAGATTCACCCGGATCAAAATCGCTAAATCACTCCTTACCAATGTCGGATGTTCGTTGTGAAGTTCATCCAACTTCACTTTTTGTTCCGGTGTAAGAACTCTCTCATCAAACGGTGGCTCCACATATGGTTCATCATCTTCTTCTTGCGGCCAATCATTATATTCCATGACATAAAAAAAACAAATGAAAGTTAGTAATAAATAAAAATGCTCTAGACTAAAAACTAATCCTAAATCCTTAGGTAATGCAATTGGTCCCCGGCAACGGCGCCAACTTGATTGCTCGAGTAATTACTCGATATATCTAACCGTTAGGTAGTATATTCGAGGTCGATCCACAAGGACCAAAGATACTCTAAGGGTTTCCGAGACTCGTTCTTAGCTAAAGCGGAAAGGTTGTTTGTTTGGTTTTCAGATTGTAAAATAAAAATGCTAATAAATAAAACGATTTAACTTCAAGATTTAAAGACATTAGGCATTAGGATATTTCAGAGATCGATAAACAATGGAAACATGAGACAAGGAATTCAACTATTAAGCACCGCTCTTGAACATGAACACAACTTAGACTAATTCTCTTTCAAGACATTAATCACTAAATTTGACTACTCGATTACTAAACTTTCGCATGTAATTTCCTAGTCAAATTCGCATTATCAAACAAGTTCATTTAGTTCACAATGCGTCCTAACTTCAACTTTCGTTGGCTAGAAATACTTTGCTCAATTCACATTCTTTCAGGCATTCTATCGAACACTTTTGATGCATAGAAAAACCTAGAATCTACAACAGGGTGATCAATCCTATTCTAGCATTAAGAACATGTGAATCAAAGAACCTAGAGAATGAGAATTCCAAACAACAATCAATCCATTAATCTATCGAATCTCCTAATTAGAACCCTAACACCTAATTAAAAGACTACTCACACATATTGAAAAGAAGAACACAAATATGAATGAAAGAAAACATGATCCAATAAAATAGAAAAGGAATAGGGTTTAGAAATCTTCTCCAATTTGTCAAAGAGGATGGATTCTTCTCCCAAATTTGCTTACAAACCAAAGAACCAAGTTTAGAACTGAAAAATATGAAAGATAATGTCTCAAAAGTCGAGCATAGGGTTTTAAAACAATAGGAGACGAGCCGGGTCGGATCTGGAGTGAATCGGGTCAAATCTGGGCCAAAAATACGTTTGGGGAAGGGATCGATCGATCCGGTGGGTGGATCGATCGATCCCGAGTCACTGGAAACTGCTTCACGTCCGTCAGAGGGATGGGATCGATCGATCCACATGTGGATCGATCGATCTGGATCTTCTGGTCTCTAACTCCGCAATTGCTTCAAATGCTCGGCAGAATGACATGTCTTCACTAATTCGGGTATAACTCTTGAATGCACCGTTAGATTGCTTTCAAACCACTTGTAAACTCAAGCTAACATCTTCATCTAGCGTGTGTCAAAATTTCAGAAAGATCTAACGGTGGGAAGTATTCCATATGAGGCCAAACGTCTGATACTTTGAAACGAAACTGCATCTCCAAAAGTGTGTTTATATCCCAAAACAGCTCGTTTTCCTCCAAAGCAACCTAAAACCTGTAAAGACTCGATAAAAGACTAAAAGACTCTAAAAACACACTTTGACTCAATAAAACATATGATGTAGGAAAGAAAACAAAGACTCAAAACCGATAAAAACACAACATATCACATAGTAAGATAATATCTTTCCAGTTTCTTTATCTTGGAAATAGTACAAACTCCGATCTCTGTTCTTGGATAGAGTTCACTAGGTCTTGTTCATTTATACATTTTGTGGGAAAGCAAATAGAAATATACTTGAAGAACATGCCAAAACTAGAGACTTTGCAGATGACTACTGACTCAGAGAACCGTATCGTCTTCTTCATCGTTTCTTCGTCGTGCAATTACGAGAAATCAGGATTCCGGTTGGTGGACCGGTCATCTGAAGTTGGCACCTCCCGTGCAGCGAATAAGAGTAATGAATCATTCCAAAATGAGCTCTGACTTTGAAGGTACCTCTAATCTCATATTCTATCTTGTTGTTTTCCAGCTGTCTCTTGAGTTCCACCGCGTGGTTTACAGGCAAGCCTACCAAACTAGAGATCAAACGGATTGGTTCCAACCTCGTCTCACGCTTTTTCTGCGAGAATGGCTGGACCACTTGCACTGCAATCAATCTATTGAAGAAGAAGAGCTCAATCCGAAGCTTCTCAAACTTCACTTCTATCTTCTTATTAGGGTTTGTGAAATTCACCAGCATCGACAAATCGCCGTTGAAAAACATTGGCGAGTCAAAGTAGATCGTGTGTAGGTTCGCGTTTGGGATGTCGAAAACAGGTATTCTTGGTCTAATCGCAAGAAACACAATCAAAGTAGCAATCGCAAAGAAGATAAGCAAAAGACTGAACACAAAACATAAACCGGCAACACACCATATCCACAGACTGGTCCTGCTACTCCTTGGCTGACGGAGAATCACCCTATCTTTCCTCGGCTCTGCATCAAGACCGTTGAATCTAACCGTTGCTGGCTTTGTTAAGACCATTTGGCCAACTGGTGTGGATTGTGTGCTTTGTGGTGTTCTCCATGGAGTGGTTCTTGGAGTATACCATACAGAAGATGGAGTTTCCCATGATGGCGTTTCGGGCGGTTGCAACTGCGGTGGAGGAGGAAGAGGAGGTAGATTTGGCATGAGTTATGTGATCAATGGAAGGAAATTTGGATATGTGTAATGGTTATGGGTTAAATAGGAAAATAACAAAGTTTTGTGTAAAAAAGCGAAAGCGAGAGTTTGGGCAAAAGAAGGGAGCTTTTGCATAATGGGGTTTGGTTTTTGCAATGAGTGGGACCATGCGTGTCGTTTTGAAGAACTAGTAAAGCAAATCTCGGTGGATTTAAAGTTTGAAAACTACATGGAGTATGAGTTTTTTTTTCCTACTTAACAAGTGGCTTTTCCTAATTAAATCTGAGATAAAAGGGTTTCGATTGATTACAGGGGACAGATAGTTATTAATTGAACAAACTCAAAAGTAGTATTTTTGGAAAAGGATGCAATTACCACCAATTTGTATAACATAAAATACTCTTTTAATCTAAGACTTATTTGACATTTTAAACTAATGAATTTCATTGAAATATATAGATAATGCTATCTAGACAATTTTGGTAGATGCATGTGTATGCTACTATGAAAAAAAATGGTTTTATGTCAAGTATGATAAAATAACGTTTTTGATGCGAAATGAAATATACAATATAGAACAATATTGCTTAACCTATTTTTTTATTTTATTTTTGATTGAAAACTTATGAGGATAAAAAAAATCAAAAAGTAAACGAAAACAAAAATATTCTTTAAGTTGCTTTTAGGCTTAGTCTAAGGATTGAAAAATCAATTCTCGGCTTTATCTTTGGTTGTGTGAAGATAATCAAACTGAGTTTGTTCCTTGGGTAACTTTGCTTCTTTTTTCTTCTCACTTTTTATGGTTGTTGTAATGTGTGGTTAGTTGCGGATCCATAAAACACTTCAGCACTAAGAAAAAGCTTTTTTTCCTATGAAAAAGTCATATCAATTCCATTTTTGTCTTTTAACATTTCCATAGTAATTTGATAATTCCAATCTCCTGGATTTTCTTAAGAGTAATGGGAGTAAGTTAGGCCTTGTTCACTGTCACAAATAAAATAGTACAACGATAACTAGAGAACGAGATTTTTATTACAGCTGAATAACTTGTTGAAGGTTGAATCTTTGATTGATCCTGAAATTGAGATAGACCAAAAAAAACTATTAGGCCATTAACTTGGTCAGGCCCAAATAAAAAAAGTTATTGTGTTTTGATGAAGAGTTCATTAGCTAAGTACTAAGTTAGAATGATTAAAGAGTTGTTAGGTTTGAATAGTTAAGAGTTGTTGGAGTCTAAGCATAAAGTAGTGTTGCTTGTGTAAGTGATTCTAGTGTCTAGAGGTAAGGTAAAAAAGTATGTGTGCAAGTGTGTGGTTAGTGGGTGAAAGTCTACTACTATAAGTATGAGTGTAAGAGTTGTTGTAAGATTGCATAAAAGTATGATTGAAAAGTTTTTAAGTAAAAACGATTCTAAACAAAAAGAAGAAAGTTGGAGATAAGCAAAAGAGCTAACCTGAAGCAAATATGAGAATAACAATAAAACTTCATATTTAATCAGGAATGTCTTGATAAATCGTCACGTGTTTGTAGATTGGCAATAATTTGATTTAACTATAGAATGACCAATAATTTTTATTTTTGTAATAATTTCAAGTTTCAAATATGATATTTAAGATCCTAATTATGAGTATAAATGAATGTGAAACGGTTTTATTAATACAAGATAAGGGTATATGAAAGGGTTAAGTAATTAACTTCGAAATATAAACATGCACAGAACTCGAAGAGCCGAATTTAAAATAAAAATGAACCCAAATTAAACGACACTGAAGCAACTTTTGTGTTGAGACTCTATGAGTATATATATGGTTTATATACTAGAGAGTCTTCAGGTGTAATGGAGATTTCAGAAAAATGGATAAGACACTATAGTAGCAAACACAAAATCCTTCTTGTTGGAGAAGGAAACTTCTCATTCTCACTATGTCTCGCTTCAGCTTTTGGCTCAGCCATGAACATAACCGCAACCTCTCTCGATTCTGAAGGTATGTAAAACCCATTTTATATGAACATTTGTAATACACATCTATCACTAGTCTTAACGAATCAATAAAATTTTACATGTAGATGAACTGTGCACAAAATATATGGATGCGATGGATAACATAAACATATTGAAGAGATACGGATGCGATATTCAGCACGAGGTTGACGTGCACACAATGAGCTTCGATAATAGTTTGAGCCTGCAACGCTATGACCGCATTGTCTTCAATTTTCCTCACGCAGGGTCACGTTTCTTTGGTCGTGAATTTTCATCTAGGGCCATCGAGTAACTAATTAAATATATTCTTTCATTTTCTTACTTTATAGTTTATGATTTGGACGACGTAATGATAAAACGCTGTGTTTTGGATCAGGAGCCACAAAGAGTTAGTGAGAGGTTTTCTTGAGAACGCTAAGGAGATGTTGGAAGAGGACGGGGAGATCCATATCACACACAAGACAACGTATCCATTTAGCGATTGGGGGATAAAGAAGCTGGCTAAAGGAGAAGGTTTGAAGTTGCTTAAGAAATCGAAGTTCGAGCTGAGTCATTATCCGGGTTATATCAACAAGAGAGGTAGTGGTGGACGTAGGAGTGATGATTACTTCCCTGTTGGTGAATGTTCTACTTACATGTTTATCCAATCCTAACTTTGGGAAATCTCGCTTTGCTTTTGCTATTATGATAACTATATAAAAATAAAATAATTGGGCATTACAACAACAACAAGGTAACAATAATTTGGTCCGAATAGCAACCCTAGACGCGTCTTTTATTGATGCATGTTTATTTATTGTTCAGTGGTCAGTTCCTTCTCAAAACTCAAGACTCGAGAGCAATCGGTATACAAAAAGACCAAAAATTTAAATGAACTATGTTAATAGTAATAAAGATCTTTAAACTTTTTAATCTCAATATAATTTTTAAAACATATGTGTAATTTATAAAAGTTCTTGAGCTTATACAAGTTCGTGTAACTGACTTATAGTTTCGTGAATTCATGTATAAATTTATAAAAGCAAATTGGCCAGCTAGTAGGCTTTTTTTTGTTGTTTTCTCATACAAGTGTTAAGTGTGTATCATGTGATTGTCTATTTGTATCCATACATTTATATAGAATATATCTATTTTTCGCCAAGAACAAAAAGGACGAGGAAGCTAATTAATTGGTTGAGATTAACACTTTAGTTTATTGGTTGGTCCAAAGAGTTGGTACTAGATTTCTTTGTCGTTTTCTCAATAGTTTAACATGCATATTCATGTGAAGTTGGATATGACGATATGCATCCATACTACATGTAGAATATATTATTTTTCCGCCAACAAAAGAAATACAAATAAGCTAATTAAACTGGTTGTAGATCACAGCAAATTACTTTAAAGGTTAAGAGATTCAATTTTAAAAGTAAAAATAATAACAACTATATCCCATTCCCAGTGTTGAGATTCGAGCTATATAATTCAAAATTATTTAGGTGATGCATGTAAGTTGTTAGAAATTTATAATCAATCGATGTCAAAGACATGGACCTACACGATCCGATAAATACCAGGGCCTTGTGAGGGTTAACAGCCACAATACAGAGGCCTTCAAAGTCTTTAAACCAGCTCAAAATATCTTCATCATAGCGTCGACATGGCTTGCCAAGAGACTCAATTCGAGAAGCAAATTATTGACTTGTACGACCAAATCTCTAAACTCAAGAGCCTTAAACCTTCAAAAAATGTCGACACTTTGTTCCAACAGCTCATGTCCACGTGCTTGCCGACGGAGACAAACATCGACGTCAAGAAGATGTGCCCAAAAGTCCAAGCCATCAGAACAAATCTCATCAAGCTACGTAGTGAAGCCGTAGGATATTCGGAGCAACACTTCTCTACGGTCTTAGGATCTCTCGAAGACAACCCACTTCACCATTTAGATCTCTATCCTTACTACACCAACTACCTCAAACTTACCAAGCTAGAGTTCGATCTCCTCACGAAACACTCGAGTCATGTCCCGATCAAGATCGCTTTCGTGGGTTCGGGTTCGATGCCCTTCACATCCATCGTCCTGGCTAAGTTCCACCTCCCAAACACGACGTTTCACAACATCGACATCGACCCTCAAGCCAATTCCCTTGCATCCCGTCTTGTATCACGTGATCCCGACCTCTCCAATCGCATGATCTTTCACACAACGGATATACTCGACGCCACGGAGATTCTACGTGGCTACGATGTCGTTTTCTTGGCATCGCTTGTTGGGGTGGACAAAGAAGCCAAACTCAAAGTGATTGAACACTTGGAGAATCACATGGCTCCTGGAGCTCTGCTCATGCTTAGGAGTGCTCGAGGCCTTAGATCTTTCCTATATGTAGACGTTGATCCTTGTGATCTAAAAGGTTTCGAGGTCTTGGAAATCTATCACCCGTCCATGTCCGATGGCTTTGTGAACTCGGTGATGGTCGCACGCAAAAGCAGTGATTGAATAAGCAAGAGTGGTGTATCGGAACTCGATCATTAAATTCATAAGAAACAGGGCAGATGATGTTTTCCTAAGAAATTAGGTCAAGATTGGAGCCATTACTTGTGGAACAAGGCAGATGATGATTTCCCTCATGAGGCCCTCTCTTCCTAGTTCAATATTAGTTCTGTGTGTTTTGTCAACGTGTTGACGAAATCTATATTAGTAGTTGTTTTCTCTCTCTGCTTATTGTTATTATGATGTCTCTGTATCAGCATGACCATTTTCTCATATTTTAAGAAATTATATAGCCAGTGAAGCACAAGAAGTTCTGTCAAACATAAAAGCATACAATATCCATAATATTAAATACTCAATGGTTGAAGCAATGGACATGAGTCATTATTACCAAATGCAAGCGATTAGATCAGAAGTAAGCTGTGGCTGAAGCACAATGTACATGAGTCATCTTTTTGTTGATTTGCTTGAATAGAAACGCAGCGTTTGACGAATCCGGTAAGCAAAATTAGTTACAAAACCGAACCGAATCAATTCAACAAACGTGAAATAGAAGAAGCGGGCCAGGTCAAGTAGGTAGCCTCTCAATGATTAAGAGGGAACCAGCTGTATCCAGAGACCCTCTGAGTCAGTAAGAAGCTTCTAAGAGGGACAAGAAGCGGTAAAAAAAACACGAGTTATGTCCGGTAATATCAAAATGGAAAAAATCATTCATTTCAAGAAAGAGTAGAGAGTCCCACACAGCTATAAAGGCCCAAAAACACACCATCCACCGACGTGTATTGTAGATTTTGAGGTCTAAAAGCCTTTGTGTGCGCCAGATTAGCTCCCTACTAATCCGCCGCCGCACCTCCTCGATCTCCGCCCAGCTCCGTTCTTTTCTATCTATTCAGTTGTTTCTCCGGTAACAAGCAGCTGAGGAAGAATAAGAAGAAGTAGCCGTCGTGGTGATGATGATGATGACGTCACTTGGTGGAGGCGGAGGAGGAGGCGGTGGTAGTGGTGGTGGTGGGAGATTTGTGCCGTATCCGCCGCCTCTTTCTGTGCCTCCGTCGGCTCCTCAGTCACCTAACTTCTCTGGTGGTCTCCGATCACAGCCTTCTTTCCTCGTTGAGCAAGAGAAGTAATTATATCAATCTCTGTTTTTTTACTCTGTCTTATAGTTGACTTGTTTCTTGATCTCTGTTCTACTGATTTGGATCTCAAAGTCTTAATTTTTATCGCAAATCTTGAAACTTTTTCTGTTTTTTCGTATCGTATTTTTCATTTCTGGTTCTTTGTTTCTCATACCGAGATCTATGCTTTCTATTTCTGATGCCTACTTCGATTTTCAATATATATGGACGAGTTCTTACCGACCCACCACTGCAAATTAAGCTCTTTTTAGCTCAATATACTTCAATTGTGCATTGGTTTCTATAAAAAATCAAACTTTTTTAATTTGACAACAATTAATCTAAATCTATGAATTTAATTTGTCTTTTTATCAATAGAGTAATGGATTGTTAGTGCCACAAGATGTTATAGAATCGTATGTTGTGTTTGTTTTGTGATTGTTGACTTGTGTTCATGAAGCTATAGATTCTCCACTCTGCCTAGATGCTGAATTGCTGATGTTTGGAGAAGGATTTGCTGAAGAAATTGGATACATTAATCTAATTTAAAGACTTTATTCTGCTTATTAAACGTGATTGTTAAGTGAAAATGAGTGGATCTTCTTGTTTTCTTGTATGCTCAAGGTCATACTAATTCGGATAATCTGCAATTTCTCTTTTTGCAGGTATCTTTCTGAGTTACTTGCAGAGCGTCACAAGCTTACTCCATTTTTGCCTGTACTTCCACATGTTTGCCGGCTCATGAACCAAGGTGAGCCATACTGTTATAATTAGAGTTTCTATCTTTCTTGTTTCTTCATATGATCTTCTGTAGTTTTCGTTTTTTGCTTCAGAACTACTATCTTTACACATTTGATAAGCATTTCAGTGGTGATTCTAAGAGAGATCATTTAGTTAGATGTTAGCAAAAAAATATGATAAGAGTAATTGTACAACCCTTACTGTGAATTAGAATATTCAACGATAGTGCGGAGTATTTCAGTTGAATTGTGGTATAATAGACTCCAGAATTGACTTTTCTCTGATGTAGATTTTGTTTTCAAATCCTGTTACTAAGAACTTTACTTGAAATCTAATTTCTTGGAATCCTTGTTCTGAGTTGTTTCGGAGGGATGTGATATTGAGCAGATCACATTTGTGACATTCGTAGATTATAGCAAAATTAGAGTATTGTCCTTGTTTGCAGTCTGTTACAATTTATTTAACTAGAGTGTCAACGTTAATATATACTAACTTAGTTGAGACTATGATGTCTCTCCATTCCACTATCATTGGTGATGGATTTGTTGACTAATTCTAACTGGTCCGTCTTACTCTTGAAAATTGACATTTTTTGAAACAGAAATTTTGCGTGTAACCACGCTGTTGGAGAATGCCTTAAGTCAGAGTAGGTTTGATCACCCTAGCCCTCTGGCTTCTGGAGGGATATTTCAGAATGCAAGAGCTGACATGAACGGATGGGCCTCACAATTTCCATCAGAAGTATGACTACTAACCATTAACATAACTCTTTTCATCTAATTCCATATTACTGCAGTAAAAGCTTTTGTTGACTTAAGTTGTTCTGACATAACTTGCTTTGACTTAATTGTAATCATAGTCTTCATTACAGGTAGCCTTTGCTAACATTGAATATCAGTAATGTTGTGCAATGTTTTTGACTTACGGTCAATGCACTAACTAATTCCATTGCCTTGAGGAGCCATATAATTGTTAGGTGCAGCAGTGAAAGATTGGATATAAATAACATGCTCTAATAATTGCAATCATTCTGTGAATATTATAATTAGGATAAGCAATTACAGGTTGCTAGCTTGCAACAGCGCGATACATTGTCCCTTTTCCATGGAAGAAACGTTTGATAAGATTTTTATTTCATGTTATTCGTGGTTTTGATGCTGCAATCATATGTATGTAACATGTACTTACGCGTTGAGGTTGACATGGGTTCTAACAAGTTGTTGGTTTATCTTTTGATTTGTAGAGATCTGTTTCATCATCCCCAGCACCAAATTGGCTAAACTCTCCTGGTAGCTCGTCCGGTCTCATTGTCAAGCGAACAATCAGGGTGGATATTCCAGTTGACAAATACCCAAACGTATGAATCTTAATTCCCTTGTTGAGACCCTAAACTATCTTGTCAAAGTATAAACTATAATGTGGTAATTTGCAGTACAATTTTGTCGGTCGCCTCTTGGGTCCTAGAGGAAATTCCCTCAAACGAGTTGAAGCGAGTACTGATTGTCGTGTTCTAATAAGGGGTAGAGGCAGCATTAAAGATCCGATTAAGGTAGTTACATTTTTCATGTGTTCACTTTAATAATACCTTAACCCCAACTGTATCTTCATTCTATAACGTTATTGTTTGCAGGAGGAAATGATGAGAGGCAAACCTGGGTATGAGCACCTCAATGAACCACTCCACATCTTAGTCGAGGCAGAATTACCCATTGAAATAGTGGACGCACGTCTCATGCAAGCCCGTGAAATACTTGACGATCTACTTACTCCCGTGGTTTGTTCTTTGCTCTTTAAAGATCTTATAATACATGTAGTATTTGTCCCTATAACTGTACTTATTTTATGTTTTGTTTTAGGAGGAAACCCATGATCTCTACAAGAAACAACAACTACGGGAATTGGCGCTTCTCAATGGTAGTCTTCGAGAAGAAGGATCTCCAATGTCTGGTTCCATCTCACCTTACAATAGCCTCGGCATGAAGAGAGCTAAGACAAGGGGCTAAAAACCACGTCTCAATTCATATTTTTCCTTGCCTCTCTCACCTTTCCAAGAAGGTATATATGCACCGTAACAGCTTCCTTCAAACAAGAAGGATTTGGAGATTCTGTCTCCATCCCATTCCTCCTCTTCCTCGGGCTACCGGTACTGTCTCTAATCCCTGGAATAAAAAAAACACACCATCGTATATGAATCTGTGTCTATCTTATTTATCATGTCCCGGAGAGAGTTCAGACGACAGAACTAGGGGCAATACAAAGGGATGAGTCTCTGTCGCTGTCTCTGTCTCTGTCGCTGTCTCTGTCGCTGTCTCTGTCCGAGACTATTTTTGGCTTGCTTGCTTCTTTTTTTTTTTGGTTCAGTGGAGACTACTAATAAGCTTTGTTGCACTTTGTTGCTTAAAGCCAGTTTTTGGGTAAAACATCATGGTTTTGTGTTTGGTATGAATTATTCTGTTTGCGTTAACATAAACATTAACTAATATCTTTTGAGTTTTGATACTACTACATTCTGCAAACACAAAACATATATATAGACTTAGAAACTCATAACATTCAAGCCTTCTCATTGTTGTCTTCTTCGTCTTCATTCTCATCTATCCCAACCCACTGCGTAAATGCAAACAGAAACTCTTTGAAGTTCACCATTCCGTTCTTGTCCCAGTCCATTTCCTCTGCAAACATAGGAATCAAAATCAATATTCTTGGCTCATTGAAGGAGAAAGCTTGAGAAGAAGAGGGAGGGAGTTAAAGAGTCAACCAAATCTCTTCATTGCAATCCGCCCGGAGGATCGTTCTCCAGATTCATCAATGGCTCGGACCATCTCCTCGCGGCTAACGTACCCATCCTTGTTCTCGTCCAGGAACACAAATGTGTCCACAAGAGTCTCGAATGTCGGTTCCAGCTTCGGCATTCCCATCGTCCATTTCTATTCATCATACAAAAAACTCTCAAATACCACGAACAACTTATGAACCAATCAATCCAAACAAAATATAAAACCTAGCATAGAAGATCTATGATAATATATCTGCGGTTACCTTTTGGAGAGTGGATGAATCGTCCTTAAGAAGATAGACTAGGCACAGAAGAACAATGAACTCTGTAAATGTAATTCCCATATCCTCGTTAATATCACAAGCCTTGAACAAATCATTTATCTCTTCTTCATCGAATGAGATCTCTAGCTTCCTGATACAATTCTTTAGCTCTGTGTGATCTATTGACCCGTTTGAATCCTCATCTGCCCAAAACCAACCAAGTAAACAACCATCAAATCATGAGAAAACCCGCAATTTAGTATCTTTAGCGTATGCACTCACCGAATTCTTGGAAAATGGCTTTGCAGTTTCGAAGACCATCATCGATCTTTGGGAACTTGAGAACAATACTGTTGAAAGATTTCATTGTGGTGCCTCTCGATGCCCTGCGTTGCACGGCTTCTATGATCTTAGCCTCCAACTTTGTCTCTGGAACCCATTCTTTTTGCAGAGTTTCAGATTTCGTCACTGCACCTCCCATGTCTCTGTTAATTTGTCTGTGCTCGGAGATCAGATCGTAGATTCACCCCGAGACAAAAATCTAGTTTCTTGTAAGACAAGGCAGCTTAACGTCTTGTTTGTCCAATATATACGAACGCTGTCTGATTCCAAGATTATCAAAACCAGATCTAGATTCAATATATGAGGGTAAAATAAAAACCAAATCGAGACATAATGATAAAGGACAAGTTTCACATCAGACAATAAATGTCACAAGAATCAGGACGAAAGCAAACAAAAAAGGTAAAAGAAGAGAAGAAGAACCTGTTTTAGTTTCTTGTTTGTCTCGAGATCAAAAGTCAAAACACAATCACACAGATCTGTTTATTGTTATAATTTTTAACCAGAGAAAAAAAAACTATTTGATGTTTGAGAAGAAGAAAGCTTTTGTAATGGCGTGAAGAATGCTGAAGCTTCCACGTAATTGCGCATCTTTAAAAAAACGCTAATCCATTTGTCATCTATTTATTATTTTAACACAAACTCTCCATCTTCGTTTGACTTTTCTCCATTTTACTACTTCCTTTGTTTCTAAAAGTTTAATTTTCTAGTTTTTTTCCTTGTCTTATAAATATTGGATTCTATGTTTTTTATATAATTTTTGTAATTAATATTGTAAAATTTTAGGCATCTAAGTAATTTAAAAAATTACAAAAAAATAATATGGCAAATTAAAAATATATATATATATATATATATATATGTTTTAAAATTCTTCCGAATTAATAATGTTATTATAATACTTACGGTTATATCTTGTTATTCTTTAGTTTGGATTGACTTCATGCTTTTGATAGAGAAAAACAAATTAGGATTTTGAAAATTAACATTAATATATATGAAATTTGATAATATTTTTTTAATTTATTTGTTGTTTATTTTTCTTTAATATATAAAGGGTTTGATAAAAAAAAACTTTTTGCCAACCGTAAACGCTTGCGGAAAAGAGCTTTTGAAATTCAGCAATTTCGAGCGGTCTAGAATGATTTCCGAACGGGTTGAAGTTATTTCTATGATTGGTTTTAAACAAATCCGTGCCTACATGGAAATAATATAAACCTTCGCCTACGTTTATTTTTTTGTAAGTTTGCATTATCTATATATAAATTTCTGTATATATAACAACTACAACCATAAGCTCATTTTTTAATATTGAAAGTGACTTTCTAATTTTGGGTAACAGAATTTATGAGTCTTTTAAATTATAATCTAGTTAAATTTTTTAAATTGAATTAAACATTAAAACAAAGAAAATATTATAGTAACTAATTTCTTTACTTTGTTCTAAATCACCAATTTAAATTATTTTGATCTAATTTTTTTATAGTGACTATACATCTATCAATATGTTATAATTACTAAAATAACTTAAATAATCAAGAAAAAATGATCAAAAATTTGCAAAAAATTAAGAAAAAGATGAGCAAAACATAAGTAATATATTTTAAAGAACTGGCTAATAAATCGACCACCTAATCAAGTTATAAGATTCTTAGTTATGATTTATGTTGTTGATTCATGTTTTTTTAGATTAGATTAATAAAGCTTAAGCATATTGTTAAAAATAAATATTTTGTTTATTGGTGTAGTTTTTTTTACAAAACGATGATATTTTTAAACTTTGATTTTTTTTATATATTCTTCTGATCTTCATATATATTGGCATTGGTCTCGTTTTAAACTTTAGCAACCACAACCGTCCATCAACACAGTGTTAACGGGAAAACCAATCATGTCCTAAGTATGTTGAAATGAGAAGGATGAGCTATGATCGTAAACGTCGCCTCTTTATATAGCATAATGGAAAACTGAATACTGTGTGCAATACCTGGTTGATTTGGGTTTTACACTCAACCACATTAAATAAACAATTGAGCGAATAGTTTCTAGGGCTCAGAATGGATATATATATATATATATATATATATATATATATATAACTTGGTCTAAATTTGTCAATCTATGTCTAAATCTTTATAATAATCCTCTTTATACAAAGTCAACTTTAGAGTACGTACGTACGTACGATGATATTATCGTCTCGAAATTTAATAGGGTTTCTAAAAATAACTAGATATTTGGGCTTCTTAATTAGTTACGAAACAAACATAAACTATTGAAGGGTTATTGTATATTTTGGTTGTTTAATTATTTTGGCGTTTTTGAAACAACCACCGTTTAAAAATTTGCAAGACATTAATTTCGCCATAAACTCTTTTTTCTTATGTATTTCTTCTTTGAAAAGGTTTCAAACTCATGTAACAACAATTTCATGGAGCTGATATTATTATTCTTCCTTCTTATGGCATTATTGGTATCTATCTCCTCTTCAAGTTCCATATCGGGTATGTCTTTTTGTTGTCTTCCTTCTCCACCCTCCATAATGAATTTGTTTCTAATGGGTCGTCGCTTTCTGTAGATAGTGTGTTCGAATCACAAACCTCGGTTAGTGGAAGGAACCTCCTTCATGCCAAGAAAAGTAATAGCATCATCCTTTTAATTTGTTAGTCAGATTTGTTAATTTACTTCTGCTTTTCATTTTATGTTTACGTCAATGGGTGAATATAGAACAATGTATATATATATGATGTATGTTATGTATTCCACGTAGACTCATAACAAAACCAATTGACAAAACAATTTTTTGAGTTATTAACCAAAAACAAAATCAAACAAATAGTTTAGTCCAATCTTGATTTCAAGAACTATTATTTTTTATCCGTACGGTTGTCAGAGTTTTTGAAGGGAAACTTCAAATTCTTTAATCTGTCTTATTTATTGAAGTTCTTAATTTAATTTGGTCATATATAGCTTGGCCTGGTGATGATTATGACGTAACGTAGGAACATCGTACTCTTACATTAATTTTGGGCCCTGTCTATAAGCTAGAGATGTTTAATCTGTAGACTTCGGTTATGTTTTGGATTTTTCAGCTTTGGTTTCAGTTAAAAAAAATCAAATTGTATCATTAGTTAGTCTTCTTAATTAAGAAAAAAATGTATATATATTTTTTGTTTCGGGGTAGATTTGGATTACCAGATGAAGAAAAATGAATCAATGTCAACCAACCATCATACAATTCGGTTTGGTTCACAGATAGGTTATTTGGTTCGGTTTCAAATCTGATCGGATCAGTTATATCAAGTTTGTGTAAATATAAGCGGTGTGACACTTGACTCTTGTCTTTGTTTGGTTGGAAACAGAATGTGAAGTGAACTTTGAGTATATGGACTACAAGTCCTTGACAAAGCGGTGCAAAGGTCCAGCATTTCCAGCCAAAGAATGTTGCTCTGCGTTTAAAGAGTTTGCATGTCCTTACGTGAGTGAGATCAACAACATGAATAGTGATTGTGCACAGACAATGTTCAGCTACATGAATATTTACGGAAACTATCCTCCTGGTCTTTTCGCTAACGAATGCAGAGAAAGGAAAGATGGACTTGTTTGCCCTTTATCACCTCTCTATTCACCTAACCTAAACGCTTCAACCGCTGATTCGACCCCTCCTCGTTTCATCTCGCTGTTGATCTCTGCTGCGACCACTGTCTTGGCTTTGTTAGTGGTGACTTGATCAATCGAAGGAAATTGAAAGAGCTAAAGAGTGATTGCGTTTTGATACCATATTAGCTAACAAACTAGATGGAATTATCAAATTGTTCTGTTACTGACCAAGTGTAAAGAATACTTGATCTCCAAAAAAAAAAAAAGAAGAAGCGAGACTTATCTTTGATTAATTTTATTACCAGTGGCAAAACTTATAGCCGAAATGTTAACAAGAAAAGCCAAAAGCCAAAACAAAACTCAGTTTACATCAAAAATCAAAGCTCATGTGGGTACAACAGTATCTGGCTCCGGCAACAATTGAGACAGGAGAAACAAAACTACTGTTGACAGTAATACTAACTGTATAAGAAAGCATGAAGTGATCTTACATGCTCTCTTCTTGATGGTTCCGGTGATTTCTATGCATTCGTTTTGCAGGTCTTGAGCTCTGTTTGTTAAATTTGCAGCCTTCGTTTGTACTCTTCCTAGCTTGTTCAGCGTCTCATGGTTTTGCTCTTCTGCCAATGACTCTTGTTCATCAATTAACTTCATCTGACTGTTTAAGTTATCGATAGATCTTGAATATATCAGATATTCAATCTCGGCCTCAATCTTCTGCCGGAAGATATCTTCAACCACGGTCTCTGTTCCTCCCCACGAGTGTTTGTTTTGGTTCGTCGTGGATTCAAGCTCACGGATGTGTGATTCTTTCACCTCAAGCATGGACCTTGTTTCTTCTAGCATGTTCTCCAGTTGTTCAACATTGTTTACCAGGGCTACAATCTCCAAGTGAGGTGAACTTACGTCGCTGACTTGTTCATGATGTTGTGGCATTGGTTCATTCCCGATCTCCTGGAATTGCTGCACCTCTGCAAATGGAATTGCATAGTCACATTAAACATGATAATCATTGTTCATGTGATGTTATCAGTTGATTCCAACATGAGAATGCAGAATCATAACAAGAAATAGGTATGGAACAGGAACAGCAGTAAAAATAATGCAAGTTTAGATAAGATACGCAACAAAAAAAAAATCAGAATGGCTACCTTTTTCAAGAGCATCTTGCAAGGCCAAGAAACCGTCGATGGCCTCTGTTAATGGATCCAGTTCCTCTGAGTAACGATTGTTCGTGTTTATTGACTCTCCTCCTTCTCCTCCCGCATCATCTTTTCTCATTGACGTTTCCCCATTTTCACCATTGTAGTCCATCATTCTTCCAGTCTGCTTTCTTGAGTCAGATTCCAAGCTGGAATAAGAGTTTTCATTCTCGATATCGACACTTTCTCCTCTATGTTTCTTACTATTCTCTACACGAATTTTTCCTCCCTGACCTGAACTAATCATTGGCTTCTCATACCTAATAACCTTGGGAGCTCTTGCAGCCGTCGAGGACTTACTACTCCGATCATCATCTATCTCTAAATCCATACCACCTGAAAAACCAATCCCTGCCACAAACCTAGAATCATAACCAGTACTCCCAAGTATATCAAAACCATCACCGCTACTTTTCAACATATTCACAGACCCAACAGATCCCTGACTCTCTTGTTCAACTTCCGGTGACTGAAACTGCATCTGTTTACCATGTGAATGACCAACAGCCGACAACACTCTCTTCAGAGCTTTACTATTCTCAATATTGGCAGACGTGTCCTTAACAAGGTCTCTCCTAATCCTCCTCCATTTTCTCAAGCCTTGTCCTTTCAAAACCGGAGTGTAAGAACCACCACCACCTGGTGAATCAAAATTCATCGGTTTACCGATTTCAACAGATTTAGAAGTCGAAACCAGTTTGACACTCTCATCAGAGCAAGACCCGTTATCCAAACTCCTACCATCATCAGCAACGTTGCTGGCACTTTGTTGAATCAAACCATTATCATCAACAGACTCAAGCGCAGAGCTTTCACTCTCTAAATCCATCTTCCCCCAAATTCACAATCTTCCAAAATCACATTGATTTCAGAAGTAACAGGAGCTCAAAATCAATAACCCAAAACCCGAAATGAAATCCAATCATACGGAATCAAAAAAGTCAACTCAACAAGTTACAAATTCATTGGTTCCTTCACGGTTAAATACAAATATAAAGGTTTAAAATTTCCTACCATGCCACCATCTATCGGATCAAGAAGAGAAGAAATAATTCCAAAAATGAAAATCCAGCTCAATGGAAGAACACAGATTCCAAATTGAATCGCAGAATTTTGGTGTTTTGGAGAAAGGGTACAGCAGAGAGATGAAAAAGGAGGGTGAAAAGTGAAAACCCTAATCCGATGATCGGATTCGCAGATCTATAATTCTCTCCTTCTTTGTGGAAAGTTTCTTTGTGGCAAAAAGTTTATTCCTTTTTTCCTCACGATCATTTTTTGTTCCTTTTTTAAATTACGGTTATTTATTTATTTAAAGAAATTTAGCATAGACGTGTGGGTGGTTGGAATATAACACGTGGCGAAATCGCCTGCCCTCTCAGCATCAGCTTAGTCATTTTTGACCGTCAGATTCGACACCTCATAAAATATACCGTTGACTACATATTCATTCGTACAGATATCAGTGGTTATTACAATTTCAGAAATTGTTGAACTAACCTAAAACATGGGGACACTGGAGAATAAACAGAGAGCATTACAAAGGGTACATACAACCATAAAACACCAAAAGTCACAATCTTACATCTGAGAGGATTGAGATTAGCACAAACCATATTGGGCTACTACACACCCATTACACAGATTGAAGAAACACAACAAAAAAAAAGAGAATCAGAAAGGCTTCTCGTAGTCTCTAGCCGGAGGTTGGTGGTCCCAAGATTGCAAGAATGCTGCACAATTGCAAAGAAATAATGAAGCCAGCTCTTTAAGAAGCTAATAGAAAAAAGAAAGATACTAGGGTTTGATATGGCCTTACTCAATGGTATTTCTCCCAGTGACATGAAGATCGAGTCATCGTCTGTATTATTTGGTACTTGGTCATTTCCAATAGCTCCCTGTGACGTTTTCGGTAAGTTAGTAACAAAAACCAATTCTCATATGACCCAACAGTTGACAAGTAGAGTTAAGTACCTCTCTGTCTTGAAGGCTAACTGCGTTGTTATTCTGTGGAACACTATTGGTTCCCTGGTTTATTGGAGGAATGTTTTCAAAGGAATCAAGAAACTCTACCATCATGAGTCCTTCATTGTAGTCTGGGACGTCATCGATGCCCACATATGGAGCAGCTTCTTGCCTGTTATATATGTCAAAAACCCATTAGCCAAAATGTAAAAGGTGTGTGTATATAAGTGTAAAGCAGGACTTAGCCGTACTTTCTTCCCGGATCATTGCTGGACTTTACCACTTCAGGGGAATCATCATCCAAATCAATCACTTCTATCTCTTTACCATTGCTCATCCGAGTACTCGTACCAAACTCAAGAGACTTACTAGAACTGCTGATTGAGAGATCAAAATCAACAGCTTGACGAGATTCCTTTTTGCCATCATTCACATCCGACGCTCCCCCTAGATTTAGGTCACAGATCTTAAACGAAGCAGGAAACAGCTGATGTTCTTCAGCATACCCAGGACCTGTTTTGCCAGTGTGTGTCCTTTTGTGTGTAGAGTTATTAACCAGACTTTCATGGCTGACCCTTCTTCCAGTAGCACCATCAATCAGTCTTTTGTTGAACGAGCTTTTCTTTTCTTCTTCTTCTGGATTGCATTGCGTTTCGCTTGTCTTAAATATGTTGAAGCGTTCATTGGCTTCAGGGACTGGCAAAGGCACCCAATCTCTCTGTCTTTTTACTTTCTCCTCCAAGTCACTGCCGCCTTCACCAACCCGTTTCTCACCTACTCTCCCCACCGAATGTGATCTGTGCAGATTAGGCAATTCTAATCCTGAATCTTTCTCACTGTTATCCCTGAGAATGCTACTAGGGAAAGAATTAGACCTATGACATTTACTGTTCTCAACATATTGAACAAGAGCCAAATCTTCAACTTGGTCATTGAAATTTTCATCACCAGTACTATCAGCCTTTCCAGATGATTGGCCTCGAGTCTCACATCGATGTTCAGTTTGATCTTCTTCTAGAAGTCCAGAATTATGAGAAATATCCTTGATAGTTTGACTCAAATAAAGCTTTGGGCCTTTTGCAGTCAGAGAAGAGCGTGTTCTCGTAGGCACCTTCTCAAATTTACACAGCGTTGCCAAATCAATACCACTCTTGGTGAATGATTCATCAGCCCCACACTGTTGATCAATAGATGCATCTTCAGAACGTTGATGGATAGATCCATCTTCGATAGCAGACTGGTTCTCATTCTCTCCACCATTACCACCAGACCTACCTTTCATCTCTCCTGATCCAGCACTCAAACTAGAAGAGCCTTCTGATACTTTTGAGATTTCACAATCGTGTACTATTTCTTTCCCGGCACTCGAGGAACCTGTCTTAGACTGTGCCTCATCTTGGAGATTGTACTTTTCCAACACAGACTCGGAATCACCAGCTCCTTCACACTTTCTCAAAAATTCACCGGAGGCTGACCGCTGAACCGAGCTAGCAATATCTTCAGCAAGCGGCTGCTCTTCTTGATGCCCAGACACAGAGTCGTCACCAGTCTCGGTCTCAAAAGCTTTAGTTCTCTCTGACCAAGATCCGCTCCTCCCGAAATCCGAGTCATAACGGTTGGATCTCCTTCCTTTCAAGCTATTCCTGGAGCCAGCTGAGCTATAGCCATCAATATACCTCCTCTTATCTGCGGCTGGAGCTGAAACATCCATTCGAGCTGCTTCTTGTGACCTGGAACTCTGAAACTCTCCAGCTTGCTTCCTAAAGTTACCATTCTGCCATTTACTGGAAAGCACAGTTTGTGGTAGAACACCCTGAGAAACCAAGTACTCTGTTGCTAGACGACCTGCCTCCATGAAAACGTCACCCCCACCGCCACCGCTTCTACGCTGCACCGGTGGAGGAGGCAGAGGCGGAGGCAGCTGATTGTGGTATGATTTAGAGCGTCCCCTTCCTCGTCCATATCCACGGTTAAAGCCACGGTGTTGGTGTTCATAGAACCCATGTCCTCTCATAGGACGCTCAGGGGAAATTCTAGAACCAGACATCCCCATTCCAATTGAACCAGATCTGTACCCATTCCCAACATTGCGTTGCCTAGCATGCATCTTTGTCCCTAAATATACAAAAACCCTGATTTCAAGGAAGTCACAATAGTAATGAAGCCATTTGTCTCAAAAAGACCAAGAAAGTTATTTCAGAAACAAATAACAACTTATGAGGTTTTTGCGGCAGCTCAAATAATTATGAGGTTTTTGCGGCAGCTCAAATAAGTTTCACCAGCAGAAACTAAGAACACAACAGCTTCAACTTGACCTTGTTCTTTTCGGACCAACCCTTGTTCAGTCACAGCGAAATATAGAGAAAATCAAACAAAACGTTGGATCTCGAGTTCCAGATTTCGGTGAAGATCTAACCTTCTCTCTTACCGAATCCGACGATCATTCGATTCCCTTGTCCGATTTCGAAGAATGAACGGAAAACATCATCTGATGGGAGATTTTAATGGTCATTTTCACTTCAGTTCTTCTTCATCAAATAAGAACCCTAGAATTCCCCCACAAACCCACAGTCAAATGTTACGTCAACAGAAATCAAATCGAGGTAAAATATTCCGATCTATGGTATCTCCGATGAAGAACACGAACAAGTGTGTATTAATCAGTCTCCAGATTTCAGCGGCGAAAATTTCGATCGCTGCTGATTGGTATTTTGGGGTTTTCGCATTTTTATTTGCGTCAAGGTTTTTTCTACCATATATTAGCCCAAAGACTGGAAAGCATGAAATCGCCACGTCAGCTTCTTTGGTAAACTAGCACTAAGTTCATTTCCACCTCACGCGTCTTGCACCGCGCCTGAGTTACACTCTCCTTCTTGTACTTATGTCATGTCCAAATTATGTTATGGTTATGAGATTAGATTTTTTTTTTTAAAATGGCATGTTCGAACTGTTTTATTTGAAGATACAAAGTGAGATGGTGCAACCAGAGGAGAGCTATCATCCTCGCTTACAATGCAAAACCATATGGAAGCTAAAGAAACCAAGAATCTAATGTACAACCAAATACATGTAATACCAATCAAGAAACTCTTTGTGCAACTTCTTATCCAGTAATATTATCATAAACAATCTAAATATATACGACGAAATAAATGAAAAAAATAAAATAAAAATCGCAAATCATCGTTTTGTCGTTATCATCTTTAAACGTTAGATGGAAATTTAATGGTACGAAGCCTAAAATATTTTGTTTGGTTTTCCAAAGATATTGATTTTTAAAAGTCACCTATTGTTAGTTTACTAATTCTTTAAAAATTTTAAATTATTTTCATATTTATCTTTATAATAGAATATAAATTTTGAAAGATATTTGGTACATTTTGAACAAAAGAAAAAACATTTAAAAGTTGGTAATCCCCATTCCATTTGAACTTTCATTATTGTCCATATTTTAGCTCCACGACTTGTTGACTGAAACAAAAACTAAAAATCCACGACATGAACTAAAATGATAAAATGTGGATATTCATGTTCTACAAATTGTCGGCTTTTACAGTTTAGTCTCTCACAAAATCAGAAATATTGGAACATTATCTAAAAAATCATAAACAAGATATGTCTTAGTCTCACCAAAAAAAAACATTCATAAACAAGATATGTAGTTAACAAACTGGCTAGAGTTTCTAATTTTCTATATATGAACAAGAACTGAACTAAGCTACTGCTAGTTCGTTTTTTTAAACTAGCGAAACCAAGTTTACTGGCCAAAATGATAGAAATGTTTTCTTTCTGTGGTTGGAATATTTTTGAGAAATTTATTTCCTTTTAACTGATTATTGTAACTTAATCACTTATATACTAAATATAGTTTGCAATTTAGATTTGTTGTTCCATGTTTTTCTAACAACTAGCTCTAGCTAGTAAAGCCAACAACAACCTGCATTACAATTTCCCCCAAGCGGTGTTTTAATTATTCTATATCATTTCGTAGAAATAGTACTATAGACTATGCTCGTTGTTTGATCTAATAAGTATATGGTAGAAACATCAATTTGCCGGTTTAATATTGGACATGCACTGATTAGACTAAATGAAGGATATAGCTTACGATATACAAAAGGAGACTAAACACAAATAAATTGTATCTCTCTCTAAGAGGCAAAAGAAGATAAAATACAAGTACTTTTTCTATATTAAAAAATAATATTAAAAAAAAAAAGACTAAACAAAAATCGGTATGTGGAGAACAGTAATCGTCGTCATGATCGGAGTTAAAATTTAACTATGTGATCTAAAAGACTCCAAAAAATAGGCCATTATGCACAATCCTCTATTTTCGTCTCATCTTCACTTAAAATTATATATATAAAAAAACGCTGATTATTATTTATCAAAAAAAACACTGATTATATTTAGATATTTTTAGAAACGTACACGAATATTTTAGATTTATAGAAAAGCACGCAAACAATGTTAAGTTCAGTTTAACACTCAAAGCTTCACATTTTTTTTATACAATTATATTAACTTAACAAATGTTTATTTAATTAGATATCTTTTGTTATTGTTGTTAGTAGTTAACAATGTTTCCAATATGTTAATGCATGTTAAGCCGACGGTGTAAAACACAAGAACTATGAGTCTATGACAAGTTTGAGTACTAAAACCGAACTAAATGTTTTATAGGTGTCTGTTTAGAAAACAAAAAGAATAGTGTATATTTCTAAAAATAGTTAAACTGTTGGTGGTTTTTTTGGGATTAATTAATTACACGTTGTAGAAAAGAATTTGAACTTTTTTGTTTGTTAGATAATTAAGGAGAAAATTTATCAACCAAGCTGTGTAAATCTCTTGTAGTTTTTTTTTTATACATCTTCATTGTGTTTAGGGTAAAAGATAACCAAGAACGAGAGAAGAAAGAGAGATTTCTACTACAGAAGATTTATTGTATTCCTTTTGATCATTTTGTGTGATCAACCCATAAGAACAGAGAGCAGAGATAGGAAGAGGAACAGAGAAAAGTCCCATGTTTCGATCTCTCTTACTGTCTAAACGGCGAAAAATAAAATCTGATCGGTGTCATTTACTGCATGAATATTAATTAATCAGGTAATGATCACTCTTTTATCTCCATTATTACAAGTCTCACGTTGTGGTTTTGGATGCCAGACGCATAATCTCACCTTTTACTTGAAACTTATTACAAAAGGCTACTGTTCTGTTTCCATTTTTAATTAATTTTAAGTGTTTTTATGGTACATAATGTCATGTATCACCTGATCTCATTTCAGGTTGAGCCCAAGTTAAAGCTGAATCTTGGGTTTGTAATGGCTGGTTTTGATAATGAAGCTGGTGTAATGGGAGAATGGTTCGACTGTAGTATTAACCACAGGAAGAGATCGAAAGCAGAACTTGGTAGAGACTTTTCTTTAGAATACATCAAGAAAGAAGATTCTTTGCAAACCAGCTTTCAAGAAACACCGAGTTGTTCACGAGGAGCTCTTCGTGAAAGGATTGCTGCGAGATCTGGGTTTATTGCACCAAGGTTAAACACTGAAGATATTCTTCAGTCGACATATTTAACCATCTCCTCTCCTGGTCTTAGTCCTGCAACTCTGTTAGAGTCTCCTGTTTTCCTCTCAAACCCTTTGGTAACTTTTTCTTTTCAACATTTCATTATCGTGTCTCTCTTTCGTGGATCCGTGTCTGAAATCTCTTATCACTTGTAAGCTCAGCTATCTCCGACAACCGGGAAGCTCTCATCACTACCTTCTGATAAGGCTAAAGAAGAGTTATTTGACGGCATTACCACATCCTTAGCCTTCCAATCCATTTCAGGAAGTAGCCTTGATCCTACAAACATCGCTTTAGAAACCGATGATTCCCAAGACTATGAGGAAAGACAGCTCGGCGGTTTAGGAGACTCAATGGCTAGTGGTGCACCTGCAGATGATGGATACAACTGGAGAAAATATGGACAAAAGCTAGTTAAAGGAAGTGAGTATCCGCGGAGCTATTACAAGTGCACGCACCCGAATTGTGAGGTCAAGAAGAAGGTTGAACGGTCTCGGGAAGGTCATATTATAGAGATTATATACACAGGAGCTCATAATCACCCCAAACCTCCATCTAACCGCCGCTCAGGGATTGGATCATCCGGTACAGGCCAAGACATGCAAATAGATGGAACAGAACAAGAAGGTTTTGCTGGAACCAATGAGAACATAGAATGGACATCACCTGTATCTGCGGAGCTTGAATACGGAAGCCATTCTGGATCAATGCAGGTTCAAAGCGGGACTCAGTTTGGGTATGGTGATGCAGCAGCTAATGCCTTATTTAGAGATGAAGATGAAGATAAAGATGATCGCACGTCCCACATGAGTGTTTCCCTGACTTACGACGGAGAAGTAGATGAATCCGAATCAAAGAGAAGGTGAGAAAAGTTGCCCTAAACAACCATTAAACTACTTAGAAAGACAAGACGTTCTGACTTCTGATACCATTCACGTATCAGGAAACTCGAAGCTTATGCAACAGAAATGAGTGGATCAACCCGAGCTAGCCGTGAGCCAAGAGTCGTGGTGCAGACCACAAGTGACATTGACATCCTCGATGATGGTTATCGCTGGCGCAAGTATGGGCAAAAAGTCGTCAAAGGAAACCCTAATCCAAGGTTCTTGTATCCAAATGCTCTTTTCTGCTGCTCTCCCTTTGCTGCAGCTTTTGTCCATGAATTTCATCACAATCTGTTTTCTATGTTACGTATCAGGAGTTACTATAAATGCACAGCTAATGGATGTACCGTAACAAAGCATGTAGAGAGAGCCTCTGATGACTTCAAGAGCGTACTAACGACTTATATAGGCAAGCACACCCACATTGTACCAGCAGCACGCAACAGCAGCCACATCGGTTCAGGCAGTTCAGGGACTCTCCAAGGTGGTTTAGCGACTCAGACCCATAACCACAATGTGCACTATCCAGTGCCACACAGTAGATCTGAGGGACTGGCCACAGCCAACTCATCACTATTTGACTTCCAGTCACACCTGAGGCCTCCTACAGGTTTCTCCGCTTACATAGGCCAATCTGAGCTTTCTGATCTTTCAATGCCTGGTCTATCTATTGGGCAAGAGAAGCTTACCAGCCTGCAGGCGCCAGACATTGGTGATCCAGCTGGCCTAATGTTACAGTTAGCAGCAGAGCCAAAGGTTGAAGCAGTGTCTCTACAGGGACTTGATTTGTCACCGAGCTCATTGATATACAGAGAGATAATGAGTAGATTACCACAGATATGAAACAAATCTCTTTGTTCACTGATTGTTCTAATTTTTGAATAAATGGTTCTGAAATTTGAGGGAAGGTAAAAGCTGATTTGTTTTTAAAGTCTTGTCGCAAAATTTAGTTAGGCCTAAACTTAGCTTCTGTCTAAATAAAGCTTAAGCAGAAGAAGAACTTCTTTAGTTGTTTGGTTCCGAAAAGTGAAATGCCTTAAAGAGTACTAAATGAACCTAATCTTTACATGAACACATTCCTACCGCCGCCTCTTCGGCTGTGTTTGTCGTATGCAGTGTTGAATTTGTCAACCACCTCGTTCATGTTGCTGCAGTTTGGAAAACAAAAAGTAAGAGATCAAAAATACAAAGGATTCTTTCGAGATTGGTCAAGGTATAGTACAAGATTAGTTTTTTTTTTCAAAAAAGGTTTATATTCCCTTAGTTCCTACGTCACACTATCTTAATTATAACAAGGATGGTTGAGCAAGGTCTTAGATTTAGTTCTTAACCTAAATAACACTAACTATCTCAGTGTCTACCTAAACCAAGTACTTGTAATTTCATCTGTCTTGGTATCGTAAAACATTACATTGTATCAAGCAAAAGACAAACATTTGCATGCATGTCCATAATTGTTCTTCAAATAGTTTAATGGAATATCATGTCGACGACATACCTGGTACAATTCGTGATCATTGCTAGGTAAGACATCAGCAATTTGTCGTTGTACTCCTGCAAAAAAAAGAGAACATCATATATAAAAAGATATCATTCACAACAACAATCTACATTAAGAATTTAAGAGATTTGAATGCCACTTTTTTAACCAACATTGCTAGAAAAAGGTAAGGCACTACTTACCATCAAGAAATTTTCATGAAACTTCTCTGATTCTGCGGCAGGCAAACTTCTGAGCAGACTAGATACTTGTCGAAAAAGTGCGTTGTCGCAAGGAATATCACCTAGATGCAGAATCACATAAGTCATTAGTACCACATTACTCTTGCTCAATATCATCTTCTAACCCCCTATTTATTCCTTCTTCCCCGTAGGAAAGAAATATTTCAGGTAAGATCAATGGACAGGTCACAGAAACGTGATTAACAAAGTGAAGAGGAGACTGGAGAGTAGGGACTTGAGCAAGAATACAATATACCTTTCTGCATAGCGACAATATACTGATAGAGCACTCTGATTCTGCTATTAAGCATCTTGATGGCACTATGTATTCCAGTAAGATGAGCAGCCACTGCAAAACATCGAGGAATCAACCTAAAATTCCACGCAGATGAAAAGAAAAGAAAAGATTGTGATAAATATGGAGGGTATAGTAAGTCTTACATTGGGTCGCTGCTGAGCCTCCATCAGATGGCTTAAGATGTGCAACATGATCAACCGATATTCTTTCAGCTTCAACTGTCTGCACGCGTTTACAATCATTGCTATGTAATTAAAAGTCCACTCTCATATCACATAGATAGATTATAGATCAAGTGACATTAAAACACACACCTCAATAGTGTAGCTTGTATGCACGAAAATCGACTGAGGAACTCCATCAATGACATGGAATTCTTCAAGTTTTGAAGACAAATCAAAGACAGGATTAAAAAGATTATAATCTTTAAAACAATAAGACAATCAATGATGCAAATAACCAATTTACCGCTTTCGTAGATAGTCACTGGAAGATCCTTCTGTGCATGATTGATAGCAGGATTTAGAAGAACATACACAGGAGATTCATTAATGTCCATCAGCTGTACATGAAAACCTCACACAATCAGTACAATGAGAACCCAAATTCAATCATATTCATATTAAGCAATGAAGCTACACTCACAGCTTTGTGGATATGCATATCAGATTCCGTAGCGTCGCTTCCCGTCGAATACCATCCCAATACGTAGAAGTCAGGGAACACCTTCTTATCTAAAAATCACAAAACTCACAAATTAGCAGCAACAAACAATCGACAACAAAGAGAGCGAGTATAAGTAAACTTACAGAGTTCTTGCTTCTTCTCGAGGAAGGATCTGTCGAGAGTATCAGTAGTAGGATCGAATAATAGCTCGAAACTGTTGAATATCTCAACCGTACGACCTCTCTGGAGACCGATAACGCAGCCATAAACCCTAGGGTTTTGCAGGACCGTCGCGTCGGCGTTGCTGGAGCCGTTCCCGGTGGCGCAAGAAGCGGCGGGAGGATTAAGCTGAGTTTTAACCCTAGTGAAGTGATCGGATATGTTAAGCATCACCAGAGGATGTAGCTTGAACGTGAGACCGCTCGACGAAGAAGGCGCCATTGTTGTCGCTCTCGATTTTTTCCCGGCGCTTGTCCCTTTAGTCCCAAATTCTGAAATCGGATCTTAAAGTCGGGTCATGAATGTTTATATAGTTGTTGGGCTTTCTTCCTAAGTCTAGCCCATTTAACCTTTTTTGTTAGAAAACATAATGGAAAGGATTCTAGCATATTAGCATGTACTTAATTTAGAGTTAGTATATATTTATAACTTATATATAAAACTTTGAAAGAAATCTCTATTTCTTTTATATGAAATCTCTTGTATTTTAATTAATTTTTAAAAATAGACTATGATTGGATTTTGAATCATTACTCTTTGTTGTTGGTTTAAGTGTATAGAAATATAATAAAGATCCATCATGACTTGATTTTATTTAACATTATTGGATATGTTTATAAGGTTTAATTTTCATATTTTATTATATGTTTAATCTGTTTTAATTCTTATTTTTGTAATCTATCTTATTTTAAAGTTTCATTCAAACAGAAAACTATTGATATTTTAAACTAGTTTTATTTTATATAACGCATATAATTATATATTATAAGTATTACCTATCTTTGACAGAAAATAACAGTTTATATTCGTAATGCAAAATTTAGAATAAAATTTCATTTTAAAAAAAAAAAAATAGTTAAACTACATTTCAGTAGTAGTTAGATTTATTTATTTAATCAAAAAGTAAATTGGATATAGTGTACGAGAAATTCCATATTAAAAATGAAAATAAATTTGAGTAGTATACAAGAGACATAAACTTACTCATAGTCAATTAGTTTTGATAATATGTTAGTTGAGATTTTATATCTACCATAACTCCTAAGATAAATCTGTCATTACATCGTAAATTGCTTATCACTAGACACCAAACGGCCCCGTATCAGCGCACCAGCCGGAGCCTCTCCACCCTTACTCATATCAGCAACCCACTTTTTTTTGTGTGGAAGTACCATTTTATAGATTAAGTACGGTTACAAGATAAAAACTAACAAAAGGTGGAACAAGAAGAACTAGCTACAACAAGCTTGATACACATCTAAACTAATGAGGGAAGGTTTCGTTGAGCCCTGAAAAGAGGATCGAGTCGACACCGGACTGTGTTTTTGATATCATCAACACATTATTGGCTTTCAGTCCTTAGTTAATTATGTGGTTAAAATCATTCAAGCCTTCCTACAAAGTATATGCTTCTTAAAAGCTTAGTTCATTTTAGTTTTACGGTAGATTTTTTCAACCTTATTGTTCAAAGAATATCCGACAATATAATCATGCATGGGATCTCGTCAAACTCAAACGACATGCTTTTGACTTAATTATGCTAACTTTTTTCTTTTCTTTAGTCAATCTCATCAAGTCATGGTCTCCGTTCTTTTCCACCATAGCCTTGACTTTGAAGAAGCGTGAGTCTAGTGCTATATACTTTTGGGAAACTGGGAATGATCATTTACATTTTTACATGTATAGACATAAATCTTTGGGTTGGATATGTAACATTTTACTATAATTCTTTTTTCAATTTATATAAACTAGTAAAGAGCACGATTCAGTTTTCTCACTGATTAGCAGATGATGGATTTGGTCGGTATTTAAAATAACAGACCTATGTTTCGTTTTCCCGAAATCAACTGCCAAAAGTTTTCAACAAACGATTAAGAAATATGAAAGTGACACATTAACACGTTAGATAATGCATTAAATATTCTTTCTTTTCTTTTTCTTCATTCTTTTTTCTCTTTTTACCTTCTTGTTTTTAGGAGGTGAAAAACTGAACCAAAATTTTGTTGATATTGAAAAAACAATCCGAATAAAGAATCTACGAAGTGACACTATACTAAACTCGCTCTATGGTAGAATGTCTTTGCACCCGATAGCAAAAGTTTTTCTAGAAAACTAATTTATGTCTAAATAATTCACAAACCTTTGAGAAAAGATATCGTTGTATATATATAAATGTATAACAAAAGAAGAAAATAATCTTTAGTGGACACTGACAGACAACGACTAGTTTTATATGTAACCATCAATTCATCTTTCTAGATAAAACCAAAGTTAAACGCAACTGCTAATCTCTTCTTCTTTTCTTTTGTCAACCACCAACTGCTAATCTCTTTAGACTCTAGAGAAAGCGACATAAACTTCATTATTTCACAATATAAATACAATTTTATTAATACTTAATTCAAATTGCTTGGGAAACATTGATGAAATTAAGCTAAGCTTCTACTAACAGAAAGTTTTGTAGATTTCAAAAACTTTCTCCTAATGTCCCTCTCGGAAATTTGGGTTCTCTATTCCCCTAATGCTTTCTGCTTTTGCTAAAAGTAAATGTTTATTTTTTCACGCTATAACCCATGTAAGTAAAACCATATATAGCAATATTAAAACTATTGGACAGCAAAATATGGAAAATCTCAGCTCAGAAGTTTCATTCAACTAATTTAATATCCAACTTGTTCTACACTTGTGCAAGTTTCAATGGTTACCACTAACAACTAGTAAGACTTTTTCATTAAAAATCTCTTCTATTTTCGGTTTTAGGAAGAGTTTTCGAAAATCTGTAAATAACACAAACCAAACCACTAGTTAAGTTATATATATGTCGAAAGTCCACCTAGAATTTTAGGATTAATTTTGGTGTAATTAATTTTTTAAAAATTAAGGTATAATACTTTTTTAGAAATTGTTTATAAATTAATGCAGTCCAATATTTCTAAGTTATTTGAAGGAAGCATGTTATGTCTTAAATTGAAGTTAAAACGACGACGCAGTACCCTTGATCCTTATTGTTACCGAGTGTATATATAGAGACGTTTGATCCTTATTGAGCCATCAAGATTTAAAACGAAATAGATACTTCTTTAATTTACTTAATTATTAGTATAACGTTCACACATTTTCGTACACATCCACAACTAAATATGGAGTCGTCACGGAGCCTCGAGCACGTGCTCTCCATGCAAGGTGGCGAGGATGACGCCAGCTACATCAAAAACTGTTACGGTCCGGCGGCTGCTTTAGCCTTGAGCAAACCAATGCTGACGTCAGCCATCAACTCCATAAAGCTCACCGAAGGTTACTCCTCTCACCTGAAAATAGCAGATTTAGGCTGCGCAATCGGAGACAACACGTTTTCCACGGTGGACACGGTGGTTGAGGTGTTACGGCAGAAGCTGGCCGTGATTGACGGTGGGACCGAGCCGGAGACGGAGTTCGAGGTCTTCTTCTCTGACTTGCCGTCCAACGACTTCAACACGTTGTTTCGGTCGTTAGATGAGAAAGTGAACGGTTCTTGCCGGAAGTACTTCGCGGCTGGCGTTCCCGGCTCGTTCTATAAGCGTCTGTTTCCGAAAGGAGAGCTCCATGTCGTTGTGACTATGACCGCTTTACAGTGGCTCTCTCAGGTATACATATGTATCATCCACTGATTAGTTCAACATCTTTTGAATATTAGGTTTACTGTATTCACTTATGTTGATTTTGATGAATATATGAAGGTGATGAATATTTGGGTATATAACATGATTTGAAGATTCTGTTGATTAATACTTTACTAGACTAATGAAACTGTATAAAACAAAATTCTAAATTATCGTTTCTTCTGATGTTAATGAACAATATCTCGAAAACAACAATTTAAAAGTCCGATTCTGATACTCTTTTAGATATGACCGAACCAACTTAGTTTCTGTACCTGATTTTATTTTTGCTGTATCTGTGGATAGAAAATAATTTCATTTTTAGGTAAAAAGAAAAAAAATGTTCATTTCCTTGTATTGGATATGATGATAGATACCTGAAAAAGTGATGGAGAAAGGATCGAAGTCATGGAACAAGGGAAGGGTGTGGATTGAAGGAGCAGAGAAAGAAGTCGTGGAGCCATACGCGGAGCAATCAGACAAGGACTTAGTCGAGTTCTTGAAATGTCGCAAAGAGGAGATTGTGGTAGGAGGAGTGTTGTTTATGTTGATGGGTGGTCGACCTTCTGGCTCAGTGAACCAAATCGGTGATCCTGACTCGAGTCTCAAACACCCTTTCACAACTTTGATGGATCAAGCTTGGCAAGATCTAGTAGATGAGGTAATCTCATGATAACGTCATGATGTTACTTTTATGTATGGAATTGACAAAACGTCCCTTTTTTGATTGGTGAGCTTGTAAAAGGGTTTAATAGAAGAGGAAAAAAGAGATAGTTTCAACATTCCGGTGTACTTTAGAACCACGGAGGAGATAGCTGCGACGATTGATCGTTGTGGTGGTTTCAAGATAGAGAAAATGGAGAATCTGGAAGTAGCTGACCACATGAATGGTAAACAGGAAGAGTTGATGAAAGATCCGGATTCGTACGGTCGAGATAGGGCTAACTATGCTCAAGCCGGTTTAAAGCCGACGGTTCAGGCCTATCTCGGTCCTGAACTGACCCGTAAGCTCTTCAAACGGTACGCAATTCGAGCTGCTGCCGACAAAGAAATTCTCAACAAGAATTGTTTTTATCATATGATCGCTGTTTCAGCGATTAGGGTTTGATGTTATCTAGGTTACCACTGGTACATGCGTAGTGGTTTGGCATGGTGAAATAAGTAATTATCTAATTATCACACTAGGACCCTTGTATTTCAAATAATATTATAGTGTTTCCCATAACTTTTGAAATCTTACAATCTTTCCCCTATTTTGTAGTTTTAGTGGACTGGAGAAATATGTGATAAATCAAATAATATTTTAGGAAACAAAAATTATACAAAGAAGTGAAACAAACCATTTATATATCACACAGTACGTGAAAGATGAGAAAAAGAGAACCTCGTGACCACCAATGACACTTTCCCACGTGACACTCATTAAAACGTCAAAATAAACTTAAAAACTTTTTTAACCCAAAACTTGAAGAAACTAACTCCCACCACCCCGTATTCATTCCTCTCACACAACACACCACGATGGCTTCTTCTCCTTCACCATCAATTTCAAATCTTTAAGACAATAATATCCCAAAACAAAACAATGAAAGATCTTTCTTTCTTCTTCCTCAAAAAATACTCTCTAGCCTCGAGAATGCGAGGACGAGGTCCACGGAGCGGCTTCACAAGCTCTTGTGGCGGCGATGGTTCAACTTTGACACTAAACCAACATCAAAGGAACGATGTGGGGCCTTCTGTTACACCTGAAAACACTCCTTTCGGTGGAGGATCGCCGAGAACTCTAGAGGAGATGATACTTCAGCTAGAGGTTGAAGAAGATATTGTTCGAAGAGCTAGACTCCGTGAATCTTACTACGGTACTTATGATAATTGTGATGACCATGATGATGTTGATGATGATCAGTTGTATCATCAGCCCGTTCGGATGTCATGCGTTAACAGTTCGGATATTTTGAGGTGCGCATGCTTATTTATATTTACATTTAGTAAATACTCTCATTTATAATTAACTTTGTTTACATGGTAGTAATTAAGATGAATATAATAACGTTTTCAAGAAAAGAAAAAACTTTGGTTTCATGATCTATTATATGAGATATTCACCGGCTTAGATTTGAATGTACGAAATAAGTTATATGACTGCATTTTAAAGTGTTTTTTTTTCTAACTTTCTAGACTTCGTATCTGCTGAAATTTGTAGTGATGATAAATGAACTACCGGAAGAAATAGGAGTTTTATTGTGTATGATCAGTACTGATATCAACTTATGTTCGTTTGCTGTTAAGGTCGGCGAGGAACGCGTTGAATCAGTATCCACGTTTCTCACTGGACGGTAAGGACGCAATGTACCGGTCGTCCTTCAGGCGCCAGCTTGGTACCAGTGCTGACATGACGATACAGGGTGGACGGAGATCCCACTGCGGGGACCAACGGACATCAAAGAGATCGAGCCAGATGAGCTTGGAGACAAAGCGCCTGCCACGGACAGTGGCCGGAGAAAGTGTGGTATGGTGCAAGACTGGGGTTGTTGCAAAGCTGATGGGCCTGGAGATGATACCTGTTCCGGTTAAGGGGAAAACGGGAAAAGATAAGTTAGGGACTCTGCTCAAGAGGGAGCGTCTAAGGAGGAGAGAACGGACGCTGGACATTAATGGTCGGACCGGTCCGACGACAGAAGCTTCTTGTTCGTCCGGATTTAACACGACGAGACCAATCGCAGCAGTTGGGACGCCTAGTCGCGTGGGTGGATGGCCCACAGTCCGTCTCCCATAGAAATACGTTTCAAAACTAGCCCATTTAAAAACCTTCATGTTATCTATAACTTTTCATTATGATTGATCAGTAACATGTTATGTTTCAAATAAACCTTCTAGACTAATAATAATTAAGGATTCTCAAAACCAAGCACACATATTTTTCTGACTCAATTAATTCTCTCTGAGCTATTTTCTGACTCAATTAATTCTCTCTGAGCTAGAAATCTTAGGAATCAGGCAGAAAACACAGTATACAAGTTCTGTCTCAAGCTCAGGTTTTGGTTTCAGACAGAGTAAGATGTTTTATGGACGAGAGTACACTGCGATTCAATTGGAAAATAAAATACCTAATAAACTTTGTTTGAGAAAACCCAAGAAATTGTGGGTTTGTGTTGGATATATCAGACGGGAACTCCTAGCTCAGACATACTCATGATCCTTTTGTTCAATGCAATCCTCTTCTGTCTCAAGAGCGAAGTCATGGAAGCCACCTAATGATTTAAGACAAGAGAATTTGATGAGACGTTCATTGCAATGAAGCTAAAACAATGGGAGAGATGAAAAAAGTCAGACTCACTTCAGCTCTAAGCTTGATAGCTTCCCTTCCAGGAATTTGCCGAAGTCCGTTCATCAAATCTGCAGAGAATAGAGATCTCTGTGTAAATTGAAATCTGACGTAGTGGCATTATCAAAGATACCATTGGAAGGGAGAAGGGATTAAAAATAAATCTTGTTCAATATTACCTGCAGCTTCACATTCAACCTTGTGGACAGACTTAGCAAGGCGATGTATATCGTTTCCAGAGTTCCTATAGATATAACAGTAGTAGCCATATTAACACAAATGATGTCAATAACTTAATAAAATAAGCGGGAGTGTCGATGTTGGGGGCATACATGAGTTCAGAGAGACCGCGTTTCATATCCTTCTCTGCTAAAGCCGTCCTCTCAAGCAATTTCCTACTCTCCTTTTTCATCAAGTCTACAGACATGTTTAACTCCTGAACATGCTTCTCAGCTTTCAAGAACTGTGCCTGAAGAGATAATTTTGAAGTGGATGTAAAAACAAGAGAAGGGGCACAAACCAGGGCAACTAAGTATAGCAACGTTAAGAAATAGATTTGAAGCCAATGGCATGGTAGATACCTCTTCACTCTGAAATCGGCCTAGTGTATGACGAAACAAGAATCTTCTTGGGCCTGTAAGTAGAACAATAGAAAAACCAGATTCATAAAAGATACATCTAAGTAAAAGAGATTTAATACTATTTGGAAGCTCCTAAGCAAAGGAGTCTTGTAAGTTGTAAAAGTGATAAGAGAGTAGAGGTTATACCTCGCATCAGAACGAGACCAGCAGCGACACCAATCCCAACAGTAGCAGCCGGATGTTCTTTTGCGTATATCAATTCTTCTGCAAAGAAAACAAAAACAGCAGAGGAGGATTGATCATTCGAAATGACAAGAAGATTCTAGTATCAGAACATTATAAGCTGCACTACAAACGCATATAAAAGTTTTGGGAAACTATCTGTTATATCACAATGGTTTGATCTAAATACTCGTTCCTATGCATTACAGTAGTCTACAAGTACAACTTTTTCACGAAACTTGGCTGCAAGTTACCTGTTACTTTACTGAAGAAAGCATTCTCATAGGTCTTATATTGAGTCAAAGCATGTGGAATGAAATCCTGCAATTTCAGAAACAAAAGTAAGATTGTAGGAGAGAAGACGGAGACATATGCATACAGGCACAGCTAATGGAACTGTGATATCAGATAAGAAGAGGTTTACTACATAGCATATCTAAAAGCTACATGAATAGACTATAGACATTGTTTCTTTGCAGAGATAATCAAGAATGCCTCATCGATACATTGCAGACCTCTAAAAAACCATTTGAAAAAAACAAAATCAGAATCCAGGAGAGACTAAGATCACTGCTAATTAGTTCTAATCCTATGATTCAACAAGATTTCACCCATATGAACAAAACCTAGCACCATTCAATAGATAAAACAGATAATCGGATCAAAATCTATTTTGAATCGAACTCATTTCTAGAAATCATAGCTTATGAGATATTGAATTCCAAATCCATGGTTTGAAATCATGAAAATTGTTGCTAAAGAATCTCGATTCGCAAAAGAGAGATTATAACCTGTATAGAGCGGAACTGAGAGGTGGAGTTTTCACGGAGGGAACGAGCAGAGCGCATGGCGGAATCCGTCGATTCCTTCACCGTCCGTTGGAAATCATCCACCCATTTCTCTGCTCCTTCTATGGCTCCTTCCACCGATTCAACCACTCCGATCGCTGTATGCTCCGTCGCATCAGCAGCAGTTTCAGTCGCAATCGCTGGAGCCGAATCATCGGTAACGCCGGCTGCTTCGGTTTCGCTCATTGTCTCCGATTTGCATCCGCCTTTCTGGCACCGAGACAATGCTTTCTCTTCTTTCAACTTCACCTTTCACCGGTTCAGTTCGGTTCAATTCGATTCCAAATTAGAAGTTGGTTTAAAACGGTTAAGTTCGACCCGGCCCCTTTATATAACAAGTTTGCGGTTAATGGGCTTTAAGATTGGGTCTGCGATACATTACATTCTCTTTTCTCTTCGTCTTCGTCTTCGTCTTCCTTTCCTCCTTGATTCCTCTTTTCTTCTTCTCCCACCATTTCTGCAGAAGAAGACAAATAAAGAGCTCTCATTTATCTTGGTGGAGATCTAAAATAAGGAAGAAGACAATTTTTTCCTCTGGATCTCCAAAAGTAAGAACATTTACAAGGTTTGTTTGTGTATTTGTTTTGTTTTGATTACTCCATGAGAATTGGGAGTTTTATTTTCATGGATTAGCTCTGGTTTCTATTGTTCTCTCTTTATAGAGACAATTTTGGTTGATCAAGTCTTTTTCTTTTTGGGGGTCAATTATTGCATAGAAAGCTTACGTTTTTCTCTCTGAATCTTGAGCTAACGATTTTGATGAAGATGATATTATCCTCTTTTTATTGAAACTTTTGGGAATGCCATTATCTTTATTTAGATCTGCTGAAACTGAATTCAAACGGATGAAACAAAGGTGGAAACTTTATAGGTTTTTCTTCATCATGTATTTTTGTGTTCTTCTTCTGGTTGTTTCAGAAACGAGAGATTTAGGTGGGGAAGGGAAGAAGGAGGGAGAGGCAATGGCAGCTAGGTATTGGTGTCATATGTGTTCACAAATGGTGAATCCAATCATTGATGCCGAGATCAAATGCCCCTTTTGCCAGAGCGGGTTTGTCGAGGAAATGAGCCGTGAGATTAATGGCGGCAGCAGCAGTAGTCTAAGGGAGGTTCAAGATCCAGAGATCGATTTTGGTACAGACCGTGCATTGTCTCTATGGGGTCCAATCTTGCTTGGAATGATGAGCAATCCTCGTAGACGTAGAAGGTTTAGGAGGACAGAGTTTGGTATGGATAATGATGAAGTCAATGTTGCTACTGATGTTGATGGAAATGACAGCAATGTCGATAATGATCGACATCATCATCGTCGTCATCGCCACAGGCAACAAGGTAGAGAGATTGATTTAGACAGAGAGTTTGAGTCTATCCTTAGGAGGAGACGGAGAAGCTCAGCTTCCATATTGCAGTTGCTTCAGGGGATTCGTGCAGGGATTGCTTCCGAGTATGAGAGTTCGGACCGAGACCAGTTTAATCAATCAGCTTTTGTTCAGGGATCGACTAGTTTGAATCAAAACCGGAACAATACTTCCCTTTCTGCAATTGGAGATTACTTTGTTGGACCCAGTTTAGACCACTTGCTTGAACATCTAGCTGATAACGATTCAACCAGGCACGGGAGTCTTCCAGCACGCAAAGAAGCCGTGGAAAATCTCCCAACGGTTAAGATAAGTGAATCATTGCAGTGCTCGATTTGTTTGGATGATTTTGACAAAGGAAGTGAAGCAAAAGAGATGCCATGTAAGCACAAGTTTCACATCCGGTGTATAGTACCATGGCTTGAGCTTCACAGTTCATGTCCCGTGTGCCGATATGAACTTCCTCCTGATGATGAGACCAAAGTTGATCCGGTAAGACCGAGAACAAGAACTCTAGAGATCAACATAAGTAATGAGAATGTGGAAGATGAGGCAAGGGACAGTAATGTGAGTGAGAGAAGGTTCTCTTTTCCATGGCCGTTCAGCGGGTTATTCTCTTCATCCTCTTCGTCATCAGCATCGGCCTCGGGGTCATCTCATCTCGGTGAGAACTCATAATTATGATAAAAGAAAAGATCAGTAACAAAACACAATCTCTGCGTTTCTTGTAAACCACTATTCCTCAGCTTATAGTACATAAAATCTTGTTCACTCAGATTGTTGAATATACAAATAAACACTTTGGAGGAATGGAATCTTTCCTTTAATTGCTTTATAAGTTTATATTATCTTGCTTGATTTCATGTGTTGCGGGAAAAAATTATCACTCTCAAGATATTTGCATTTTGCACAGATGAAGCTGATGATCATTTGGGTTTCTTTGTGTTTACATTAGTTTCCGTTAAAAGTATCCTTTTTTTATTCTGTAAAATTTTAAAAGATGGATGGACACAGGTATTTATGTTGAGAGGGAGAGGCATGTGACTGTGACTCTGTGAGTATGGTTGTTGACTGCATGCATCTCGTTATCTTCAAATACGAATCCCAAAGTTGTGTGATCACGAGCCAAATGACTCACGTCACACATTTTTGTAAAACTTATTCAAAAATAGTGTTTGATTATGCAATTGCACTCGTACCAAACTAATGTACTTTGTAAGCAGAGTATGATCCAAGAACATTATGCAGTGTGTGATCCACACACAAAAAAAGGAAACAAAAGAGACTTTGAGTTTTCATCTCAAGATTAGTCACCGTGATGAATAATATCCAAAACTCTAAGAAACACCGGAAAACGCAAATGGGATCACTTGACGGTCAAGATCTTGATAACAATGGCGTTACCAGTACGGAAGAGAGCCACAACAGAGTCTCCTGTCTTGCACAGTTGTTTCTTTTTCCCGTACTCTGTCGCAAACTCGATCGTTTCTTCTGTTGACTCGTCGATTGAGGCTCTAGCTGATCCAGCATACAGCACTGGGACTAAACCCCGGAAGATGAGACTGTGTCTTGCTGGTGCCTCGTTGCTACACGACCAATCAAAAGAGTCGGAAGTGATTTCAGGAACCACCACGGACAAAATGGGTATCCCTGGTCTATACTTAGCCACCAGTCTCGCCGTGCTGCCTCCTCTGGTCAAGACCATCATGAGAGTGGCTCTTGAGGAAGTAGCGGTTCTGACCGCGGAGGAAGCAAGCGACTCAATCGGGCTCATAGGGACGGCAGCGTGAAGCATTATCCTCTTGAAGATGTCTCCATAGTCCAATGTGCTCTCTGCTTCCACACATATCTTGGCCATTGTACGGACAGCAAGCTCTGGATATGCTCCTGCTGCGGTTTCACCACTGAGCATGACACAGTCCGTGCCATCAAGGACAGCGTTTGCAACATCAGTAGCTTCTGCTCTTGTTGGTCGTGGGGATTTGATCATAGACTCGAGCATCTGAGTCGCTGTGACCACTGGCTTCCCCATGAAATTGCACTTGTAGATCATCACTTTCTGAGCTAAGAATATCTTCTCAATTGGAATCTCCATTCCAAGGTCACCTCTAGCGATCATAAACGCATCCGAGTTTATCAAGATATCATCAAAATTCGCTACACCTTCTTGGTTCTCAACCTGACAATATCAAAAGTAACATATCATAAGAATTTGAGTATGAAAATGTGATACTAGTTTGAGTGGTATATGTATATATACCTTTGACATGAGAAGAATGGTTTTTGCATGTTTTCCCAGTAGCTGCCTAACTTGTACTAAGTCTGAACCTTTTCGGACAAAAGATAGAGCAATCATGTCGATTTGATTTGGAACTCCCCACTCAAGAATGTCTTGCTTGTCTTTTTCAGTTAGAGTTGGGAGATCAACCACAACACCAGGGAGGTTAACGTTCTTTCTCTCACCGAGCATTGAAGTGTTCTCACAACGACAACGAACCGTACCCTTTTTTTTGTCACAAGAGAGGACCTTTAGAGAGATGGTACCATCGGCACAGAGTATCACCATGCCTGGATTCACATCTTGAGCTAACTTCTTGTAGCTCATGCAAATCGTTTTCTCATCACCCTTCAAGTCATAGTCAGTCGAAATGGTGATTTCTTGGCCTTGTTTCAACTGGATAGGTTTCCCATCCTTTAAGAACCCGGTTCGAATCTCTGGTCCCTGCCAGGCAAATACAAAATCCTTATAGCATTAGTCAGAAACCAAAAGGGTCCCCCAAAACATATCATTTCTAAGGCCTCTATAAGAAAGAGTGTCTCAGCTAACATTAAGCTACATATTCACTTCACACTTTTATTAACTTTCCTGGCCATAAAGCCAGGTAACAGACGAGAGAGTGAGAATGTGAAGCATATACTTTATTGACAAAATCTTCATCTTCAAAGGTAAGAGTCTTAATCATCCAGGATGCATCAAAATTGTATGAAAGTTCTGGTCTAACAACCAAACATCAGTTCTCCATTTGGTTTATATAACCAGAAACCATTATCCACAGATTTTGTCTAATTCATGCTCGGACTAGAAACAACGTACCATACCACAACTGACAGAGACAAAACGAGTATCCTCAGATCAACAATGAAATAAACCAATCATATCTCAAATAAACCAAGCAATATGAAAACGCTAAAATCAGGTAAGACATAAAAATGATGGAGAAACGATCAGAATCATGTGTGAACAGAGACCAAATCAAAAGAAAATGCCGCAATGGCATTGTTATACAGACATAAATGCACATATGACAAAGTTTTTATAAGATTGACCTTGGTGTCGAGCATGACAGCACAGAGCATGCCAGTGTTAAGCATGGCCTGACGAAGATTGTCGAGAGTCTCCTGATGATATTCGTAAGATCCATGAGAAAAGTTGAAGCGAGCCACGCTCATCCCCGCCATAAGAAGCTTCTCAACCATTGGGACGGATCTGGAAGCCGGCCCGAGTGTGCACACGATCTTCGTCTTTGGCCTCTGTTCCATAGCCATCGCAGTAGAACTAACAGATCTCGATACACAAAATGATAACAAAAGACGATCACGGAGTGTGATACTACGTCAGAGAGATCTGGTTTAGAGGACAAGGCAGTGACAGATCTCTTCGTAACGTTTGATGTGGAAATGCAAGGCCGTTGGTTGGTGGGGTGGGGGTGCAGAGGTAAAACCTAAACGCAGGTTGCTGCTAAAAACTACTTGGGGGCTAAAATGAAGAAATTGTTAAGTAATTATTTTTGTGAAACTAAAATAAAAATATTTTTGTTATTTAAGATTACCACGTAATAATAAAAATAAATAGTTAAATACACGTATTATACAAAAATAAATTAAAGTAACCATTAAATTTTACTATGAAAAAAATACTTTACTATGATTTATGAACAACAATTATTTCCGTTTCTATTATAGAATCTAGCTAGTATTTTTAGTGGAAGAATAAAAAGAACAATATAGTATTTTCTAAGATTTTGTAGAATAAAAATTTATACAGTAACAAAGAGTAAATCGAATAAACTCCAAAAAATCTGAAATTTCTGAACACTTGATATTTGTAATTCTTGAATAAATATACTTCGAATTTGTAAGTACTTGATACTTGTCTTCAAAGAAACCTGTCACAGAATCACAATCTAAAGCAATTTCATTACTAGTATTTAAGCGTACCACTTATAAGCGTACTGGCCTATTAGCTCAGTTGGTTAGAGCGTCGTGCTAATAACGCGAAGGTCACAGGTTCGATCCCTGTATAGGCCACTTTTTTTTACTTTCATTTTGGTCAGACTAAAACGTCGTCGTATGTTTTGGCTTCATTCTTCTTCTTTGTTTTTTAATCCTTGTTCCTGAGATATTTCTTTTTTTTTTTTTTCAATTTTACGGATATCGTTATCTGCTTCTCACACTAACACGACGAAGCAGAGAAAAAGCTCGAAACAAAAAATGGAGGGAACCATCTCGCCGCTTTGCTTACGTTCTTCCTCGAGTCTCTGTTACTTCTCCAGTAATATCTCACCAGATTCTCACCGTTCTATAGGATTTACATTGGTTGATTCGCTCCGGCCAACGAACTTGGTTTCCCTGCGAACGGGAAATAAACGGTCGTCGTCCTCGTCTCTACGGCTATTTCTATCTCCGACGAGAAGCGCTCTCCGTCCGCCGACTATTTCCGCGGAGGAGGTGAAAGATGTTCCGATGCCCAAGATTGATAAGAGCGGCCGATTAAGCAGTCCTCGAGCCGCACGCGAGCTCGCTCTGTACGTATTACCTCTCTCTTTCTTTGTTTCTGAAATCGTATTCGCTTCGTTGATTTGAGAGGAATTGGAAATTTTAGCTGGAAATGAAAATTCGCCTCTACTAGAATTGGAACGATTCAGTCATCTATGCGGCTTGGTGTGACTAGAATAAGGCTCAAATTAGAGTTCCATTAGCTTGGGTTTAGTTTATGGTTTTACCTAAAACCCTAAACCCAGAACATAGCCTCTCTCAAAAATGACTTGTTTATGATTCTTTGCTATTAGTATGAATGATGAATCTGCCCTCTCTGATCCATGTTACTGGATGATCTTGACAGTGTGATACTCTATGCCGCATGCTTAGAAGGCTCTGACCCAATTCGTCTCTTTGAGAAGAGAATAAATGCAAGAAGAGGTAAGTTCAACTAAACATGTGTTTTTTTTTTTTTAAATCTTGTTTTGTTTACTTCTGCAACACAGTCATGAATGTAGGAATCTCATTGTAACTTCTGTGGTTTCTGTCACTACTGTGGATCAATTGCTTGATTCTTCTTGATTTAAATGCTTGTGACATAACTTCAATGTATATTGATTGGTTTGTACAGAGCCTGGATACGAGTTTGACAAGACTTCTTTGTTGGAATACAACCACATGAGCTTTGGAGGACCTCCAGTTAAAACTGAAACAAAAGAAGAGGAAGATGAGCTTGTGCGCCATGATGAAAAAGAATCGAAAATCGGTAGGTCTCTTATTCTTAAAATAAGTTTTCCTGTTCTTCTTTACTCATATAGTCATATATGGCAAAGAGACTCTTGTTTGGATGGGCTCATGGAAATTTCCCATCTTGTAACAAATGAACTGTTGTTTATCCTCCCTTTTCTGCAGAAGCCGAAGTGCTTTCAGCTCCCCCAAAGCTGGTGTACAGCAAACTTGTTTTACGGTAATCTATAAAATGTATCAATGGATAGTAATTGCTGCTTACTTTGAAATAAATTGTGTATACCTTATTCCCACTATGTGTTTTTACGAAGGTTTGCAAAGAAACTCTTGGCTGCAGTAGTTGATAAATGGGATAGCCATGTCGTTATCATCGAGAAAATTTCCCCGCCAGATTGGAAGGTATAAGTTGATACGCTTAAAGTTCAACTCCGGTCAAGTACTAGATTGTTGAAAACTAAGGAACCACCAAACTCAAAGCTTCATTGCTTATTATTTTCTTCCGTTTTCTCTTTCTTGTGATAGCTCACATAAATATTAGCTGTTTGGCATTCTGAGCTCAACAGTTTCTTTTGAATTAGCTTGACCATCTAGAAGCAGTTTCTTATTTTGGCTGTTTTATTGTTTACATATCTTATCATCTCTTACCACCGATAAATACCTTAAGGATGTTTTGGCACCTATTTGCAGAGTGCACCAGCTGGAAGAATACTAGAGTTTTCAATTCTTCACTTAGCAATGTCTGAAGTGGCAGTACTTGAAACCCGACACCCAATAGTCATCAACGAGGTAACATACATACATACATCTACAGTTAGCTTTGCAATGTGATAACCTTGCTCTTGTTGTGAACTAACACTCTTACAAAAATGATGTGAAACAGGCTGTTGATCTTGCAAAACGGTTCTGCGATGGATCAGCGCCACGCATAATCAACGGATGCCTAAGGACATTTGTCAAGGATAGAGCAGCAACATCGACACCTCAAGCTTTAGAATTGAAGCAAGAAGTGTCGGTTTAAATTAGAAGAAAACCCGCATCTTCGTTAGGAGGCAGGCAAACCTCAGGAATTTGGTCATCGGAAGTCGCTAGTAGGCAAATTGTTGATCCGATGATCTTATATATAGACGGAGTCGCTCTCTGTCTTCTCAGGCCGTTTCTGGTCCGAAGCATTTGATACCTGAGACTGAATCTATCCATTGCAGGTGAACATGATTATTGCTAAGAACACAACATAGTCATGTCTGTATTAATATATTGCCCCTAAGATAGTAGTATAATTTATGTAGTAGTTTCCATGTTTCTGTCTTTGTATCCTCCTTCACTTGTGTGCCATATTTGAGAACCAAAAAAAGCTGTATAATCAGGTTTTTCGTATAGATGTTTTTTTACTTGAGGTTCCAATTTCAGGATTAGAGTGGTTTTGCCCAGCAGCAGCTACTAATCAGAAAGAAAAGTAGAATAAAGTAATGGCCCGGCCCATACAGAAAGATAAAAAACCCATGAGAGCTAGTGCTGATACGGCAGCGTATAGAGATTAGGGCTTCTTCTCGTAGTCAAACCTCTTCGTCGCGCCGTATATATATAAATTTATTTCTCTTAGTGATAACAAACACTACACGGCTTATTCTTATCTGCTCTCCTCTTTAGATTAGCGTTCTTATTTTCTCTCTGAAATTCGATTTTATTTACCTCATTAGCAGAGCTCAACTCTAGTTTTCTTCTTAGTCGTAGATTTGAATGTTTTGTGTTTCTTTTTTTTGTTGAATTTTGGAAATTCTTGTGAGTATTGATATTTGATGTGAGGATGACGAAAAAAATCATTCGGATTCCCTTTGAATTCCTCCGGGAAACATGTGATTATATAACCAGCTACTTCTGACTCATCATCATCATCATCACAATCCTTTTTGTTTTTTTTTATTTTGTTCTTCGCCGATTTAGAAAACGTTTTTGATGTCTTTTATGAAATTTAGTTCTATGATGGTGAAAGATGACGAAAAAAATCGTTCGGATTCCCTTTGAATTCCTTCGGGAAAGATGTGATCACAAACCAGCTACTTCTGATTTTACCATCATTGTTACAAATTTTTCCAATGTTTTTTCTTACAAAACTTTTGATTTTTCGTGAGGCCAGTGATGTAATAAAAATATTTGCTACTCTTGATGGAGAACGTTGTTCTTTCAATTGATGATTGGTTAACCACCAAGATCTCTGAGGCCTTTGTTTTCTACTTTATTTTTACCAACTCATATTCGATACCAATATACTATTACTAATTTGCCCATCCATAACTATGTCTTATGTCTATCTATCAACTTAACCTTACTTGTCTGATCTAAACCGAAATATATCTAGATGGGCCTAAAGATTTTAAACTGTAGTAAATAAATTCTGTTTCTGTAACTCAAACAGAAAAACTTGGCCATTTCCAGCAATACGAGGTTTTGTGAATCTTTGAGCATATGAGTAAAAAATTCAAGTAAACCGAACTGTCCATGGGTAAACATCCACTGATCAGATTTATAGTTCAATTTCGATTCTCATTAACTCAGGCCAAGCAAGTGTGAACCGAACTTAAAAATGTTATAGTTTAGTAAACCAAACCACAAGTAAACCGAGCCATCATCTCCTCTTGTTTTTTGGGTTCAAATATGTAGAGCAAGAAAGAAAATATCTAAGAATCAACAAGATGATCTAGTGATCTTCATACTAAAATGTTCTGTCGAACAGAAGCCGACATGATGGTGAAGGCGTAGGTACAGATGCTAACTCCTGGAGCATCCGAAACTTCTCTCTAAAATCAAATGTTTGTGAAGAGAAAATCATTTTCTTCAAACCAGTAGCATTCCTCAGGACATACGTTGCAACTTCTTTATCTCCTTGTCTTCCATTATACCCACTCCACTTGAAACCTTGAAGACTGGACAACAAACACGCGGGAACAGTACTTGGCCCCTTCCAGTAGGGAGGGGTCTCTAAACTAGCAAATCCATGGCAATGTTCCTAAACACCATGTAAGAACAACTTAGTTATCATCACGATCAGAAGCCTACTTGGGAAACTGATAATAAAGAAAAAAAGACTACATACATTGGTGAGTGTCAGAAAACGTAGTTTGGGGGAACTTTGGAGCATAATTGTGAGAAGATCCCACCAACCTTGAGTACATGTACATATCTTAAGGTCAACAAGGTTGCGGTAGATCGAACCATGAGGATTCGTAACCTGTTTTATATACAACAACATAAGCCAAAATATTTTGAGGAACAATAAAAATATATATGCAAATCAAAAGGTTTGTTGTTACCTCTATGACTGAAAGTGATAAACATAGATAAAGGCTTCTGAAACGAGTATTGTCTTTCAGAAACGTGTATGTTGTTCCAATAGTAACCGCCATACGTAACACGTCCAAATCAGGCATTTTATCATTCCCAAGGATGTTGTAAATGTAATAATCATTAGAAATAGAAAAGTGTTGCAAAGGAGCATTGATCACATTACTACTACCCTTTCCAAACATGTGATCAAACAGACTCTCAAATATTTTCCTTCTTTTAAAGGAAGGCACATCAACAGTGTAATCTATAGTATGGCCTGCCTTATGTATCATAATATAGTCGCCATCATCATCAGGTCGTGCTAAACGCAACTCTTCAAGATTAGTGCAACCGGATATAAGCCTAAAAAGAGATGCGGGGTCTGCCCAACCAATACACCTAAGGTGTAGTTTCTTGAGGGAAGGGATACAAACTGCTAAAGGAGCATCCACAACAACGCAATTTTTAATGGTGAGTGTGAAGCTTTCAAGCGTTTCACATGTATATAGGCTACTAGGCAATCTGAATTTTTCATCAGAATAATTAATAGAAATTTCCAGCTCACGAACACGACGACTAACTGCAATATCAATCCATCCTCCAATATCTACGGCACGACATTCAGGATTAAGGCTAAGATTCTTGAGATGCAACCTCTCGAGAACTGGAGCTTTATTTTGTAGCAAAGACCGGTAAACAAACTTAATGAACCTTATGTTTTGACTCGTAAAATCATATTCAAGTTTTGGCACCCATCTCCAAAGAGATACCCATCTTTTGGATAAAAGACTCGTGACAATGACATCTTTTGTTGGAATAGATGACAGTATTCGCAAGAGCAAGTGATCCGGACATTGACTGATGATGTCCATGTCAATTCACTACAAAACCAGAAGATGAAATACCAGAGTTTACATATATATATATATATATATATATCCTTGTTTGTCAAGCTTTCTAGGTTTTTTTTTTTTTTGTCGGCTACTAATTAAGGACTAAAAATAGACGAGAGGAATAATAATTAAAAAGGAATATTAAACCCTAAAAGTAAATAAACCAGGAGCGCAAATTCGCGGACTAATGATTAGTCGGTCGAAAACCTCTCTTGCTTTCGCCGTTTACCCTGTTTCAGTGAAAAGTAAAACCCTAATCTACATACAGATTGTGCTAATTTTGAAGTCACCAATCTTTTGCGAACGTTAATATTCCGGGTCAAACATAGATGAGAAGAAGGTAAAGCTGTGTAATGTCATTGACACAATGTAAAAACAGAGATGATCATGCTTCGTTTGAGATACCATAATCATTCGACGCCACACTTTTTGAGTTACATAAGAGAAGCAAACTGGGTTTGACATGGTTCATAAACCAGTCTTGACAAAAACTAAACAAAAATCATAAACGAGATACCAAGAAAACTAAATATAACTATTCTCAGTCGAATAGAAGCTTAGACGAAGTTGAAGCTGTAGGTATTGATGCCAACTCCTTAAGCATATGATACTTCTCTCCCACATCACTAGATTCTGGAGTAAACGTCGCTGTCCTCAAACAAGTAGCATTCTTTAGGATATATGTTGCCATCTCTCTATCTCCTCGTCTCCCTTTGTAACCAATCCACTCAAATGCCTCAAGACTAAACAACAAACACTCGGGGACAGAACTCGGCAGCTTCCAACCAATTGGGGTTTCTTCCCCAAAAAGAAGAGAATCATGTTTCTAAGACCAACATCAGACAGAGTTATCAGTCAATAATATTGGGAAACTAAACCAGATAAAAGCATATTATGGAGACCACGTACATCAATGAGCTTGAGAAATCTTAGTTTGGGGGAACCTTGGAGCATATAGATAAGAAGATCCCACCAACCTTGAGCAAATGTATACAAGTTCAGATGAACAAGCTGATTGAAGATCATACCAGAAGGACACATAATCTGTTTTTTAATATACACAACAACACAAAGTAAATATTGAGAGGAATAATAATATGTAAAAAACACAAGATTCAATAATATTACCTCTGAAAGTGATAAACATAGAGAAAGATGTCGGACAGAAGTAAGAGCCCGCAGAAACTTGTGAGTAACTCCTTGAGTAATCTCAACATATGCCTCAACCAACTCAGGCATGTTCTCAATTTGACGGACGTTGTAAACTGCTTCATCTGTAATGTTCAGGTACTTCAAAGAAGGGACATCTATCACATATCGACCACATTTTACATAATTTTTGTCCATCATAGATAACCGTCGTAAGGAAGGCACCACAACAGTGAAATCCATTTCTGAGTCTTGATCATGTCGCTCCAGAAACAATTCTTCAAGATTTGGACAGCCTGATAAAAGATTTGGAAGAGATGCGTCGTCTTCGTAATCAACAGTATTAAGGTGCAGAACTTTGAGAGACGGGAGACAAACTGAAGAAGGAACAACCAATAGAACGGAATCGATGAGTCTCAAGGTCTCTAGTGTATCAGAGGTATATAGGCTATTCGGCAAACTGAAAAACTCGGGAGAAGGAATATCAATTTCCAGCTCACGCAGACGACGACTAAGAGCAATACCAATCCATAGTCCAATATCTATAGCGGGACAGTCGGGGCCAAGATTCAGATGCAAACGCTCTAGAACAGGTGCCTTATTTGATAGCAAAGACCTGTAAACAAACTGAGAGAAACTCTTATAGTCACCAGTGTGATTGATAACATTGTATCGAAGTTGTGGCACTAACATCCAAAGAAACTGCCATCTTTTGGACAAAAGACATGTAGCCACAACATCTTTTGTAGGAACACAAGACAAAATCCGCAAGAGCAAATCATCCGAAAGTTGACTGATACGGTCCATATGGAAACACTAGCCCTGAATTCTCAAAGTTTCAGCTAGTGGCCAAAGGAAAAGTCTACGATTGGAGCCTACAGATTAAAGCACCTAAAGGGTTTCAT